AAAGTATTGAAATTCTAGGGAATACATCTCGGGGTCATATAATGCCGATTGGAACCATATTTGATAATTGTATGTTGTCATAAATGTTCGTAGTAGATTTGAGTTAATAAAATATGTGCAAGTTGTGAACTAGTAAATTGGTCATTTAAAGACAAATTGGAATGTTTTACCCACCCAATTGGATTCCCGGAGGGTATTAGGGACCATGGTATACATTTCGGTAATTTTTATTTCCGTGCGAAAAAAAGTCAAAAAATTCCAAAATTGAAGGCTAATTATCCATGTTTTTTTAGAAATTTTGAAAGTTTCGGGGCCCGGTGTCGGAAATAAATGAGATTTTAAGGGTTACATCTCGGGGTCATATAATGTCGTTTGGAACCACAAATGATCATTATATTTTGTCATAAATGTTCGTGGTAGGCTTGAGTTAATGAAATCGGTGCAAGTTGTAAACCAGTAAATTGACCGCTTAAAAGCAAATTGGATGGTTCCACCCACCCAATTGGACTCTAGGATGGTATTAGGGACCATGGTAAACATTTCGGCAATTTTTATTTCCGGACCAAAAAAAAATCAAAAAAATCCTAATTGAAGGCTAATATACCTGTTTTTGAGAAATTTTGGAGGTATTTGGGCCCGTGTTGAAAAGGCTTGAGATTTTACGAGATACATCTCGGGGTCATATATTCCCGTTGGGAATCATATATGATCATTATATGTTGTCATAAATGTTTGTGGTAGGCTTGAATTAATGAAATCGGTGCAAGTTGTAAATCGGTAAATTGGTCGTTTAAAGGCAAATTAGATGGTTCCACCAACCCAATTGGACTCCCAGAGGATATTAGGGACCATGGTAAACATTTCGGCAATTTTTATTTGTGGGCGAAAAAAAGTCAAAAAATTCCAATTAGGGACCATGTATCCACGCTTTTTGAGAAATTTTGGAGGTTTCGAGGCCCGGTGTCGAAAAAGCTTAAGATTTTAGGGGATACATTTCGGAGTCATATAATATCATTTGGAACCATATATGATCATTATGTGTTGTCATAAATGTTCGTGGTAGGCTTGAATTAATGAAATCAGTGCAAGTTGTAAATCGGTAAATTGGTCGTTTAAAGGCAAATTGGATGGTTCCACCCAACCAATTGGATTCCAAAGGTGATAGGTTGTCGTACACCTGTCAAAAATAAATTCCTAACAAAGCCAACTAACAATGTAGTAGGGTAAGTAGGGTCGAATCCACAGAGAGATGGTATTCAATCTAACCTCTAAGAAATTGGAGAAACTAAACAAAGCCAACGAAATTATAAAAGAATAAAACAATTAATAAAAATACATAGGGTTGTGGTTCACCATGCTTATAGTTCTAAATCTATCTATCAATAACAATTCAATCAATCAATTATCTAGAGCAATTGCTAAGCCTACGGTCGGGTCTTAACGCTCTCAATTCCACATATGTAGTTCGGTCGCTAACATAATCAGAATTGCTAATTGTAGGTAAGCCTCTAAAAGTAAGATCTTTCAATTCAAACTCTTATTAACAAAAATTAATCAAACAATTGATCAGGTTGCAAGATTAACAATAAAACACTATCAATTAGAGAAATCAATAATCAAAATATTAAAATTATCAATCAAGATTCATAATATAAATATGGATTCTCAAACCCTAGAAATAAAATACTCAAACATGGAAGAAATAATTAAAACTAGATCTAAGGAATAAAACATAATTAAAAATAAGAGATATAAATAAAATACCTCAATGAATTAAAATAGTAAACCCAAGAATCATCCATGGAAGAAATCCATGGAGATGCCATGAGAAACTAGGGTTCAAAAGAGAAAACTCAAAAGAACGTAAAATAATAGAAGATATAAAAGGCATAAGGGAAAAATAATAATCCCTTGAGATATTTATAATATGCTAAAACTAATCTAAAAATAATTAAAGAAAAGTAAAATATAAATTACACAAGTTGTCAAACGATTGGACGATAGAAGATGACGTGGCACGAAGATGCTCAATGGAATCGAGGGCGAAGAAAAAGACGTGCTACGATGCCCCTTGCTTGCTGCTTTCGTGGGTAAACTAGAGCTATAGCTCCCTGGTCGAGTGAGCTCTCGCTCGGGGCTGCTATTGCTCGAGGCCTATGCGAGCTACCTTGCGAGCTCTCGCACGGGGCTACTGGGCATTGTGTCAATTTCACAGGATTGTAACTTCTGATTTATACGTTGTGTATAGGCGTGTACCTACTGTTGGAAAGCTATTTAAGTCTAGTTTCCAACGAAATTTGAATCGCTTCAATCCGATCTGTAGAACTCAAGTTATGATTAAAAGAGTGACCAAAGGTCTGTTTTGCCACTTTGTAAAACATCGTTTAACTTTGTTTCTAACTCAAATTCAATTTCGAAAAGTGCATAACAACCCTTGTGGATGCTATATTTATTCCTCATGCATATAAATCTCAAAATCAACATTCACAAACATGGTATCTACGATTAATAAGCTGGATTCGTCGGCTTCCATATAAATATCATCCGAATCAACTCCAAACACTTCAAAAGCGTCCAAATGTCTATCAAATCACCTGAAACATTAAGAAAAACACAAATGGAGCGTAATAGAGTACAAAACAAACAACTTATGTATTTACGACCTAAAAAGCGACTAAAAGACCTAAAAAGCAACTATAAACTTAGCATAAACGTGCCTATAAATCCTATATAAATATGATTCATCAAAAGGGCATTAGGAACCATGGTAAACATTTCGGAAATTTTTATTTCGGGCAAAAAAAGGTCAAAAAATTTCAAAATTGAAGGCTAATATCCACACTTTTTGAGAAATTTTGTAGGCTTCGGGTAGAGCTGTCAATTCAGGTAAACGGGTCGGGTTTGGGTCGGGAAGAGTGGGTCGGGTCTACTCGGGTCTGGTCAATTCGGATTAATTCCATAACCTATGCGGGTCGGGTTTGGGTTTGGTCATGCTTGAGTCGGGTCACGTCGGGTCATACTTCTTATTGAGTTTGGATCGAGTTTAGGTAGGGTTAATAACAGGTCGGGTTACATTCGGGTTGGGTGAAGAATAGGTCGAGTTTAATTTGGGTTTTCACGGGTTAAAACGGGTTACGGTAATTCTCGGGTTCGAGTCGGGTTCGGTTTAAGTCAATAATTTGCTAGTTAGAATCAGGACGGGTCATTCTCGGATTTGAGTCAGGTTCGGTTCAAGTCAATAATTTGCGGGTTATAATCAGGTCGGGTCATTTTCAAGTCGGGTCACTCTCGAGTTCAAGTCGGGTTAGGTTCAAGTGAATAATTTGCAGGTTATAATAGGTTAGGTCATTTCCAAGTCGGGTCAATCTCGGAGTCAAGTCGGGTTATGTTCAAGTCAATATTTTACAGGTTACAATCAGATCGGGTCATTTTCATGTAAGGTCTTATTCGGGATTTCGGGTTTAACTAACTATAAATAGATAACTATCATTTTTATCAAGCTAATTATTTCCTTTGACTATAATTTATATGGAAATATACTAGGGATCTATAGTTTATAATTTAGGAAGATAATTATCTCCTTCGACTATACAACAAATATATACTACATTTAACTCTTAAATTTGAGGATGATGCTCCTTTCTTTTGCTGGCTTGGACCAACTTGGTCTCCCAAGACAAAATTCTTTGATCAACAATAATAAGGTGGTCTAAATTGCATTTAAGGTGATTTGAAATCGGGTCAGGAACAATTTGGGTTGAATTTAGGTCGGGTCAATAACAAGTCGTGTTGATTTTGTGTCGGGTTAGTAACAAATCGGGTTGAATTTTTGGGTCGGGTTAGTAATAGGTCTGGTAAAATTCGGGTCGGGTCAATAACAAGTCGGGTTGAATTTAGGTTAGGTTAATAACAAGTCGGGTTGATTTCGGGTCAGGTTTGTAACAGGTTGGGTTAAATTCGAGTCGGGTTAGGAACGAGTTGGGTTGAATTCAGGTCAGGTTAGTAACAAGTCGGGATAAAATCGGGATTTGAAGGGTTAAAGCGGGTTTGTGTCAATTTTGGTTCAAGTTGGGTTCGGTTCAGGTCAATAATTTACGGGTTACATTTGGGTCGGGTCATCTCCAAGTCAGTTCATGTTCGGGTTCGGGTCTCACATACTTGGGTCAACTCGGGTCTATGGTTGGTTTTAGGTCGGGGTTGGGTCACTATTTTTTCGGGTTCAGATGGGTCGGTTAATAATCGGGTTTGAGTCGGTATTTCGAGTCGGGTCAACTATTGACAGCTATACTAAGGTACGTATCAAAGAAGGAGGTTCAATTAATAATATTTTTTAAAAAAAAAAAAAAAGAATTTTGATAGATAATTAAAGTTTTATTCAATTAAATCATTATGCAAAGGGTAATAGAAGATCGTTGTGGTTTGTGGGGCATGTGACTAATGCGGAATTGTGGTCGATTGGATAGAGGAAAGGGGGGAAAGGAGACAAAGCAGTAGAGAGGATGTATGTCGTTTTGCCTAGCTTGAGCCTTGTATTTATGGGGGTCACGTTGTCGTTTTATTTATTGTCTATCTTCTTGATTTGTCTAAATGTCGTATAACTTCTCATTTATGAATCAATCAACCTCTTAAAACAAATGATTTAAAATAAACAAAGGTAGTAAACACTAACTGTCTTTAGTATGATCCTCTACTTGTCTACTTAATCATATTATCTAAATTTGATTTCATGTATCCAAAACTGAAAATTATTGACCAGAATTGTTGATTAATGTGTAAAATGAAACATAATCTTACAATATCCTACTAATGTGATAGCTTTCTCAAGTAGAAACTTCTCTGAAAACTCCAGTATGCTCTATGCATTTTTCTCTAATCATCAAAATCAAATGAATGAAGCAGACCATTTTACAGCATTAAACAGCAGTCACCCACACCAAACAGCAGACTTGGTTCGGTAAAATCACCTATGGGGCTAGAAGTTGGAAACCGAGAGCCCGAGAGAGAACAAAAGATAGCTGTTTTATTGCATATCTCATAGAAAGTTTGATATAGCTTAGCAAACAGGAGGTTTTCAGAATTCAAATACACAAGTTTTTTGGTTCAAACAACATACTTAAGTTTCAAATAACACAAACACACATAAAAGCAAGAAACTTCATCAGTTTTCCTGATGATTATTTTGAGCAACCCCTAAGATCAGAGGTGATATGTTTTCTTCACAAACCCTCCAATTATGCATCACAACTCCCAACAAAAGCCTCCAGAACACAACCATCAGTGTTTCAGAAACTCCAGGAAGAGAACACTAGTTCCAGCCATCTTCCGGTAACAGCAGCCAACTGACGAGAAAACTATGACAAGCATCAACACTGGACAACTGTCTGCTTGACCAAACACAGCAGTTTTCTATGTAATTTATCATCCATCGAGTGACCAAATCAACCGGGATATATCATGGTCAAAAGGGGAAAAGATGGCGACAAAAATAATTTAGTTTGCAACAAGCCATTTTAATCACTCCTCCCACAAGAGGAAGCGGCAGAATCTGCATGACAAAAATGTGTTGTCAATAGCAATAAAGTTTAGTGGAGGTTTGCATTCGCTGCAAAGAGATAATAAATATTGAAGGCAGTCAAGTATGAAATTCCAAAACAGAATGTTGAAGTGAAATGAAGCACAGAGCATATCTATAATTTAGAGTAGCTTAAATGTCAACCTGGTATGAACTGAAGCACTTGAAAAACAAACCACAATGAAAGAACATAAAATTATGTTGATGGTAGTATATAAGGAGTTTACTCACAAGTTTGGCAGTTAGTCCTCGCTGGACACCTTACACCACCCATCACCTTGTACACCAAAAAACAGTGAGAACAGTACATAGCTGGGGTGTGCACTTGGCAAAGTAATGCAGGACAGGATATTCATCATATTCAATCTCCGGGCCTTGAAAAGAAGGAAATGACAGTCAGCAATTCAGCATGTATGATTTAGGTCAATGCCAAAGAACCATCACTTAGCAATGACTTATACTCACCATCCACATCGCAAAACACCACCAAAGTGATCTCACACATGATACTGACCAGTCCAGGGGGATTGTCCTTGGTACTGCTCTGGCTGAGGAGTGAACTGGTGATTCCCAGTCATAACATGCTGTTGTTCAAGCAACTTTTGCTCATGGTTGTGATTTAGATTTCGGAAAGGCTGGTAATCTGGATAGTTTTTCGGGTTCCCCCCTTGAAACTGACCAGCAGGAGCTTGCATTCCAGGAAATGGCAAGCCAGTATTTCCATTTGAGCTATTCATAGTAGTTAAGAACTGGGAGTTGGCATGTAAAACATTATTACTAGCATGATTGGGCTCTATATTACTTACTGAGGGCGGCATGTGATAACCATCCAACCAGCTATAATCGTCAACTACTAAAGACCCATTACTCCCAGGCACACCAGACATAGGCATACTAACATGTTTCGCTGGAACAGGACTAAAACCAGGTGGAGGCCCAAGATGCCTAACAGGACGGCCCACTTGACTTTTAAATGCTGCTGAAGAGAAAGATGGCGGCTTTACAGACATATTATCAGTAGACACTTCAGGAAATGCAGAATAATCCATCTTGGATGAGTGCATAACTTCTGGAGCTCTTCTGTAATCTGAGTAGATAGCAGTATCCATAAAACTAGCAGATGGTTGGGGAGGCAAATGTGAACCAGCACCCAGGATACCCAAACTTCCTTTCAATTCAGAATTCGATACATGGCCATTTTCCATGAACTTCAATCTGTTTATGCCATCTGCAAGTGAAGCTTGCTGTTCAACGAGCCATCGTGAATCATGCATATCCCTCACGGGATAAATTTGTGCAGCAACATTGCCAGATGGCGGAATACGTTCTGACGTAGCCTGTTGATAGTGCACGCTGGATACAGGTGGGGTACTCCTTCCCTGCTTTAATTCCTCATTAAAGATCCAAGTTGGTCCAGTGGCATCCATCTGCTTCTCAACAAGTGCTGGCTTAAAAACAATTTCTTCATCATCGTCATCTCCTTCGCCTAATTGCTGAATATTCTCTTTCATTGTCATAGAATTAACAGATGACATTGTAACCACTTGCTCAGTTGAAGGTGATTCAGTTAACCCCATATAGGAACTCGGCATGCTATTGTCAGATACTTGCAGTTGAACTCCAATGACAAATTGTTTCACCTTTGAATCATAGGACACAGACTTGTGATCAACCATTGCTACACTAACCAAGGCTCTGCCTGCAGCAATGATTCTCTTTACTCGAGTTCGTTTTTCCTTACTACTACCACCAACACTGATTAACCGCTTTCTTGAAAAATCTAGAATACTATGTGCAGGAAGAATGGGCAAAAACCCCCTCAACTCAAAATCCTCTGACAAAGCAAGTCGACTTTCAGTCTCCCCTTCATCATACCTGGTCATGTTAGTAAAACAAGTTTCATCCCCATCATCATCAGCTGCAACCAGACGACTGGATAGAAGCTTATTAAGCAAAGCTATGCAATGCTTCCAGAATGACGATCTAGCAGCAGTTGGTTTTTTCTCATTAGTGGTGCAAGCTGCGAATTCTGGATAACACGCTAACCACTCGAGAAATACCAGAATGCTAGGTAGAAGGAAACTAGATGAAGAATCATGAAGTTGCACAGATCTCTCGACGATAAGACTCATAAGTTCAAAAGTAACGTTACGAGCATTATCACATAGAAGATTGTGCTGTAAGATTTCAGCATAAGAGTGACCTTCATTCTTCTTACTCACATTATAAACTGTGAATATGAGGATAGCCACAAGTCTCAAAATGGCAAGCCCATTCTCCATACCATCTTTGCCAAAATTCAACTCTTCCTCTGCTCCAGAAGAAAGAAGCTCATGAAATACTCCTCTTACTGAAGAAAGAACAGCAGCAAATGTCTCCATGCTGAAAGAAGTGATTAAAAATTAGAAGATACTAAAATGATTGTTTGTCGTACCTTATATATGCAAAATTAAGTACCTAGTACGAGTGAATAAAATGCCATGAAGCCGGACAAACTGGGTACAGAATTCCTTATATTTCTCCTTGACACTAACTTCTCTGTCCCCATTGGTCTTTGTTGTCTCAATCAGCTGATTATAGTTTTGACGATTCTGTAATAATCCCAAATATCATATCAGAAACAAACTCTATTAGAATCATTCAACCAGCTAACATGGAGTAACAAATTTACCCCTGCCTCAATGCTTAAAATGAATTAAATTGTGATGATAGACAATACTTAGCTTATTCCTTACCAAGAAAACCAAAAAAAACAAAATAGTAGTAAAAATCTCATCAAAATGAGGAAACCTTGGAAGGCATTTCAAGAGATGGATCATGAGATTCATAACATACAAATCCTTAAAGTAATGAGAACATTATAAATGATAGGAAGATACTTATCCACTGTTTTAAACAAACATCCATCCAAGTGAAACCCAGCACATAGCAGAGAAAACAAATCAAGCAAAAGCACCTCACTCCTCAAGCTTGAGTGCTTGACCAAATACATCCAATGAGAGGCATGAAAACTTAAATTAAAGCACCATATGTTTACATGTAGTATGTGAGTGGTTTTATTTTTGTACCTTTTCAAATGCAATAACCAAATTGTCTTTTGCAGTTGGAAAGGGGATCTCAGCAGCCAAACTTCTAAAATAACGGTAAACAGCCACCAGTTCATCACTTGAGTATGTAGACAATATTGCAAGCTGACAAGACAACATTGACCCAGGATAAATAATTTTTAGAAATCAAACAAAAATCTATACAATATTAAGAAAAAAATTTACTATCAAAGAAATAAGAAAAATAGAACCAACAATCATATAGATAAGATGACAAACCTGATGATGTGGATTGCCGTTGGATGGCCAAAGAGACGCAGCTTGCAGATAGTAACTTGACGCTGCAGAAAACTCACGAACTCTAGATTCACCCTCCCCATACACACCTTTGTAACGTGCAAGATCACCTAGATAAATGAGACTACGATGACAAGAAACTAGTGCCTTCTTCACATCAGATGACTTAGCAGTGTCAGTTCCCATAACAGTATCACTGTCTGAATCTTCAGTAAAATGCCCTAAAGGGAGACCATACTTCGCTCTAATTTTAAGAATCAAGTCATGATAGAAGCCAGTAGCCTCAGATAGGAAGGCCTTAAACTGAACACGGATTTTTGTTATTCTGTCTTGTACTTGAGGAGCTCTCCCGCTGTTAGTTGCAGATGATCGCACAGAAGCTTGAGCAGCACTGAAGTGTCCTCTGAATTCCTCAATTCGCTTGTAATGAAGTTGCCATAGGGAAAATTCAATATTATGCTGTTCAGAAAAGGCATGATCTTCAAGAATTATTGCCTCATAGTTCTCTCTTATCTGATACCAAGCATTAGGATCAGATGGAATCTTAGCCTGGAGAGACTTCTGCCGCTTCTTTTCCAACTCAATGTTCTACAGGAAATGAATTTTCAGAGTGCATAAGATAATATAATAAACAGCATGAAAAATTGAAAAGTATCTGACATAAGACTTCATGTCCAATTACAAAAGCATTAACAGACAAGAAAAGGAGCACATGCACATTAATAAGCTCACGATCAGCAATATCTGACAATGGAGAGAAGCACAACTGCAAAGCATTGAAAATGGAAGGACATAACAACACACCTTGTTATATAACTGCAGAGCACGTTCCTTTGATGCTGAATTAGGTGTCTTTTCCATCTGAACAACCATCAATAATGACTATCTCGATTTCACTCAACATTAACCCTGATCATAAAATTTAAACAAAACCATCACAAACATCTCGACAGAGCATTTGAGGGATGGGGGTGGGGGTGGGGGTGCTGAACCTCCACAACAATTAACCATATTGAAAGCCAATACAGCAGATATTTGATGCCTTAAAAAGCTCAGAAAACTCCAAACAATTTCTAACAAGTCTAAGTTATTGGACTTTGATTCGGCAAGACATTGAAAAGGGTCCTATTGAACTAACAAACTAACAGTATCAATCCAAGCCGAGATTAAAGCCAACTTTAAATTTGCAATTACCTATCCAAACTCTAAGAAAAATAAGTTTTCAAACTTCACAAGTGCTAAAATCATGAAAATGCTGGCAACTCAGCATAATTGGAAGCCCTAGAATAAGACAATTACATATCAATCAGAATTACCAACAAGGCCGACATATTTGCAACCCTAGGCAATTCATCATCAAATTCAATACTAATCAACTTGGTGTTTCATAACACGACTTCAAAATTAAAACCCACAACCTACTAAACCCTATCAGGCTTCAAAAACCCAGATTGCACAACACCTCCATTCAATGATCGCAAGTTCATTCTCATAGCCCAAACCTATATTAGCGACTAATCCGACACCGCAGCAGATGGAACCCCATATACATTAAGCAAACTAAAACTATATTTAAGAACCTGAACAAGTCAAAACTGATGATAATGCTAATTTCAACAAACATGGAACAAAAACCCCAACATAAGCAAGATATAAAAAAATCAAGTCTTGACATAAAGTAAAGGAACCGATCAACCCAAAATTGATTTCAACGCAAAAATCAACACTTTCATCAATATAATGTAAACCCACATAAGAATCCATAAACCCAGAAAAGGGCTCAATCCAATTAACAAATTAATTATTAAAAAACCCCAAATTTTAGGGAAATTTTACATAATTGACAATTGGGAACCCAACAATTAAAGGGGAAAAAAAAATCAAATAGCATAAAAAACCAACAATGTCAATGAAAAACAACAACGACCCATGAAATAATTAGACAATCAGAAATCAAAAACAAGAAATTGAAGAAGATAAGAGTAGAATAACTTACCCCCCCAAGAAGGAGGAAGAGTGGTGAGAGACAGAATGGAAGGTGAAGTAGAGAGAGAAAAGGGTAGAAATTGTATTGGTGGGTCAATCTTAGAGAGAGAAAATAATGTGAGAGATTTGGGGGAAAAAGACTCAGAGCCTCAGGTCTCACAAAACCTTAAGAGGCGGAAGATACCACGTTTTTGTAAGAAATTTTGCAAATAATTACTTGTATCAAAAATTACTCTTCCTTTCATAACAATTAACACATTTAATTTTTTAACTTCGACTATAGTCTTATAAAATGTTTTAAAACAGATTTTGATATATTGTTTTGTAATATCAATTTAATCCGTATGATTTTTATTTAAATGTGTTAAGTTTGACCGTGTCAATTATTGTAGAACAAAAAAAGTATATACATTCCTCCATCTCCTTCTATTTCAAAACAATCGACACTACTCCCTCCAATCCTGAACAATTGACGCAGTCAAACTTGACACATATGTCAATGCACAATTTAGTTATTTAACAATACGAGTATATTTAATGATTAAATTTGTTTTTTTATATGTTAATAATAAACGAGGGTCAAAGTTAGTATATGAATGGTAAAAAAAGTCAAACGTGTCAATTATCACATAGAGTATATTTAATGGTTCAATTAATTATAACTCGAACACAAAACTAGTATGTTATAAATACATAATGTTCGTTTATATATATATATATATATATATATATATATATATATATATATATATATATATATATATATATAGGGTGAGCAGAAATTCAGGGTACCCTGATATGGAACCGGAACCTGTTCGGAACCGTAGGTTCCAAACCCGGAACCTGTTGATCAGGTTCCGGTTTCGGGTAATAAAATTAGGAACCTGTTGCAACAGGTTCCGGTTCCGGGTAATAAAATTTTGGATCTAGAACCTGTAGGGTACCCTGTTAGTACAGGTTTCCTATAGGGTACATGAAACCGGAACCTATATGGTATTAAAAATTCTAGACAATTAGTGGGTTTGTTATATTTGAATTACTATACTAAAGTTGTAAGCTTTTATTGTGATCATCTATTTTAAAAAAAAAAAAATTTGTCACAATTTATCAAGTAACTATTAAACTTACTTAGACAGACAGGGTACCCTGTTTAGGAACCGGAACCTGCAGGTTCCGGTTCCGATTCTCAATTCTTAGGAACCTGTTGCAACAGCTTCCGGTTCCTATTTTTAGGAACCTGTTGCAACAAGTTCCGGTTCCGGGTCCTGATATTTTTACAGGGTACCCTGCTACGCTCACCCCTATATATATATATATATAATATTTTGATTGATTAAAATAAATATAGTTAAATTTATTTATTCAATTTTTCAAGATTAATTGACTTATTAAAGTACAAGAAATTAGGAATGGTGGTGATACATTTTTTTTTAATCTCACACTGTTACACATATAATTATTGAATAATTGTTAATTTGTCAGAGGACAGCTTAAGATGTTGGTTGAAATTCACGATCGATTTATATACTCTACCAGATTCATTATTGAAATAATATAAATATCTTCCTACTAATGATACTAGAGAAAATACACCTTTTATATTATTTGCAACGATTGCGATTAGACATTTTCCCTCTCTACTTTATGTCAAATTGTTGCAAATAATGTGTAACGGAGGTAGTAACACGTAGTGTATTTCAAAAAAAAAAAAAAAAACATTAAAGAGCTAGTTTTTACCAAATAAATAAATAAATAAAGATAGGGGAAGAGATAGATCAATGACTCATAAAATTGGAAGGAAAAAGTCCAATAAATTTCAAACAAAGTCATAGAGTAACGCCTAACCAACCTAATAATCTTAAAATTAAAGAGATAACAAATCATTTGGAAAATGAGATACAAAAACTCTCAACCTGAGCAAAATTGCAGACAAGGTTTTCAGAGTAGGGTATAACTCGAGTCACTTGACGATGTTTTCAGGAGACTTGAACATAAAGTTGAGCTCCTACAACTCTGATTTATGCTGTCAAACTGTTGCTATCGATCGTGCTGCAGTTGCATCTGCCTTTTGGAGTGATCATACGCTGGGTTCTGTAAACTTTTGTACATATTTATGCTGTCAAACTGTTGCTATCGATCGTGCTGCAGTTGCATCTGCCTTTTGGAGTGATCATACGCTGGGTTCTGTAAACTTTTGTACATAACTAGAACGGAGGGAGTACAGAACTACCAATGAACTTGAAACTATTTTACTTCGTAATATATATGAATATATTGATAGTGTATTTACAGTACGGGAAATCATTTCCTCGATTAGCTACAAGCCTACAACAAACATGCAACATCCACCTTCAGATGCAGATAACTACCATAATCTATCTAGTGACACTAGGCTGAGACCTCTCAAACAGTTCAACAGATTAAAACAAAAGTTTGCAATGCTTTAGTATGTACAGAACGTAAAGGACAGCACCACAATTATAAACAAACTTAACTACGAAATTTGATGTATGATTGTTCATTCCATCTTCACATTTGCCCGCCAACTCCATCCTTTTCACCTAATATTGCTCAGCCATCCAAATTGAAGCAGAGATTGTCCTGATCCAAACTTCACGAGATATGTTCTGTAAGGTATGAGGATGTTCCTGAGACCTGCCAGCAAAATCAACCAGCAATTGTATCAAGAATAGGTCAACAATCAACGGTTAAAAGAAAAGTGTAAGAAAACATAAACGCGAAGTACCTTGTGTGCACATTGTTCTATAAACATGAGCAACGTGCTTATTCCCCTTAGTGTGCACTTGAGTCTTCTCTAAGCACTCCAGAAAAGCCAGATCAGCTTCCAGCAGCTTTGCTTGGTCATGAGTGTCATAGCCTATATCATGACAATAGCAACAATAATCCAACCAATCTATAGGGCGCTTGTCCCAAACATGGGAGCCTCCATCCTTCCCACTGGACCAATTTGGCCCACAGTAGTGACCATATCTTGGAAAGAACTGAGACAAGAAAGCCCGAGGTCCAGTATGCCAAGGAACCTTAGATACATAAGGCCTAAACCGTAATTGAGGGGACTGAGAAGATAATGACACATCACCAGCTCTAGATCTTGCTCGTCTTTTCAACCCTTTATTAATAGTAGTTGGCATAGGCAATCTATCTCTAAGATTGACAGCCCAAGGGATGATCGAAAGAAGAGACCATCCAAAGAAGTTGAAATCAATGGATGGCCAATTCTTAGGCGACTCTGTAACTATTAGTGGCGGCTTCAATGTTTGCTCCATCTCGCTATTCTTCCTAGGAATTTGATCAGGAAACTTGAAGCTCATCACTACAAAAAGGGATAAGCTAACCTTGAGGCGAAAACGTCCTTAACACCAGATCAAAAATTTCCCCTGTCAATTTATACACAACACCATACTGTCAATAAAACCTTATATTCACCCACAATCTTCTGAACACAAGGTCCACTTCTACCTCAGAATCTTCATTCACAACATATTATTTGTACTGCTGTATGTTAAGTGTTAACCTTAAACATTCAGCTAAGTCATCCTACACTCGATCACACCAAATTAGACCATATTCGAGATGTCGAAAATTACTTGATGAACATGACAAAATTTATGAGAATATACCACAAACTATGGACTTTCATAAAGCATGGCAAGAAAGAAAGACTTAAACACTCATCTTCTACTCTCAATCAAAATTTTGCAAAAATTCTCTTAATTTACATCTAAAATTCCAGAGAGATAACATGCACACAAATAAATAGTTTATAAATTCAATAAATTCATCATCTTCAAAAACCCAAAAACCTCACATAGAGAAAGAGAAATCCACTTCAATTATTCATCAATTTTCACCCAATTTCATAAAATTAACTGATGGGTTATTGAAAACATTGATGGAAAAAAAAAAAACCAATTAATCTTATCTTTCTCTTGAATTATCAATTCAACAAAACACATAATTCAAATCCTAAAAGGGACGTAAAACCCAAAATTCAAAAGCATTCATTCAATAATTCCCAGAAATTTACAGCAAAATTAAGATTAAAAACACACGAAATCATGCAATTCAAAATAAAAAAAATGGAATAGACTTACATGGGCAATTGGGAAAATCATCATAAGAATCGTAATCAAAAGAGCAACCAGAATGAGCGAGAGGAGAGAGAAAGCGACAATCAAAGGAAGAAGAAGTAAGTGTTGTTGAGTGGCGTGTTAATTTCCTGGTTAAGAAGAGAGAGGAAAACGGAAAAAGATGGGAATTTTGTTTTCAAAAGAATTAAATGGTGGATATTCGATTTCATTCAATCTTCAATTTTCCAATTACAAATTCAATTTGCAGATCATACGCCGCTTTTTATTGGGCATTGTGGTTTGTTTTTATGTTGCTTAACATTTTGTACCATATCTTTTTTTTATTATTATTATTATTATTAATACGAGTATAATAATATTGTCTCCGTATTGACCGTATATATGTATTGCATTATTGAGTACGGAGTATTTAAGTGGTCAATGTGGTAATTGTGGTTTACACAAATTCTCGTACACGAGATAATACTCTTGGTTGTACCATGCACAGTAGTACTGTACACATGGTAAGCTTTGTGTTTCGGATATTTATAGATTGTGCTTAGATAGAATGTATTTATGTATGCTTGTGACGCACATTTAGAGTATGTTCTTTTCAGATTATTTTCAATTCAATTTTTAATTTCCTTCTCTCGTAAAATATTCAGTTCAGTCAAACAGAACAAGCCTTTAATTGCAATATTCGAAGATGCTTATCATTGATGCATCATTGAAGAACCAAAACAGACGTATTTTTGAAGATTGATTTCAATTAGGTTGTGAGAATAAGAGGCCCATTTAAGAATGTTGCTTATCAAAGCAATTTATCATAATAATGAGAGTACAGGCTTTTATTTAGCTAAGAACAAATAAACTCATGCTAACCAGAGTTTGCACAAGGCGATCAAACTACGGTACCAAAGATTGACAAGTACTTATATTACTTTGATTACATGAAGATAAAAGATACACAGACGTAATTATATACAGAATAATAGCATATACTACCGAGTACTCCGTAATAAACTACAACATTTCCAAAAGCTTTGTATAAAGAGGATCACACAATGAAGAGTTGCATACAACAAATTGTAAGAGAACCATTCTACAATACTTACTAAAATACTAGATACATCGCTCCAGGTCTATTTTTGTTCCCTCTTTTTTTGAGTCATTTTTTCATACTGTGATACAAAACAATGATATACATACAATACAAGCTACCATTCTACATAGTTTAGAATCAGAAGAAATGGGAGGGGAGAAAAGAAAGAGATACTATCCTTATCTGCGATTCCACGGCCAAAAACTAAAGAACACAAAACTCTCTAAATCAAGAAAGGGCAAAAGCAGAGATCATTTGAGTAGAGCACAAAAAAATTACAGGAGAACTATATGCAATCAGTAAAAGGATGTACAAATAATAAACAACAGGGTTATCTCTTCGATTGTTCAAGCTGAGCATGTGGACAGTCAGCTCCATGACGGCGAAGATGGTCTGTACAAATAGTCTTGGGAGTTTGCCACCCCATAATTCAAATCCAGGTTGTGAAGCTGCTCCATCAGTTGAGATCGCCGCTCCTTGAAAAAGTCAAGCCGGGTTGTTAACTCTACTAATGTTGATGATGCTGCTGATGGATGTCGGGGAAAATCCAATACCTGCAAGTTTAACAAGTGTGATAAAATCAATGTCAGCAAAGTCTAGCTGATAATGGGTCAGGCCAGAAAATGCCATAACCCGCAAAACTTTGGCAAGGCTTAGCTGCCCTAAGACTAAAATAGCTTGAAAACAAACTTCGGGCTGAACTTGCCAAAAAAAAAAAAAAAAAGTTTAGTTACAGAAGTAGAACATTTCGAAACAGAGTGGAATCAACACATATCTGTGCTTTCCAGAGGTACAACAGAAGCCTTACCTCCGGTAATCTTGAAGTGGATGGCATAGAAGCAGAATCAACACCACCAAATTCATCAAAAGACATGTTGGCAGATGTTTCTGTGCTTTTTGAATCACTTAAACTAGTCGGTTCTAGAAACTGCTTGCGAGGCTGCCGGCTACTACTCCCAGCAGCTGATACTTGTCCCTTGACGTGATTCCACTCTGGCGGCAGCGATCCCTCCTGAAGCATAACATTGCAAGACACTTGTTAACAAGGTGGAAATAGTTCTCGGGCAACAGTGTGGAATCAAAACCGAACAAATACTGGGATTGTCCCATGGGCTATTTGTGTTCACTCTTTAAGGAGGGACAGAAGCTACAGAGCAGAGAAAACACAATTTACAAGCTTTGGGAGTTTTTTTTTTTCCACATTTAATCAAAAGCACTATACCAAACATATGGTGTGATGACCATACTGTTGTAAGAGAAAAGGCTAGTACAATTAATTTAATCCATTTCAATTCTACCATATATGACCTAGATCCAACTATCTGTCTGCTTTTCCAGTGATCAATGAAGGTAAGGCCAATATTGTAAAGGAAGGAGTGGTACCAAGAGTAAAAAAACAAGGAAAAAAAAAAGAAGATTTAAGAAGCATAAAAAAGAAAGAGACGAACAAAACAAAGGAATAAGATCTTTTAAGGTTCCAAAAAACTAGCAAAGGATCATGTCAGGGAGAATATACCTCACTTCGTTGTTTCCTTTCATGATTACAGAAAGCAAGGGTACTATCAAAATCTTGCTGAAGAAATCTCCTGCACATAGCATGATTACAGTAAGACTTCCCCCTTTTAGATCAGGAAAGAATTGACAGTTAAGTCATATTACACAGCATCCAAGTAATTAATAAATCAGACTCCCAATCAATGGGGTAATTAGTTTAACAGACCTTCACAAGATTCACTAGCTATAAATATGCTCCATCCTTTTGTGCCCCCCCCCCCCCCCCCAAAACCCTACACCCCAGAATTTAGAAACACAAATGTTGGCAAAGTTGTAATATGACCATAAACGCAAACTTAGAGGTAAACCCAGCCTCCGGAATGACCATTCTCTCTGATGGAAGAAACGGAACTAGAAGGAAAACAGCAAGCAGTCTAGTCGACGCATCACACAAATTCATACAACTTTGGTTGGAATCAAATCGTATGGTTCTCCAGCAGAAACCTTGAATTTTTTCATACTATCATTGAGTAGAACTAATCAAAATTCCTTGCCTGTTGCAACTGACTGCTTAAGCTTTGAGACCAGAACCCTAATGTTTGGCATATAGGACTCAACCAGCTTCAGCAATCTTATTTACTAAACCCGGCTTATATATGAGTGATGAATCCATTTCACTGTTAAACCATATTATCATGAGCATAGAATCAACTGAATGGTAACTAAAACACAATTAACACTGCATATGCTCAACACTTTGTTTGGATAGGAAGAAATGGAAGGAAAAGAAGAGAAGAGAAATGGAGGGGGACAAAATCTCTTGTTTGGGTAAAAGATTGGGGGAAGGAGAGGGAAGGATCCATTTTCCCTCTCTTTAATAACCATAATCTCTCCAAAATTGGAGAGATTTGGAAGGAAAATGGAGCTCACCTCCCCCTCCCTTTCTTTTCCCTTCCCTTCCTCCATTTTCCCTCCCCTTCTTTTCCTTCCTTCTTTACTATCCAAACAAAGCGCAAAGCAAGAATGAACAATAAGCAATCAATGAAGCAAAAAACAAAGATATACTCTAATACCTGTCACATGCATCAGATAGTGAACCAAACTGATGTTGCCGTTGCTGATTGAGTTGGTGGTGCAATTCTGCCACCTTTTGCTTCAACCGGGCCACATCAGCCTCAGCAAGAGCAATCTCCTCAAGCTCAGCCCTTATCTTCACATTCAGGAGAGCATAATTAAGTAAATATTATGTCCAAGATAGAATGGCAAAGAAAGCACGTGACAATTGAGAAGAAAGATGAATATCACAGACTGATCTAATGTACACACCTTGGAATCCATACCGCGTGAACTAGAAAGTTGCCCAGAGGACATGCTTAAACCAACCTCTAATGCAGCTCTAAGATCTCTTTCAGCTTGCAGCTGCTCTTGTAGTCTTTGTACCTGGCATTAAAAAGCTTGTGTGAAGAAGTAACCAACACATTCTCTAAAAAACACTAAGAGACTACATAAAAAATCACAGCAATACTGTTCCAAGGATACAGATGAACATAATTACTTCAGAAGGACCAATCAAACAATTTAATTAATAACCAAATAGCAGAAGCAGGTGAGCTTGCTTTAACAAAAAAGATTCCAATTTACAAGTTGCCAAGTCATTGGAGATTTTATAGCATACAAATTTGAGATGTATCTATTTAGCTCAATATTATAGACTTAAAAAAGATTAAAGAGTGTGAATAGAGATGAGCATACATCTTGTTCAAGCGCTAAACGCCGCTCATGCAGAGCTTGTTTCCTTCTCTCCAAGCTCGCTTGTAATATCGCATTTCCCCTTGCCTGTCAGACATGAACATAAAATTGTTTCAGCAACAACTAATTATATTCATCAGGCAAAACTATTTCAACATATTATATTTCAATAAACCTCTTTTGCAATTCTGTGTCGCAGGTCATTCTTTGTAATTTCAAGCCTCTGGATGGCATGTCTGAAAAAATTAAAAAAAAAAATAGTCAAAATATTAAGGGGGGAAAATAATTTTAAGCAACAATGATAGTAAAATCTAATAGAAGAGCAGCAGGATCAGGATAATGATAACACAATTACAAAGAAAACAGTTCCTACAAAAATCTAGAGCACCTAATACTACAGAAAGACGAAAGAGCGAAAAGGAGTTTAGAGAAAAAGAGCTCTTACTCTTCCTCTCCCGAGGAATCAACTGACTCCATAGATGGTGTTTTACGAACCTGAAAAGGAAAACAAAAATATCATCAGATTCAAACATCTAAACTAGATGGCACCAATTCATCACGATTTAAGAGATAATATTCCCTTATCAAGATTATAAACAAAATAATATGCATCAGCTAATAGGATACTCAAATCCAGCACATACAAACAATTAAGAGAGGCAAGATAGCAGAAGAAAAACCTAGTCGATTCACTAGCAGCAAAAGTTATTGTTCTAGGCGTAACACAAACAACAAATAATTCATATTTTTTTTGCTTTAATCACAACTGGAACCTTAGCTTTCGACTACTCAATGCCAGCTTTTATGCAAGAGTTATAGGTGTTTGCCAGTTAAAACTAATTGAATAATCCCACATCAAACAAGCCAATATCAAAATGCTTCCCAACCTCTGTAAAGGAAAAAACAACAAATAAAGCTTCATATCAACTTCATAAAGTAAATTCACGGAAAAAAACAAAGCTAACCAATATCAGTCCACTAGTTATAATAAAACAATCCATAAAGAAAAGAAATTATACAAGCTAACATCAGAAATTATTGCCACAATGGCTTGGGAAAAATAAAATAAAATAAAATAAAAGTTTGAGAGCATCATTTTAGATTTTAGCTATACTAGCAACAAAAATGCTTAGTAGAAAGTAAGTAAAGTGAGCTTACAGCGCCTCTGTTCCAAAAATTTGAACGCTTAGCACCAGAGCCAGTGAGTTTACTTGTAGGTTTTTCAGCACTTGATTCAGGACCTGCAACAGGTAGCGGAGGTCCCGGATCCATTGATGACAGTATCTCCCCCATTGAACGATAAGATTCCCCAGCAGTTACCTTAGGACTGCTCGTGCCATTTGTCAAGCTTTCAGTCACCTTTACTGGTTTATTTTGTTCACTCAACTCTCCATTAGAATCCCTCAATGTTTGAGTATCGCTACGAGGTTTAGAATTGACAGATGATGCATTATTCGTTCTAGGTGATCCATCAGAATCATCACCTCCAAAAGGCTGAACCTGAATGTCAGAACAGAAACCAAAGTAAGTGAACAGACATAGCCTTTTATTAATAGAACTCCAGATTTAAAAACCAGATCGTTTCAGGCATTTAAGCAGCAGCTCCAGTACAGAAAAGTAATAGTTATTACCACTAAAAATTTCACCCCATCAGAATTTATAGACTGGCATGCACACAGCCACCTTATATGGTGCACTGTAGTAACTGTACATGTGTACACTAAAGCTTGCATGCATAAAAGCAGGTAAAACAAGATATAGAGTAAAGTATTCTGAACTAGAGTATACATTCATGGCCAAGTGACACATAAATCATAAATTTAAAATTTTCAATAATTAAAAACTGGCTGCAGATCTTATTAATTACTTGGCCCTTTCTAGTATGTCTGATTGCTCATTCAAAGGTTCAAACAGGTTGATAGGAAAATAAATTGAGAGAACCTTATAGTCATAAAGGTCACTGCCTCCATATCCACTGCTCTCACTAAGTTTACCACTCAATACACGTTCCTGGTCATCATCTGTTTCTTGATCTGCTCCATTATCAGCATTATGATACCCATTTTCTTTAACCTCCAGATTTTCATCATCGGTAGAATCATCGCTCCCACTATTTTCAATCCGAGAGTCTGCTGAAATTGAACATCTCTGTAAACTATCATCCTGAAAGAGAAAAAGATATATACAATAAGTAAATAGATAAGCAAGAGAATATATAAGATAAGTAGATAAGATAGATAAGCAAGAGAATAAATATAAGTAGATAAGTAAATAACACAAAATATTACTAAAGTAAGACACAAAGCAAGAGAATATAAAAGTAAATAAATAAGCAAGAGAATAAATATGAGAACATATAAATAAGACAGAAAAATGTAAGAATATCTTATCTTGCTTAAAGCCACAACAAGTAAGACACAGCACAAGTTTATGCCCAAGACAGACATGTAGGAGCAATTAATAATTTAGCTCATATATTATAGAAGCATTCACTATATGAATATAAAGAAATAATCAAACCATGATGAACAGTTCAGAATCAGAGAGAAATTCATATTAGAGGGTTGCTCTTCCTTCCAGGGAAGAGATCAGCTTGTGGTAAAACATGAGTCCAAGTTCATGGGGTAAAAACAGTTCGTACGCCCATTGTTCATTTAAGCATGGGGATTGCAGATAGGTTTTCTGTTAACAACAGAAAGTTGCCAGAATGGTTTTTTTTTTTTTTTGAAAAATGCCAGAATGATTATTAAACCTCTAAAATCGTGCCACAAATTTTCAAGAGATTGTTATTTCATATTTTTGTAGCGTAAGAATGCACGTCCAAGAATGGAAAGAATAAATGATAAAGAAAACAGATAAACCAACAAATGAACTATGGTATGATTGTACTAAGGAAGGGAGAAGAAGCATGAGACTAACAAAAGCCTATTAACCACAGTTAACAAGAGCTGCCCACAAGTCTTGGTCAAAAAATACTTCTCATTGCTTAGGCAAGCATCAAAGCAGATAACAAACTAAAAATAACTTACATCAAAGATATTCTCATACTCCTCCAGAAGAGTTGCAATAATTGCCTGAGCATTATTAGCAGCATTTGCTGCGGCCAGAAGCTGGGCTGAATTATCACCATTCATATCAAAGTCATCATCCAGCTCACACTCGCCCGCTAAAAGAGGGCGTAGAAGCAAAGGTGCCATGCAAGCAGCAACAGCAGAAGGAGTCATCCGATTCTCAGAAGAATAAGAAGCAACTGTGTGCATCATTTTCAAAATTCTGCAAAAAGAGATGCAAAAAAAAAAAAAAACAAATTTGATCAGAACCAATGAAATGACAACTTTAACAAGATTTTTGATACTGCAAAATGCTTTATAAAGCATGCAACTTGATCAATATGAATTATAAGCAATGCTCTCAACACAAATCCAGAATGACAACTAACATTACAGATTACAGAAATGCCGATGTCTCTAATCTCTTAAAAGATACTGAACACCTTAACTCTTAAAAAAAGCACGCTTAAGAGACACACACCTCATATAAACTCCTCTAATCTAATATAGTCCATAGTACGTTTCACTCATGTCCAATTTCAATAGACACTCTCAACCAGTATGCAGCTGTATTAAAGTTCATGCAATTTGCTTCCATCTCTGGTTTTAGTGTCACTCAAAATTTTGAATCACTATCAACCAAATGACAGAAGAATGGAAAATAATCAATAATGATGTACTTAAAGGTTGGTTAGGACCTCAATACATAATTTAAGAGAAGAATATAGTATTCTAGCCTTCAGATAAGATTGTCACATAAGATGAAAACAATAGCAAAATCTTTCACTCGGCCAACAATCAGTCGACCACAGCCCAGGTTGTGAAACTCACCAAGCAAAATTGCTATCCCCCATTTTAATACTAAAGTTGTTCAAATAACAAATCTCTGCAAATCAATAAATGACATTATTCTTTCTTGGCCAGTCAATTTGTTTCTGCCACTGCTACTGTGACCATACAAATGCCAAAACCATTTATTCTACTAATCATGGAGACATTTACAATAGACAACATGCTTTAGAAGCTAAGAAAAAGAGGACGGACAGCAGCAAGCAACAATCTTAAGTGGTTTTCTTTTTGCAGCATTCAATCCTGACATGTTATATATTATTCATATTTCCATAATGCCAAGGGGAGAGAGGGAAGCTGTACCAAAAATGATATTCAGGCAAGGTACTCCAGAAGTCAAAGTAAACCAAAAGGTCATACAGATGATTACAGAAGTATAGAGATTTAAAAATATTTTTAAAAAAAATTAAAAAAAGAAATTAGAAAGAAGTCCCATAAATAAACCAAATTACAAGCATAAAAATAAGGAATAATAGATGGAGAAAACACCTTTGCAACAATCGCCTATTAGGTTCTGGAAATGTCTCCAGTATCGCCGATCGCATAGCATTCACCCGTGGTTCCTTGCGATCTATTTCTGAAAAAGTTACCAAACAGCAAATATTACCATCCTTAGCAAATAAAGCTGAAAAGATGAATATGTGAGATATTGGCCATGATTTTTACTAATCAATAACAAATGCGAGGAAAACTAAGGGCAAGAACTCCTTCAATTTAAAGCTGAAATGGTGTTGGAAAGTCCAAACAGCTCAGCATGAATGTAAACAATAAGTCAACTGGTAACATACATCAAGTTTCCCCAACAACAATCACTTTGAATGAAACCGGTCAGTAAAGAAGAGAGAAGAAAGACACATGTCCCAAGAGTTGTAGCTAAAATAAATAAATGATAATTTATAAAAGAAAACAATCCATGTAGCTGATATAAAGCACTAACTAGCAGAGATGACAGGGTTCAAATATTCACTTTAAGATTCAGTAAGTTGCGTTCAGGAATGATAAATTTAGTTCGGCATAGTTCAGGTAAAAAAAATAATTGTTGAAAACATCACCACAAATAAACTCAGGTAAGTTGTAAAGGGGGGTAGGGCTCCATTTTTCCTTTCAAATATTTTTGGTATTTGAAAAAAAAAAATACTTACCAAAAATAAAGTTCGGGTATGTTCAGTTCAGCAAAGAACTAACATGCTTTATCCATACAACTAAGTTTAGACAAGTTCAGGGGTTTAAAGGTTTGATATTAAGGCACAACAGAAGCCTGAAAACATGCAAAATGACTAAAAAATTCAGTAGACTTCACATTATAGTCCAAAGAAAATCAACAAACTAATATGAAGTAACATAACAATCTAACTAGCAAACCAGCTGAAATTTTGAATTAAGCCCAAGGAACTTAAACAGCTCAGATGTTCAAAAAAAGATATACTTCTACATTAATATACTGTAAGACAAACTTACTGTAAGCCTCAAGCAATGCAGTGCAGCAAGACGCTGGAACAGGAGAAGATGGAAGCTCGCGAAGGACATGCTGAATATTCAATGTTCCAAGAGAAAAATATCAGCCATAATACATAACAAGGTAATAGAATCAATTAACTGATAAAGAAACTCAAAATCACCTTCACACAGTCACCAACAACATGAGCATCCTCGTTGGGATCAAATTCATTATTGCCTGAAAAGGTACATATATAAACCCAATTTTGAAATGAGTACAGAATACTAATATATATAACAATAAAATATTCAGAAGTGATAAAATAAACCAAAAATGGACCTTGTTCATAATCCTGGACTCTGCGCTCCACCTCTTCAACATCTGCAGACTGTCGTAAAATTCCTTCCACTTTATTACCTGCCACAAAATAGGACACCATGAGATAAAGCATTCACTGCAGACACAACTACTAATACATTCCATTAATATCTCAACCAAATGATAAGATGTGCCTTCTATCAAGCAATAATGAACATTAGTATAGCCTCAAAACTATAGGAATCTGGCTGTAAAACAGCAGCCAGAAGTTCTAAATTGGAGTTTGAAAGTAACATTATAAAATCTAAACTACAAGAGAAAAAAGAGGGGGGGGGGGGGAGTTGCGGAGGATTAGAAATAAAAAATGGTATACTTCAACAAACAAAAGCAATCGCACTGAGCTAGAACATGTTGCAACACTGTTCATATTATGAAGAGGAATTTTAAAATAGAAAAGAATTTAAATTTGGAAGATGAAAATGCAATGCTAACAAATTCGAACAAAAAAGTGCCATTTAATCTCCCGCATGGAATGAGCAGTCTTATTTTTAAATATATACAAGTATATAACTCACCATAAGTTTCAAGAAATCGAAGAGCTTTCTCCAAAAAAGAGGGTCCACCATCTATATCCTCCAACGCAAGCAAGATTGGTCGTCCAACGACCAAAGACTTTACTGGGCGCTTGTCCCTCCCTGAAAGAAATTGAAAGAATCCATAGATCAAATGACATCCATCATTCAAAAACAAAAATGGATAACTCCCCTCTTAGAGGAAATACCTCAAAATAAATAGACAGAAATAAAGAAAACAAATTGATTTTCCAATTGCACTAAACAGAAGTAACAAATACACACATTGATTAAATGATCCATCAATCGCATCACTTGTGTCATTTCGAAATATGCCATTATGACCCATCACAAGGGCAGCACTAGGTGCCTGCGCAAGAGCTTGCTCCAAGGCTGTCTTCCATTCATATAAATCCTCTGAAGTCTCAGCCTAAAAAATAATCAGAAAAATAAAAAATAATCAGAAAAATAAAAAATAAAAGGATTACTAGCAGGAATAAAAGAATTCTAACAATGATCACAATATATCATACAGAACACATAGTAACTTGGTGACTGTCAAAAGGTACCTTAAGCGTAAATGCCCGACCATCACGTCCATCAGGGAAAAGTACTGTCAGTAACTTTTTGTCTTCTCGTACAACAACGCTGCAAAACAAGAGAAGAAACTCAGACTGAGACAAGGCAAGACAATGAGAATAATAAACAAAAGTCCCGATAGAAAAAACCACATACCTTCCCGAATTGTTCAAGTCAATACCACCCAACGTCAAATTTACTTCTCCGCCTCTTTGAGGAAGAGCACTCTAATAAAAGCCACAAAAAGTAACTATCAATTCACAAACAATGGGGAAAAAAAAAAGAGAGAGAGGAAGACTGAATAAAGTACAGATAGAATTCTGTTGGAAAATAGCATACTGTATCAAGAATCAAAAAACTGGCATTCATTGTAAATTACTTAGTCTCTATCACAGTTCATTAAAAGATATTTTGTCTCCATCACAGTTTGTATCATAGCACAGATAGACTACATGATAAGGGAACGCATGCTAAGTTAAAGAGAGGTCTAACAAAATGGCAAGGTAGAATAGAATAGAAGCTCTTTGTGTTAAAGGAGGGGGATGGCTTCAGCCAAAATCAGGGAAAGGAGAGATTACACTCCACAATCCAAAATGAAGCATGACGTAGCATGATGAATAGTTAAAAGATTAAAATAACTGTATTTCCAAGGTATATAACTTATCCCTTCAAAAGTCCATCAAACAACACATGCATCATGAACTATAATTGACAGGTATCAAAATTCATACAAACAAGAAAAGCAAAAGAAAAAGAAAAAAGAAAAAAGAAAAAGAAAAAGAAAAAAAAAGCATTCAATTCACCAAGGAGTGTAGGATAATCCTTAAGCCACTCAGACAGACTCCCCAAGAAATAGAACCAGTATCTTTTAGCCACCCCTTCCCAACCAAAAAATGCTAAGCAGCAAATAAAATCCTCTTATGATGGCCAGAAAGGGGACCTCTAAGAAATTTTCCAGTTAGTGGGATGGAATAAGGCAAGTTTCTCCTAAGTTGGATCTTAAATAAACAAAATAACCTGTAAATCCATATCTAAGTACACATTACATTCAGTAAACTTAAATCACCACTTATTCATCATTCAAAGGTCAGGGGCCAGAACCAAACCTACACAATATGGGTAAAAACAAAGGAAGCAACAAGATTTTATCGGAGAATTGTCAATCTATCATAATACATCTTCCATTTAGGGACCATTATCATTAAATCTTACTGCAACATTGAAAGTGAATAAAGAGGGAAACAATCAAAACAGGAACTAAAAATAATTGCCCAAGACGTAACTAAATGTTGAGAAGCACAATGTATCTTCATCTAGCATCATAGTAGTACACTAGGTTCAAAGGTATATTGAGATATCACGCAGTAAACCAACCAAAGGCAAAGCCTTAATTTTTTTTTTAATTTTTTTTTTTTTTTGGTTCCTTCTGATGACTCTCAAAGACTTAAATTCTAATATATCCAAATAAAGTTTATCGTAACAAAAGGAAACAAACTTAGAAAGACCAGCAATATTATTCGTTATACTGAATACCAAATGCAGAAGAGGTAACAACCAAACATTAAAGAGCTAGATGAGACTCACAGGATCATTTTTAAAGAACACTAAGGATGTGCGTGTCAGTATAAACCAACGCTTCTTCCAAGATTTCCAACCCAAACCTGCAGCAAAACAAGATAATGATCAGAGTTGCTCCAGGAATCAGAATCTAACAGAATTGTATCAAGAGGATCAAAAATCAACAAAATTCTAATCGTCAATAACTGGACCAGTCAGCAGGGGCCATAAATAGTGGTTCAGTTTATCATGGAGCCAAATTTGGAAAATATTTAGTTTTCCAGTTCAGATATAAGATTTCTCATAGGCTGTAAGATATTCCAAATGCGCACACAAATTTTGAACCAAATGGGATAAAAATTCACTACCTAGAAAGAATAAAAAAGGAAAGAAGATAATAAACCAACCTTTGGATGAGATGAAAAGTGGTCCACTCTTAAAAACCTGTAAAATTTTATGCACATCAGAACCTGTTACAAATACAGCCAAAAAAAACAGTGCAAAAGAAAAAAAAGAAAGACAATCTCTTTCTTACAAACCCACGTCTTCAATCAAGTAGATAGAGAAAGGGAGAAGAGGTAGAGAAAGAGTACAGAGAGAGAGAGAGAGAGAGGTCCAACCACCCTCATATATCTATATAAGGTGTGTTTCTGTAAGATAATTTTTGCATCATGCTTAATCACAAAGCTCATAGGTATAGACACAGTATAAAGTATTCCTTTCAACTTAGGAAAAAGTTCATAACATAGAATTAGCATTAGAGGATTTTTACTCTGTAGTGTGACCTATTCTCCCACTTTCATAATAAGTATTACTACTTCACTAGATACACCCACAGCTCTAAGTAATTTCCCACCCTTTTCTATGGTATATATGATCCCGCCTAAGGTGAAATTTGACAACGGTCTCCCAGTTTAGAGAGGAGGCAACAATACTAGAACTTGCAGATCCAGTACTAGGAATCCTATGCCCACCAAGAAAACTGTTGGCAGGCAATGGCAGCCAAAGGAATATTTACAGCATGAATGATCTAAAGAACTTAGGCAGGATGAGATCATCCTGCACATATTTGAATTACATACGGCGACACAAGCAATCATGTCAACTATACATTTACCTAGAAGGCTAGAGGTATATTAATCATAAATCTTTTCATTTCTTATATATCTATTGTAGAAATTAGACAACATAACTCTCTTCAGTTTTTAAGTATCTGTTCTAAAAGCAATCAACTAATCATATGTGCAAGGATTGGCCTGAAGCAATTATGTTTAAAGACCATATGAAACTCTATCACAATTCTCAAATTTTGAGTCACAAAATCTTAAGCCGACATTACCAATAATAATGAACACTACATTAAACAATTTTTTTTTAAAAAAAAAAAGCATGCAAGGTCTTAAGTCAATAGCATGTATAGCTGCACTGATCATTAATGGATGTTACCCAACATTTGGGATCCTCCTTAAAGTCCTTAGTAATGCTTTCCTAGCCTAAAATCATAGGTTGTGTCTTGTGCGTAACCATGCCCCGCCACACTCCCCTCGTTCACCTCCTTCAACAGTCCTTACCCCATGTGATATTTGCATACTACTCCCCTTTGAAATCTCTTTGCTGCTTATTTTTCTGGGAACGAATATTTTCTTCACAAGTATTCTGAGACTACAAGTCTGGAAGAAGTCTCTACTAGCCTCAGTTAGTTGGACTCAACATTCAAGATAACCAATTCACTATGACAATTGGACTTCCCCAGACCCTCCATACAGATTCACACTGACTGATAGTGGTAATCTGAATTATGTCATCATATTTACCATCGTCGAGATTAAAAAGTCAGGGCATCACTAATCCAGTAGCTACTCAGGTTTCCAGTAATGAAGGCATTCTTCACGCGATCACACTTAATAGTAACAATCCTTGTCTGAACTTAGAATGAATTCTTCTACACCCAAAAACCCTCCACCCTGGTAAAAAATTCTCATCCAATTCCATTTTCACTCGATTTGTTCAGAGAGCGATGCGATTTGAAGCGTGCTCAACAACAAATATCGCTGACGATTTGCAGCATACAAAGTACATTATTAATTAATCAACTGATAACAGCAAGACATACTTATTTAAAATTAATTAATTCGAACTCGACAATCATACAAAAAAATCTAGAAATTCCCTTCTTAGGTCTCAATTACCACAAAGATCACCCAATCGTGCCAATTAGTATAACAAAACAAATCATAGATTTCCATTTCCAACAAATTACATAAAAACAATAATTAACATACCTAAAATCATACCATTGCATCAATGTAGCATGCAATAAACACCAAATTAATCATTTCATACCAAATCAAACCCTTATTATTCAAATTCAAACATAATATAACAAGTACAACCCAAAATAAAGAGAAAGTCATAGTTCAATTAAAATACTACAAAAAAAACCAGAAAACAGTACCGTATTCGAAGGACCAAGTCTAGGACGTTCAAATGCAGCAATAGAAGCCGCCATTAATGGCACATCGAGAACTACAACAACAACAACTACTTCAACAACAACAACAACAACAACAGTCGAAGAACACTACTTTTTACAGTGAGAGTGAATCGAACGAGTGACTCATTGAGTCGACCCAGTACAAATCGGCGACGAATCGGAAGATCGGAGGAGAGAGAAAATCGAAAAGGGGGGGAAAATGGAATTTAGGGTTTTGATTTTTTTTGGAAGGGAGAAAGAATGGAGGAGAGAGAAAATGAAGAGATGATGATGGTGGTGGTGGTGGTGACTGGTGAAGAGGAAGCCAAAACAAAAAAGCACCCAACTGTACAACTAAAGTTTAGCAGTATACAAAAACAAAAACCCAAAATTATTTTTTTTATTAATTAATAATTTAATATACTCCCCAATAAAATTAATTTTTTTTTTCACTTTTTTTTATAAAAAAAAAAGTATATAATAAAATGAATAAATAAATAAAAGAAAATTTGATAATGGAGTGTTATTTTTGCAAGATTAGGTAGAGTGTAAAAGGGTAAGTGTATTGTTCACATTATTTTTTAGACAACTTTTTTTGGCATAAACTATGGAATGTGGGGAGAAGAAAGAGAGAGGGAGGGTATATTAATGTTTGTGGGTATTTTGTTGTGTGTAGAGTCTTTGTCAAGTATGGTCAACAGACCACTACTACTCAACTAAACAAATGGATTAGTAGTCAAGATGTTCTTAATTACGGCGTTTGCTTTTAACTTGATTGATGAGGTATTGGCTTATTGAAAAAGACTGTGGGTGTATGTACAATATGGTTTAAATTAACTTTTTTTGTGAACAAAGGCGTACATCAATTATTCGAAATTTTTATCTGTGTTTTGAAAGTTCCATAACTAATAGGCAAAATTCCATCTTACTATTGTCGCAAATTGAAATTTTTTGGGAAAAAAAATCGCTAAAAGGATTTATAACAAGAAAAAATGATGATTTTGGCAAATCATAAAATTAGCATCAGTTTTCATGTGTTGTTTGTTTACTCCGTCTCAAGGTTAAGCTTAGGGCCTATTCACGTTTACTTAATTTCGGTTCAATTCAATTCAGTTCGGCTCCTAATTTCCCTCTCTTATAAAATATTCATTTCAACTTAGTTCAATTCAGTTCAGCTCCAATCAGTTCAGTTTAGTAAATGTGAACTGGTCTTTAGTAAGTAGACAAAGAACTAATTTTATGGGAATTATTTATTTGGTCGAATAATATGTTATATTTATATTTTTATATATGGTAGATTTCTAAATATTTTCAAACAATGCATGTTTGTGATAATAAGGGTTTGTTCAAATTTATTGAAATGATTGAAGCTAAACTGAATTGAAATGAAATGAATTGATTGGAATTACTAAAATCATCTTTGTTCACATGTCTTTTTTCATTAAAAAAAATGGTTTTACTTGATTGTCTATGACATCATGATTTTTCTTTCCAATTATGTATTTTTCCAACAAAATTCAAACTCAAAAAGCAAGAAAAAAAACTTAAAATAAAAGTGTGAATATCAATCATCAAACCAGTATTAATGACTTTTCTCTTCCCAACCAACAATACTGTTTCATATACCGTAAGTGATTTTTTGCAAAATCAATTACGACTAGTTAATACTCCCTCTGTTTTAAATACTTGCTCCATTTCTATTTTTTGCACTATTCATCTATCTTAATTTGACTAATGTTTGTGATTTATACATAAAAAAAAATATAGTCTTGTGTGTACTTGTTGGAATCATCTCAATGAATAGATTATTAATTTTCAATTGTTAGAATTTATACTTATTAATAATTAAAGATATTAGTGATCAAATATTAGCATCGATATACGTGTCCAAGAGAAATGGAGCAAGTATTTAAAAACGGAGGGAGTAATTCATAATATAATACTCCATACTATTTTATTTTTAAAAAAAAAAAATATATAAATCATGCATTGTACAATTACTAATCTAACAACATTAATAAAAGAAAGAAGAAAAACACAAAAATAGACTAAGGTTGCATCAGTGTTGATTAATTTTTAAAAAAGCACTATAATTTAGGAGGGGGCCAAAATTCCATGCCTTGCCTTCACGGGTACCGGGAAAGTTGTACAATATTGGACCCACTTTACTGACTATCGCTTTAGAATGTAACATAGTCACCGGCTAATCAGTAAAACCATCTGTTTGATGTGGATTATTATCTGTCTAATGTAACTATACATTTTTTTAAAGGGAAAAAAAAATGTAGTGTAAGTTAAAAAAGCAGAGCCAAAAATGTGAGAGTTGTTAGGTTTTTGGAGGTTACTGGAGATTGTAGATTGTTTAGAATGTATTTGTTCCAAAGCACGTAATGTAATTCCTTCGTTTTTTATTACTCCATATTTGAATAATTGTTATACTTATATTGGGATACGACTTTGACTATTAATTTATCTAATCATATATTAATAACATTATAGGAAAATTGATATTATTAAAGTATACATTATAACGAATCCAATAATGTATTATTCAATATGATTTGTTTTTTTTTATATATTAGTACATTAATCAAGTCAAGACCATTACATGAATAGTGGAAAAAGTCAAACTGTAATACTTATTAAAACACGGAGAGAGTACCTACATCACAATACTTGCAACACATTACAATTAAAAAAGTACTTTATTTGCACTAAATGAGTATATATGGACTATAAGTGAGATGTATGAGAAATTTAATTACGTAGGATTGTGTATAAGCAAGTGCACATTTAAGATAAAGTTGTAATCAAAATGTTTTATATAAAGTACGAGTAGTTTTTTTTATTTATGGTGATGTCTCGGTATATTGATTGAACATGTTTTGTAACTGTGGCAATGTCTTGGCATGTTGATTGAACATCGATTATGTTATATGGTATGATCCTCTTCTACTCGACTTAAATGATATAAACATATGAGACATCATTACATATCTTACATATCTCACATAATTCCAGTCAATATAAATATATATATTTCTCACTTAATATGATTTTTTACAATTATAAAACAGAGTAGTACCCAGTATTTTTTTTTTATTTTTTTTTTGGAGAACTGTTTGTAAAAAAAACTTTCAAGTGTACATTATTGTTTAACAAACCTCAAAAGTATACGGTGCATTTTTCTAAACATTGGGCGTACTTGAAACAATTTTCTTTATTTTTCTTGCAGACAGAGTATGATAGATTATGAGCTATAAACATAATTGACCGAGGAACATGACAAAAGAAAATTATTTAAAATTGTTACATAAATGATTTAAATTTATCGCTAGGTTTTTATGTTTCTAATGTTGCCAGATAATGAGTTAGGGCCTAATCACATTTATTAAACTGAGATGAACTGAACTGAATTGAATATTTTATGAGAAAGAGAAATTAAGAGCTGAACTAAACTGATTGGAGCTTAACTGAAGTAAATGTGAACAGGCCCTTAGGGTCTGTTCTCATTGATTGAACTCAGTTGAATTGAACTGAACTGAGCTGAATTAAACTGAATTAAAATGAATATTTTATAAGAGAAGGAAATTAGGAGCTGAACTGAACTGAAATGAATATTTTATAAGAGAAGGAAATCAGGAGCTGAATTGAACTGAACTGAGCTGAGCTGAAATGAACTGAACTGAATTTTAACGTATGAGAACTGGCCCTTAGTAAATAAAAACTATTCCTAAATAATTTTTAGCATAATAAAAATATTTTAAAATTATCAGAGTCATAATTACATAGAATCATAAATTTCCTATACGATTTCATACAAAATAGCAACAGAGAATCCCCCTACTTCCAATACCATTTTGTAGTTAATAAGGTTTAAACTCGTGACCTCAATGTCACAAAGTAAGTTCTCCACCAACTCCGTATCGGAAAACACTTTATTAGTGATTCTATAAAACCGTATAGACTAGAGAGACGGTACTTTATTAAACTGTTTTTTAAAAAAAAAAATAAAAAATAGACTGTGGTCACTCGCTACTGCTCGTATAAATTTATACTCAACCGTGATCATTCAGTCATTCACCAAGTACATTTTCCTCATCAAAATAGGAACCTTTCCCTGTAATCTGGATTATAACACTCGAAATTCCAAAGGTATGAGTTTTTTCCTTTCAATTTTGTCTTAATCAACGTGTATAAATTTATCTTGTTCGATAAAAAAAATCAAATTGAGTTTATGCCCACCAACTGTTTGTTGAAATGCTTCAGAGACTACTTTTCGACAACCCTCGTTCATATCATCGTAATTATGCCCAATACAACTTAATATGCACAATTTCATCTCTCTCAACTCATTTTTCTGGGGAAAATTCAGTTCAGAGTGATAGTATAGATGCCCAAATAGTATCATTATGCAGAAAAGACCAATCTTTTGCAGCAGCAGCTGCATTATTTGACAATGCCTTTAGTTTAGGGACAACCCCTTCTGCCCAAACATGTAATTTCCTCGTTAATGAGCTTAGGAATGCAGGGGAGCATAAATTGGCATATTCGGTGTATAAGAAAATGACCCATGTTGGTGTTCAGCCACTGTTCTATTCACTGGCTGCCCTGGTTGAGTATTTGGTGAGATCGCCCGAGCCTGCTTACGCTTTAGGGGCTGTTGCGCTGTTACGGAAGCGTGGTTTTGGGGTTAAAGTATACCTCATGAATATTGTACTAAAGGGTTTGTGTCGAAACGGGGAAATAGATAGAGCAATGCAGGTTTTGCAAGAAATGTCGAACAACTCTATAATGCCTGATAATATTAGCTACAATACAGTAACCAATGCTCTTTGTAAGGCAAAGAGGGTGGTGGATGCGTCAAATTTGATGGATCAAATGAAGAGAGCAGGTTGCTGTCCTGATGTGAAATCGTATACTATTATTATAGATGGCTTGTGTAAAATGGGTAAGGTGGAAGATGCGATGGGATTGATGGAAGAGATGAAGGAAAACAATTTTGATGTGGATGTTGTTGCTTATAGTGCTCTCATCAAAGGTTTTTGCATACAAGGAAATGCTGATAAAGTTGAAGAGCTTTTTCATGAAATGTTGGAAAGGGGATTGACTCCTAATGTGATCTCTTATTCGTGTGTGTTGCATTTTTTTTTCCACAATGGGCCAGTGGAAAAAAGTTGCAGCAATGGTAAAAGAGATGACGGGAAGGGGGATATATCCGGATGCAACTATATATTCAGGTCTAATTGATGGACTTTGCAGAAATCAGAAGACTACAAAAGCTATTGCCATGTTGAAGTTGATGCTAGAGAAAGGTGAAGAACCACTTGCTGCAACGTACAATAGTGTGATCAGTGCTCTTTGCAAAGATGGTTTGGTATCTGAGTCTTTTGATATATTGAAAATGATGATGGATAAGGGGAGGAAGCCCGACATGCTTACATACACTACATTGCTCAAAGGTCTTCTTGACATTGGTAAAGTTGATGATGCGATAATGATTTTTAATTCAGTATTTGAAGATGAAGCTTATGTTCAGCCAGATGCTATGGCATTCAATACAATGATCATAGGGCTTTGCAAGGAAGGTTGCCTTAGTAAGGCTGAAGAATTTTACCGTAAGATGGTTGTAGCAGGAATCTGTGGGGATGAGGTCACTTATACCACACTCATTGGGGGGTATCTGAAGGCAGGAAATGTTTATGAATGTCTGGAGATATGGAAAAACATGCTCAGGGAGAGAATAGTTCCAACTTCATACACATATGGCATCTTGATTGATGGTTTCTGCAAGTTGCGTATGATTAACATTGCGAAAGGTCTTTTTTTGAAATTGAAGGATTTTGGTTTGAGTCCCCGAGATGTGGACTATAATATGTTGATGACAGCATTGTGTAAAGAAGGTAGTGTGGATCAGGCAAGGATGTTATTCAATAATATGAAGGAAACAAACTGTGAACCATGTATTATCTCATTTATGGTGATGATTCACGGAGCCCTTAAATCAGGTGATTTCCATTATGGCAAAACACTACTCACCGATATGCTTCAAAGGGGTTTGGCTCCTGATGCTATTTTGTTTTCCACGCTAATTGGGAGGTTCTCAGATGTTGGACTGATGGATGAGGCCAAGCAACTTTTTGAAAGGATGGTTGCTAAAGGCTTCACACCTACTAGTGATGTTTATCAGAATTTGCTTATGGGGTATTGTTTAAAGGGTGATATGAATGAAGTTATTAATTTGCTTCATCAAATGGCAGCTGAGAATCTTGAGCTAAACTCAGAGATGAGAGCAACAATCTTGACATGTCTGTGTCATTGCACTGATTTGAATATGGTGGATCTTCTTCCGACATTCTCTCAAGAAGCTCTAAAAGAAGATGGCATCCCTTGCAATGATTTTCTTGAAAATCTTCAGAAGTTCCATTCTAAAATTCCAAAGCTTGCTTCTTAATGCCCTTCCTGAAGAAACTTTAGCTTGTGTGATGGCTAGTAAGTCCATTCTCTTATTCTGTCATTGTTTATTTTTGATGTCAATAAACCTCTTTGCATCTATGGTTCTCTCTTTTTGTGTACAGTTGTCTGCCTTGGCTGCGGATACATATAGAACTCACCTTTTTTTTTTTGGTCTTTAGGTGGGCTCTTTGTTGATTGCATTCTTCACTTAACCACAAGTAACTTTCTGTTTGGATTCGACTCCTCTAGAAATAGCAGCAAATGAGGCAGCGGTTCTTGAAACTGAGCGCAACACATGCAGATGAACACAATCAAAAGTTTTGAGAGATAAACGAGGTAAGTATGGGTCAGTATCCAAACATTGTTGAGGCATCTGAGAGTTCAGAGACACAAATTGCTGCTCCACATCAATTGACAAACAATGTTGTTGTACATGAAATTCAACACAGCGCTCTTGCTGTTGAAGCTATATAATGTTTACAGGAAATGATCAATAATGGTATGAGCCAGAATTTAAATCTTGATATTACATGTTTACCGAATTGATTGATTAGGCTTACGGGACTAGGCTCACGCATCATGAGCTTGGACAGGGAAATAACCATCTTATAGGGTAGTAAAGCAGAAACTATTCCACAGGAGGAGTCAGATTATTTTTAACATTGACCTTTTTACTGTCTAGATCATTTTTAGTGCACATTATGTCCTATGGTCCAGAATATTGCTCATGATGATTTTTCTTTGAGCTTTTTCATCCATCCATATTGATTATGTATATTAGCTGTAAAAGACATGATTCTGTTTACGGAAAGAGTTGCACATCTGATGACAGATATTACAGAAAATGATTACACTAATTCACTAACAGCTGATTTTTGCTGAGATTAGAATTGTTGAACTGAAAGATAATTAATTATGAGACGTAATTACACAACTGCCAATCTGCCATCCCTCCGGAGTCTGGAGAGCGAACGGAGATAATTAATTAGCAGATGTTCATGTTATCATGTATGCAAATAGTAGATCTTAATTTATCAGTTTTTGAGAAATTTCATATCCAATCTTATGCTAATGCTTCAATCTGTTAAAACTTTACTTAAGCTTTAGATTATCGGCGAAGTCCACTGATGTGCAAAATTTGGAAACTCCATTACACAACTGTTTCCAGGACACAAGCATCTGAGATGTGGCAGCCTCTAAGAAGTTTCCTTAAACAACAGGTTCATAAATCAATCAGGTCTTAACAAAATGCTACAATATCCTAGCAAAATCAACAAGCCTGCTTACATTGTCAAGACTTAGAAAGCTGCAAATGTAAGGACTGCCTGAATAAGCTCATCAATTAGAGCTTCATTTTCACCACAATCCTCAACCCCACGACAAAAATTCCCTTATTTATGTGTGGTATATTCTTATATCGCCAAATTTCAAAGAATAGGTGAGTGATTGTGAGACCCAACTCAATAGAAAACAACGCAAGTAACTTTGGACACTTGAAAGTAATAAAATGGGATAAGTAAATTAGAGCAAAGGGTAAAAATATCACAAATGACTATAATTTTATAGTCCGTATCAAGCAAAATGACGTACATAAAAATTGATCCAAATCTTACTTATCATAAAAAATAAAAAAGAAATAAAAATATAAAATGTTGTAAAAACACAATTTCAAATCTTGAGTGTGGAGTGTCATCCCTAATTCTTGATTAAAAAATAATCAGGTCATTTTTATTTTGGTTTAAAGTTAGACTTAGGACCTATTGAAATATTTAGTCAAAATCTCGCACAAGTCAATCAGACTCGGGTTATAATCAAGTCCGAAATAGCAAGTTGATATAAGGACTAGCTTACTGCTCGTACTCCATCTTGATACAGTTGAGTAGAGACTCGTAGTAATTGAAGTTATCAAATTTCTGCTAATTTGCTGCCATTAATGAAACTAAACAACTACTAAAATTCTGGGAATTCAACAAAAAAACCAAAGGTTGATTCATAATCCATGTTTGTTTATACTCGTTCAGCAAAATCACTTCTTCGAGCAATTTCAATTTCAACATCAACAACAAACCCAGAAACAATTTCTCTTCTTTTCCCTAAAACCCTAAACCCTAATTTCAACAACAATAAATTCGACGTCGAATTTCAATGGTTAAATCGGAAAATTAGCACTAGTTCATCGGCGGCGAGAGGAGGAGGAGGAGGAGGAGTGTGGCGGAACCCTAATAGTATATCAATATGGAGGAGAAAGAAAGAAATTGGGAAAGAAGGTTTAATTGTTGCCAAAGAATTGAAGCGTCTTCAATCAAACCCTGTTCGTCTTCAACGTTGTATTCAATCTCATGTTTCTCGCCTCCTTAAATCTGATCTTGTTTCTGTTCTTGCTGAGTTTCAACGCCAAGATCAAGTTTTTCTCTCAATGAAAGTATGGTTTTTTTTTTTTTACTCTTATTCTAGTATTTTTGGGTGTTAAAATTTGATGATTTGTTGGAATTTATGTTGTGGTTTTTTCTTGTTGATTATGGTTTGATAATATGTATTGGTTTTGGACTTTTGGAATAGAATCTCTGCAATTTGTATGAAATGAGAATCAGCTTCACCTTAAATTAGAGCTGCACCTTAAATTAGTTCTGATCAATATTAATCAATTTTCGTTTACAAATAATCATTACAGTTCGAATACAATAATTGAAAATTAGGTTTGATTGGTGTAATAATTTACAAAGTACAATTTTGATAAGAAAAATCGATTGAGCTTAGTAGATACAGAACGAAACTTTAGGCAATTTACATGATTTAGAAAAAAGATTGATGACTCTATGTGGGGTTTGTAGGATGGATGCCTGTATCTTGAGTTGGTTTGGCATTTCTTCCTGTTTAATGTAGTTAGATGAAGATGGGTTACACATTATGGTAATATTGGTGTAAAAACTCTCTTGGTAGTACATCAAGAATTAAATTATGTATGGTATTGTTTTTGATTGGCTAGAACTAGATGGTTGTGGCCTTCGGGCCTTGTGGGAGCATCCATCATAGGTTTGGAGACGTTGAAGGTCTGATTCTATGTTGGATAGCTACTTTTGGATAGATTGATAGATTTCCTTGTTGAGATGGGTTGTGTATTATCAAAATGACATAAATTTATATCATTAAGTTAAACCGTCAATTGTAGTTTATAGATAAATGAGTTATATATCTGAAGATAAGTACTCTGTAGGTGGGATTCACTTTACGAAAAAGGGGTAGTGCCTGGGTTACCTACTGACCAGGGGAGGGGGGGGGGAGCATGGCCATTTGCTATAGCCACTCCTGCAAGCTGCTGTCAGATTTCAGGTGTAATGGTTATGACTTGTAAGGGTTCTCATTATGATTTATCTGTAATCAGGTATACCGACAACTAAATACTGGTTTTCTAATTTTCAGCCTGATACGTTCTCTATACTTGCTTGATCTATGATTTGAAAATAAACAATGTGACCTGGTGGTGCATTTGTAAGAGTTCAGCAATTCATGCTTCTTTTATTAGAAATGTGAAATATGTATGGTAGAACAACTGTTGCTGATTTTAATTTCTGGTTTTCCCTGTCACAGTTGTATGATGTAGTGCGGAAAGAGATATGGTACCGTCCAGACATGTTCTTCTACAGGGACATGCTCATGATGCTTGCAAGGAACAAAAAGGTAGATGAAGCAAAGCGGGTGTGGGAGGACTTAAAGAGGGAAGAAGTCCTATTTGATCAGCACACTTTCGGTGACATTATGAGGGCCTTTTTGGACAATGAACTGCCAGGTGAGGCAATGGAAATATATGCTGAAATGAGGCAATCCCCCGATCCTCCTCTTTCACTTCCTTTTCGAGTCATTCTGAAAGGGCTTATACCATATCCTGAATTGAGGGAGAAGATCAAAGCTGACTTTCTGGAGCTATTCCCTGGATACTCGGTTTATGATCCTCCTGAAGACCTCTTTGAAGACCAAGACTGGAAAACAGAGAGTGATTTGGATTAGTGAGGTAAGCTTACCAACCTTAGTTGTTTTAGAGAGAGAGAGAGGGGAGATTTTTGAGTCTTTGGGACCGTGAGTATTTATGTTCCTTGGAAAAAAGAAATAGAAAAAGTTTTTTTCATTGGTTGAAACCTCAACTGAAAGTCTGTAACTGGACAAATTTGTATCTATGTTTTACATGAGAAAAATTAAGCCTAAAAGGTACTCTGTACTGTTTATATGCCAAACAATTGAGATTGCTGTAATACAATACACCTGGTGAACACATTCTCTCAAGTTTCTAAAGGTAATCCATTTTGTACTTAGATATTAACAACTCTACATAAATTTTCCGCAATCCCACCTGTGGGTATGAATGAAATTTGGAGTTTTTCTTGCGCTTAAGGGAATTTCATCATAGTCTTTCATTCATGTTTTTGCGCTTGATGTATACTTCTCTTGATACAAATGTTCTCATCATCAAAGAAAGGAAGGTTCACTTTCGTAAGGCTCATGAATATCTTCCTTGTCATATATTTGAAAATCGGATGTCCTTTCGTTGGCTCTCCTTCCTTTCCTATGCCTGTGATGCCGAATCAAATCACCCTGATTATCCAAATGCTGGATTGCACCGGTGCTACTTCGATGCTTGCCATGTTTATGCTTATCTTTATGGACATGATGCAAATACTGATTATAATCGCTTGATCGATGTGCTGCATGGTGATGAACTTGTTCATTGTCCTTCTTCCTGTGCCTATGCTTTACTTCATGCATGTTGTGATGATGGTGTGTTCGGTGATGGTGAGGTTGGTGTCTCTTGTGATGAATTCGGTGATGATCATGCTGAGCTCTATGCCTTGGTACTTTTTTGTGCCTCGGCGTACCTTCCCAGCAATGATCTTCCCACCAGTCGTAGAGAGGATCAAACAGTCCTTTTTGATGTAAAAGCCATAGAAGCACAAGCACTAAATGCCAACAGAAAATGTTGCAATTAAGGTTAGTTAATTGTTATTGGATTCAAATGCTGAAGTAATGATGCAGAGAAAAAATAATTTGGTTACCTGTAGGAAAGATGGACAAAAATAATCCAAACAAGATGACCCAACTCATGCACACATATTGAATGTGACAGTGGAAGTCGAAGAACCCTGAACACTTGCTTCTACTCAAAACAACAATGTAAAATAAATGTTTAGATTCATTAGAACATAGAATGAGAAAGCAGATTTTAACACTTTTGCCTACAGAAGTACAACTACTATATTTAGTTTCATAATTTGAAGCCATCACAATTATCCAAGATAAAATCTAGCAGGTAATGTCTAGAGACATGGGTTACTGTTGTTGAAGTTGGCAGAACTGTCAAAATTTTCGTTCCTCACAGTTCGAACACAATTTAGTCTGAAGTTTGAACTCACAGGAATCCTCTTAAATGGACTTTTAGGCTTGCTTTGTTATTCTGATGATATTTTTTTTGTTTGATGTTAATCAGTCTATGCCGAAACATTAGAATCTGGAGTTTATAACTCACAGAGATCCTCCAATATTAGTTTTAGGCAATTTCTTGGCTTTCTGACAAAAACTGCTAGTATCAATATTTTAGTGAAGTGTATTCAGTTTGGTTACTCTTTTTTAACATGGGAAACGAAAAAACTGTTGCAAAATTATGTCACATCAGCAAAATTTTCAAGGACATACTCCAAACAAATACCTGCAATTCTTTCCTGTGATGAAGTCTAATAAACCAGCCCAAAACTTGTTCCATATGTCTTTGATAATTCCAAATAAACTTGCTGTCTCAGACTTTGGTGGCTGAAAGGGGGCTCCCTGTAGTATATTTTGTTGCATCAGTTATAATCCGCACACAAGCGGTCTATAATGTGTAAACTCGAGTGTGAGTGCATAAAATTGGCATTGTGAAGAATCCTCTTAAAGTGCACTGTGAGAACATTTTATACCTGTGTTCCATTGTCAAGCACAGTGGCTGTAGTGGTGAACTGACATTCAGCTCTATCGACTTCATTAAATTCCGAATCTTTTAAAATTGCTGCATTCAGGGAATCACTTAAACTGAATAACATGTGATACAAATCTATACCAAAGCACAGCACAAGCTTGAAAGCAAAACAATCAGGATCAGCAAAAAGAAATAAATCTGTACCAGAACAGGCATATTTTGAAGCTTGATCAGAAGTTGGATAGATTTTGAATGATCGATTACCAACCTCTTCAGGCTTCATGATAAAAAATTGTTCCTGCAATCATATGTTTGTGAACATAAAATCCAGGAACTCAGAGTAGTCATGAAAATGTAAGATCAATAATCACAATGAAAATTTCGAATCAAGTACCTCCATCATTGTCACACCTTTTGAGCATTTAAACTGTATAAAATATACAAAAATCAATTTACAAACTGTCTAATGAAGTATGAGAATCCAAAGAGGAAAATTTGGGAACACAGATTATAGTATCATTGGCATACCGTCAAGCTGTATGAAGCTTCCAATTTTCCGGTGTTCTTTGTTTTTATATCTGCAGTCCCATATTGTGCAAGCGCTTCAAATGTAGGGACAGTAACACCTAAAATCTTTCCCGGGCTCCTACAATTACACAAAATAAACTTTAGAACATTGCAGTAGAAAACTATCATATCAGAAATAATTCAGACTATAGCAGCAAAAGACAAGAACAAACTTTAGAATGTGGCAAGACTTAGCCAGCATATTTAGTAAAAACATACACTAACCTCTGATAAACATATTCTATGTCATCAGCTGCTAATTCTATCACAAGATTAGTGTTAATAGCTTCAGAAATCCCAAAGGAAAATGTACGAGGCCCTGCACCCTGTATGCCTTTTCAGTTAATGACAGACTGAGACTGACAATAATTTTATAGTTGAAAATGTAACGCAGAATCTGTAGACGTACTGGGTGCTCATTTATCCTTTCAAACCTTCCTACCACACCATACAACGGTGGTTGATGCCTAGCAATTCGATTCTGATCAGCCTGTGAAACATTAGTCAGAACGCTTTCAGTCTCACCAGACAATTTCGGGTTAAAACATGCCAAAATACAGAGAAGACTATAGATAGACGAGCACAAATTTAAAAAACAAACAGTTTTGTACAAACATATTGTCTATATTAACTCAATTAGATCAGAAAAACTCAGGAATAGAGAAAGGACATAAGATGAAAAAACCAGTAGTGCAGTTACTTCTATTTTTCAGCTCGAGGTACTAACTTCATAAAAATTCCACAGCTGGTTGTGCAAACAACTCCAGTATGGGGAGGTGCAGAAATCTGGCTGACCGTTGAAAGCCTCATAACCAACTCCAATTTTGTTGCATTCAAGGCCATCCAATGTGAACCTCACTCTCTCAAGTAGCATATACATAGAAAAATTACGTCCTAGGTCTGGAGGCTGGCCTGGTCCATGCTTCAGACACAAAAGAGGAAAAAAAAAAGGTCAGTCTTAGTTTTCAGTCCAAATTCATTGGTAGCATAGCCAAAATTAAGGTTGCACAATGGCAAGCAACATACCACCCTCGGTATCACTAGGTAGAAGTCCTCAAATGATGGTATATTAGTGTAACCACCAAAATCGCCAACAAGATTCACTCTGAGAAAGCTGTCACTGGACACAGCTGTTCGGTTATCAGGACCAACAATCACTTCCTGAAGGTGAGCCAAGAATCCAACATAATAGCCATATGATTAACAATAAAGAAGGAGAAAGAAACCAACAAATTCACTTAACACAAAAATGTTATGATGTGACTTACTGATACTTTAGATCCAGTCTTGACTTCAACCCGAACACTAAATCCTATAGTTCTCTGCCCAATGCCAAATATATGGAACCTAAAAACATTATCAAGTTCATTATGTTATCTTGATAATATTAGGCTCGAAAATAGCAGATGTTCAACTAGCTCACTCTTTTCACCACATAAATCCACTAGACTATAAGATTATTGACATCAGAAAACTTTATCTTGAAGCAATTCAGGTTCATCAGTAGGCAACAAGGAGTCAGTTGGCTTACCAATCACCAGGAAATCGTAGACAATGTGCAGTATTCGCTTTCCCCTTTACCAGCTTGTCAACTGATAAGCAAACATAAATGATAACACATAAGCTTACAGTCAATCCCTATGGACACAAATACTGAACTTGTTCGAATAGTTTCAGAAGCTTACAGAAGTTTCCACATGAAGAAGGTACTCGTCTTCTATCACCACAAGGACAGCAAACCGGCTGGTGTTGGGCATTAAGATAAATTAAAACCAGGACAGTAATTTGATTACAAATTTCGAAAATTGTATATAAATTTACACATTGTAGTGTTCAAGATCAACAAATAACTATACCTGAGAGGCTTCAATAACATGACCTTGATCATCCTTCAACCTATAAATCGAATGACAAAAGAAAGGAGTCATCAAAACATAAAAAAAAACATAAATCTGTATAAGCCACAACATAATCAAAGCTCGAATTATGGGACTAAGGGCAAACACCCCCAGAGTAAGTAGGATTACCTCTCACATATCTTCACAACATGAGCATCAGCATCCGGTTCACATTTTCGCGTCTTGACATAATACTCTTGAGGTTTATATGGGACATCCTGAAAATTTAATGGTGAAAAATGTCAATTACCATCAAATTTTTCTCTACAAAAAAACACAACAAACAAACTTAAGATTCCTAATTATACAAGAAAGTTGCTTAAAGTTTCAACACAAGTAATGTTAGGCCATTGTAAACATAGACTACAATCCATGCCAAGAACACACATCAGCAATGACACGTGTTATTATAAGCAGATACTAATTAGCCATACTCGTATATAAGTAAGATCAAACACGGCATAAGCAGCAGATTTATTGACAGTAATCACAGGAGGCAATCGCAAAGTCTGCATCTTATTCGTCGAGTTTTCCTCCACCTCTGCAACCTCTGCCACCATCGACGCTTCTCCTCCACTCTTAAAAAAAAAAAAAAAAACCATAATAAGTGAGAAACGAAATTTGTTTTTCATGGGGTATTTTCGTGAATAAATTAACAACTTTTTAATTATTGTGGGCTCTACAATTGAATAAAACACGACAATGAGTTAACAACTAAAACAACCAACTTACAGAGTTGCTAGGAACAGCCATGTTAATGATGATCTTGCGAGTACAATTAAGATTACCATCATTATTAGAACCATTTGCTTCTGTAGGAGAAGTCTTCTCACATTTTTCGAGTTTCGATTTCGAAAGTATCTGAATTGCCTCTCCATATACAAATCCATATCCAAATCTTCCTTCATCACCGCGATTTTTTACTAAAAATGGGAGGATGTTTAACAAAAGCAAGGTTAACAACATCATCCTACAAACCCTTTGCATTGTTACACCATACTCCAAGATTTTCCAAAATATAAGTAGATTTTTTAATGTGTTGATATAAATTCGACTGCAAACATAAACCAAAACAAGGTATGAGTATAAGAAATCATATTGCAAAATAATTTATAGCAAGTAATAAAGTAATGAAATGTAGTATTAATAAGCAATAAACCAAAATCATGAACTAAACAAATACAATAACTTAAAAAAAAAAAAAAAAGAGAAAAAAAAAAAGTGTTAGTTGAAGAAAACATACGATGGTCTGATGAATAATGGGAGGGAAGGAAGGAGATGGATATAACTAACTGTCACTTTATTTATTTTTAATTTTTTGAAATATTATTTTAGAAAAAAAAAAAAAAAGAAAAGTGAAATGGTTTCCTTTACTTCTGTTTTGTACGGATGTAAGTTATAGATGTAACTTAAATATGTTGTGTAGGGGTGAAAGTAAATTGGATAAAAACCGAAAACCGAACCAATCTAAACTGAATAAGCAATTCGGTTCGGTTTTTTCGGTTTTCGGATTGGATCGGTTTGAAAAAATGGGAACTGAAATATTTCGGTGTGGATTCGGTTTTGGAATTTGAAAACCGAAAACCGAACATCGAACCGAAATTTATAAGCCCACTAATCCAGCCCTTTTTATGACATATATATACCCAAAACCCTAGATCTTTTCGTCCCCTCTTTTCCTATTTCCCTTTCACAGTTTCACTTTCCCTCACCAAAACCCTAGATTTTCCCTCCTCTCTCCCTCACCACCTCACTCCGTCCGTCCACCACCAGTCTGGTACTTCGGTATCTCACCGCCGCTCAACGCTCACCAGTTACCACCACGTTCGATTAAGTGAAAGGTAAGAATACCTTCTCTTTTCAGATTTCACTTCTCTTTTCCTGCTTCTCTACAATTTTGTGAATTTGATGTTTTATAGTTCGAATTGGTGAATTTTCCTTTGTCCAATTGTCCCTAGATTTCCTTTATTCTATTCGAAAACTTCGAATTGGTGATAGATTGATTGTTTGGTGATATTTGATGTTCGAATTGGTGATAGATTGATTGTTCGGCGATAATTGATGTTCACCCATAGCCTCTGTTTGATATGTTTTAATAACAACAATTATTATATGATTTTTTTTTTCATTATTTCATATATATTATGTAACTTGTTTTTTTGTTTCTGTTATTAGACTAGAAATTTGACACAATTGGTGGTGGTCAAAATAACCAAGAGTTAAAGCTGCCAGCCAATTAAGCTGCTGCCATTGTTTCATTAAGCTGCTGCCAATTGAATTAAGTTGCTGCTAGTTGGACTGCTATTTCATTTTTAAGATTTCTATTATGTCTGTAATTTTATTCTAATGGCTGGAATGTTTTTTTTTTTTTTTTTTATAATTATTATGCTATTACTTAATGTGACAAATATTAGTCTTAAAGACTTTAGTTTTTTCTTAAAAATTTGTTCAGGAAACGTACAAAATTTAGGCCTTTAAAGTGACTAAAACGATAGGCCCAAATAAAAGCCCAAATTTAAGGCCCAAAATGATAGCCCAAAAAAAATTCGGTTTGGATTGGATTCATTTTTCAAAACCGAATTATTTCGGTTTGGATTGGATTGGATTGAATCCAAATTTGGTTTGGATTCGGTTTTAAAAATCTGAAACCGAAATAATTCGGTTTGGAGTAAAATCCAAACCGAATACCGAACTTTCACCCCTAATGTTGTGTGATATAATGTCTTGGTTTGAAATAAGTACGGGTTTAGATAAGTCTAAAGACGTTTTTTTAAACCAAAATTCAAATCTAATAGAAATCATATGGTAAATCTTATACAAATCATAAATCCTACAAAATTAGGCTCAATTGTAATTGCCCAAAGTTTGATTTTGATCAAGTAATTTTGATCGGATCGGAGTATTATTAGTTTAGAGCAATTCAATTAAACAAGTTCATTTTAATTGAAAAAATTATTCCGTACAAAAGTTCATTTTATGTACTGATATCTCATTTTATTAATCAATGGACAACTTGTCCATTAGAACATAAGAAGAAATAACAGGGGAGCAAAAGTTCTCCCAAACTTGTTCTACACCATGAGGTACTAAACTAGCAAGGTGATGGGCAATAGAATTCTAACAATATAGAAGTATGCTATTGATCCCATCAAATTCTAACAATATAGAAGTATGCTATTGGATTTTTTCAATTGAATTGAGGGAGTATAAGCGTACAATTAGATTCCCCAAATAAATCACTCATTACGTCATCATCAAATGTATAATTTTCTATTTATTTTATTTTAATTTTTTTTTTTATCAAATGTATAAATTAGAAAGCCGTCAAACATCTCAATTCATTTTTCTCCTCTCTTTCCCAATCAATTAAAATATTCTCAGTTAAAGCCTTTTCGATCTCTTTTGTTTTTCTCCATTAAAATAAATTCCCACTTTTTTCTTTATTTTTTATTTTTTTATTTTTTTTCCTCTATAAATATCTACACTTCTCTTCATTTTTCCTTAATTAATTAAAAAAAAAAAATCAGAGGAGAGAAAAACACAGTGAACTATGTCGGCGATTTCCCGGCGACTTTCTGCCGGCGCCGGAACACCACCACCGGAATTCCGGCGATTCAGCATGCAATTCCGACAACCACTAACAACTCTCCGATTATCACGAAATTCGCCGACATCAAATGATAATCAATATCAACGGCCACAATGTATTCATCATCAGGTCAACGTCAACCGTTGGATTGAGGTGAGATCGGACGGTGGAGAAGAGAGATGGAAGAGGAAGAAGACGACGTCGTTTCGGTGTAAGGTTGGAGTTGGAGAAGTTGATGAGATGGAAGAGAGAGATCGAACAGTGAAGGTGATGGTTGCAGCTGGAGCTACGGTAGTACTGGGTGTAGCGAATCGGGTTTTGTATAAGTTGGCTTTGGTGCCTTTGAAACATTACCCCTTTTTCCTCGCTCAACTCGCCACTTTCGGGTATTTTCTCGTTTTTTTTAATTGCAACGTGTTTTCACATTATTTATCAATGTACTTTACTATAAATATTCCGCGGTAAAAGTAGATATTGAGGCGAATCTAACAAGCAACTCGAGTATTTATTTATTTATTATATATGTTTTGTTGTGACTTTAATTACTCCGTAAGTTCGTATTTTCACGGACATCAATGTACAATTTGGAGTATAAATTAAATTGTTTTATTTAAAGTAAATATTCTAATAATGAGGTTAAATGTTCCGTGATAAAAGTAAATATTGAGGCGAATCTAATAAGGAAGTCGAGTATTTGTTTGTTTATTTATGTTTTGTTGTGACTTATATTAAGATCGTATTTTCATGAAAATTAATGTCCAATTTGGAGTATAAAATAAAAATAAATTGTTTTATTAAAAGTAAATATTTTAATAATGAGGTGTTTATTTAGTTTACGTTTTGTTGGACTTAAATTAAGACTTCGTATTATTCATAATTTATGTTTTGTTGAAGTAATTGAAATTACAAATATCAAGTATAACGGATTAGCGGTTTTATATATGGCAAGACTACGTAAGATCAGCCCATATAATCATTATTCATTACAGTAATAATTAATTTTGTCGTAATAATATAAAGTAGGAAATGTTTTATGGATTAATTTTAATGCTAAATATTTGTTATTTATGGTGATTTTTTACTTAATTAGATGAATTTTGTTGCTCAAGTTTATTCATTTGTGCGTGTGATTTTTTGCAATGGGGTCATGGTAATATTCTTTATCGTGTAGTGGGGTCAAATAAAATGATGTTCTGATTCTTATAATAAGAGAAGATGAACTGTGGTGAAAAAGATGGTTCTCCTCGATTAAATAGCTTTTTGAATGTTTTGGAGGTTAAATTCCTAACTTTGTAAAAATATAATTGATGATTTAATATGGAGTCAAATGAAGTAGAATTTATATTGGGAACCCTTTGAACACCGAAAAACGCTAAGAGCCTTTTGGTAATATATTCAAATGCTATGGAGTAGTAATGCATTGCCGAGCATAATGAAGTACGAGTAGATGTCTATTTTTTACGAGAGCATAATGTATGTGTCTAATGTGTGGCCATGTGGGAACTAGGGAGAGAGTGTGCATTGTTGATTCTTTATGATCTGTTTAGATTACTTTTACCAAAAGCAACAGTAGGAATCGTTTAGAAAGTGGAAACGTAAGCTTTATAAAAAACAAGTTAAAGTTGAAGTATAGTTGTAATGATTTACAAGACTTTGTCTTTTGATAGAAAGGAATTTTTTTTCTGTAAGTTATGTAGTTGACAATTTGATGGTGGAGGTGGCTGGTTGGTGTGGTTGATACTAATTTTAGAGCGATTCTGTATGTTTTTGGAAAGCATTTTTGGTTATAACAAAATGATTGAAATAACTGCTCGAGTGAGCGGCTCAAAATCAATTTGGGTGTGGTCCAAACAGGACTATTTGAAATCTTAACAACTTGGCAATGAAAGTTCTTTCAATTTGTCAAAATTAGAATCAGTGAATGAAAGTTGCACAATGTGCATTTTTACCAATCAGCATCTAGATCAATTATACAAAGTATAATTTTTCTACTGTTTAGCTTGCACACTGTTTGTAGTAATTTGTCTCCTACAATCTGCTATGTTTTTCAGGGCTTATTGTTAGGAACTTTATTTATTTTTGGTCATATGGTCCCGCTGTCCACCATCTTTTGATCTTTTGACTTGCAAAAAGTTCAAATAATGCCTGGCACCAAGAGAAATGCTTTTTTTGTATGTAGAATCCTTAAGAATGGTGTGCAAGGTTATACAAATGATTTTACCAGCAATTACTAGGCATGAATTGCTAACTCTAACTCAACTGTTACTCTGAACTCTTTTGCTTCCTCTCCTCTGCATTTATTTATAGTTGATTACTATCTCGTAGGAGATTGAAATGAAAGATAGCATTCTACGAGAGCTTACTCTGGATAGTTTCCTGGATTTGGTAACCAATATAGTATGCTGTATATTAAAGCCATGTTCTTTTCACTTGAAAACTTCTGAACTTAACTGAATTGATTTGACCTCTGAATTTAACTGAACTTTGTTGCAGAGTGAACTTATTGACTTTATCTAAGCTTATTAAATGTGAAAGTTTATTGTTGATTGGTTGTAGAACAGGGCATAAGTTTCTGTAGAGTTGGATCTATAACGATATTAGGCTGTTACTATGTTACATTTATTTATACTTTAGCTGTGTTTCTTTATACAGATATGTATTTGTATATTTCTCTATCCTGTATCTTCGGCATCGTGCGGGCTTTGTCACTAAGGAGATGCTGTCATTGCCTCAAGTTCCGTTTCTCGGAGTTGGGTTATTAGAGGCTCTAGCAGCGGTATCTGGAATGGCAGCGGCAAGTAAGGTTAATGTGTTACTCTATTTGAATCATATTTTTGTTCTTCAGGAGTTTCATTAGAAGATCTTGAATGTTTAGGGTTTAATTTAATCTGATGATTTTCAAATTTTTTGTGGTTTTGAACAGCAATGCTTTCTGGTGCATCGATTCCCATTTTGTCTCAGGTATAATTTATTGAAATATCCAGATTATGTGGGCTAAACTCTCAAGAAAGTTGCAAATATAGCTTTGTATAAATTTTAAACCATAATATACATACATACCAAAATGCATTATTGTATTCGAGAATATTTTGACTTTATGAGTATGAGATGGTCATCAACATGTCCGTTACATGTGTGTTTTGACATATGAAGCAAAGCTTCAGTTGCAAGCTGCAATACGTTAGCAGTCATGGTTGATTGTTGGTCAATCCACTTTGCAGTGGCGGTAAAAGAACTAATGTGTCCATCTTTTCTGCAGACATTTCTTGTTTGGCAACTTCTCCTGTCTGCTATATTCCTTGGAAGGAGATATAATGTAAATCAACTAGTGGGTTGCTTATTGGTCTCTATGGGCGTAATAATAACTGTAGCTAGGTGAGTTGCGTTTCTTCTGCATTATACATTATTGTCCTGATTTTTTTATTCGAACTTTACAACCGTTTTGTATTTAGGATCTGAAGTTTGAGTGTAGAATCCTGTTGTCAATAAATGTTTGGAAACAACTTTGAATTGATAGTATTAGAAATTCCGTTACCAGAAATCAGAGGTTCATCACTCTGTTTTAAACTTCAAGATGCTTTTTTGTATGTTACTTGACCTACCAGTAATAGAACTTGTCTCCTTTCATGCATTTCTGTCGTGCTGTCATAAAAATGTGGATTCCATTTCCCAAAATGGAGGACTGGAGACATCACAGTAATGTTCTCCCAAGTTGGTTGTATGGATTGTACATCTTAAGTTCAACTATGTTCTGCACTAACTTTTCTTTTACTAATATCTGCTTTTGATGGTACTAGTTATAATGATTATTCGAATGTTTAATTTTGCCATGAAAGAGCTCTATATGGGAAGCCATTCCATTTGGACTAATGATATTGATTGTTCGTTTGAACTGTTGTCTTTGCTCCCTACTTCCTTTTTTTTTTTAATGTAGAAGAAGGTAGACTATGATCTACCAGTATTCACTTCAATGGAATCCCTTGCACTATTCTGTGAGTAGAGATAGAAATAGTTTTTGCCACTTGGTGGATTCAGACTTAAATTGTTGTTACTAACTAGATACTGAATGCTCTTGATATTGTATTGCAGTGGATCTGGTGCTGGTCCCTCCTTGAATGACACCGGCCTATTCTGGAGTTTTTTGATGATTTTTTCATTTTTTTTACAAGCAGCTGATACGATTTTGAAGGTAATTATAAACTACAAACCGATATGCTGAACTTGTTATTTTATCATTGTGCCTCCTGTTGTCAAGTTTTGCTGGTTCTATGATTATGCAATATCTGATGGACTATTGCATTATGTTTTAGGAAGTAATTTTTCTGGACGCTGCTGAGCGATTAAAGGTATATCTGTTGCTGGGTTTGTACCATTTATAAGTGCTTTCCTCGCCGTAAGATTCTGATCTTTTGATGGTTGTAATGTGAATGGTTGCGTTATGCGGCTTGAAAATCGGGTGATATGAATGAGAAGTTGGAAAATGAAAGAACTGGAATACTGGATACTGAGGGAGTAAACCAGATACTTGACTCCATATATGTTGGCACTTGATATAATAAATTATAGAATGGTCCTTGAGTTACATAATGAAGTGAATAACTGAATAAGTTAAGTTGAACGTCCCAAACAGATTTTGTAGGCATGGTTCAATATCTACTTTAGGCGTATTACTTCATCCATGTGTCATTATAATGATAATGAAAAAAATGTTTTTTTTTTTAATCTCTTTGTCCAAGGTTTTTGCTATCTGTTATCTTGTGATAAATTGTAAAAATGAATGTTGGTCCTTGTCACAGGGAGGTTCAGTTGATCTATTTGTTGTAAATTCGTTTGGATCTGCTTATCAAGTAAGTATCTGATAACATCAAGACATTTTAATGATTCCTTAGTGCCGCAAGTGGTTTCCATGGGTTACACTACTCATGTTTGATTTCTGTACCTGAAATTTGTTTCCTCACGTCATGCAGGCACTCTTTATATGCCTTCTTCTACCCTTCTTGTCGAAATTATGGGGCATACCATTTAATCAACTTCCGTCGTACCTTAAAGATGGAGCAGCATGCTTTCTCAATATCAATAGTCTCTCAACGGGTACGGCTAATATTAAAACATATTTTACTTTGACCTCTCTTCCCTTGGAGTGTTTTTGAAAGCAGTCTTTCTGTTCAAAGTGGGGTTCGTCTCATGCTTTCAGACTCTGCTTCGGCAGGATCCTTAAAAAATGGTTATAGTCATCGTTCTTTTACGTTATACCATTTGCAACATGACCTTGCAAATTTTGTCTATTAATTTGGTTTATTGTTATGTCACTATATCTAACGAAGTAACAAAGTATATTAGTGTTTGAGAATTCCATAGGCTGATACGTTTGGAAATTATTTTCTTATTGTGCCATAAATATAGTTTAGGGTCATCAATTACATATTAAGCATCTCATATTTACTAGGGCCAAGGGAGCAAATATGCATTGCAATACGGAAGAGGTAAACTATTTTCTTTGGGGTGAGTGTCTTGTGGAACTAGTAGACGAAGTTCTCTCATTTTCATTTCCTGCTCTAGTATTATGAACTATCGATACTTATTTTGGAGTTTATCCTTTCAGTGTTATCATGAACATTTTTAAGGTTGTTTTGAAGCAGAAATAATGATTTATAGACAATTTTTTGCCTGTCCTTTTCAGTAGTACATGTAAATTTTGAGTGTGTAGGAATTGGGCGACTTGCTTTTTTCAAACCTTCCAAATTAATGCTCATCCTTAAAATTTTGTTCAATTTTGTCTTGACACTATTATAGAGTGGAACTTCTGAATAGTCAGTGTTTTTGGCTACTCTGCAGGATGCAATGGTGCTCCCTTGTTGCCTTTGCTCTTTATTATCGTGAACATGGGTTACAATATATCTTTGCTGCATCTTCTTAAAATCTCCTCAGCAGTGGTATCTTGCCTTGCCTCTACAGTTTCAGGTACACATTACATATTTAATTAGTTCAAGCTTTAAAACAGGCATTGATGTTCCGTTTGTTTGATTCTGGAAATCCTAATCACATGTACCATGCAAAATTCACCTTTTGCTTATTCCATGAGAGTCTTCAAGGTTTTGACATTGATATGCTGATGTCCCTTGTAATTTGAATGCAGTGCCCTTGTCTGTGTTTATCTTCACTTTGCCTCTGCCGTATCTTGGTGCTGGTACTGCTCTTCCTCCAGGCTTTGTGGCCGGTGCTGTCGTCCTTGTGCTGGGATTGTTTTTCTACTCATGGAGGCCCGCGATGGTGCCTGCCAGTGCAACCACTTCATGATTTAGTTAGCTCATTAGTGAGAAGAATATTACCATTGTTGTAGCTGCTTTGATGTGCTTGTAGCAATTGTTTGTTTAGTCGTAGGGGGCTTACTGATTATTTAGAAATAAGCATATGTTTAGTGATAGGAAGATTACTGAAACTGACAGGATGTAGTCTATTCCTTGGCATCAAGAAATGTTGATGTTTCATGTGCAAGTTCGGTTTATGACATGTAGGGGGAGCACATATAAACATTCAATTCATCAATGTGTTACGAAGGGTAAACACTTGGATTAGTATTATGCTACACAGGGTTGCACAAAATGCAATACACTGTGCTTCACTTGCTTACCCAATTGTTTGTGTGATGTGAATTCGTTGAGGTGCGAGCATGTGCATCAAATACGTTGGTGCGTCAGTGCGTGCATATAGGATTGCATGCTCTTCCACTCTTCCAGAATGAACCTTATCAAAAATTGATGACTAGAGGAGATATACAATTTTAAACCAAATGATTGTTATACTCAAATTGATACTACTATAGTCTAGGCATCAGTAACTTTAAGATTCAAAAGGACTTGCAAAATGATAATCATATTCAAGTTTTAAGTTGTAAAATGAAGGTCTACAATGGGCCACTTTGTGTGTCATAAATGAGGCTATGTGTTCGGCCCACTATATATGGACCTGGCTCATACATGATTTTGGGCTCTACTACTTAAAAACACTTCGTATAAATAAATATTTATTTTTATTTTTATTAATTATGTAAACTTTTAAGTACACACCTAAGGTTTTTTACCCTCATTTTAAAAGACCTCCAATTGAACCAAACAAAAAAAATAACAAAATGGTATAGTGAAATATCATGTACTGCGACCTTTGGGTATACAAAATAATCAATTTCTCAAAAGAGATTATAATATATACTTGGGTCAAAGTTCACCAAGGGTATATTATTTTGCTCATTAAAACGGTTATTGCTCATTTACTCATCAAATAAGCTAAAAAAAAAAAATAACATTTAGTGCACTGGGAGTTAGGGTGTTAAAAACTTGCAACCGACCCGACCCAAAAAAATTAAATTCAGATATCGACTTGTTTGAACACAATAATTTAGCGTGACTCAAAAAGATAGACCCGACCCGACTTCATCAAATCTAACCCGAACATCCGAATTGACACCTCTATTTGGATATATGTAATAATTTTCAATATTTTTAAGATAAGAAAAACCTTGATCAAATCTTTACTCTCACAATTTATATTTTATTAATTTTCATAATTTTTATGGGCAGATACTTGGAAGTAGGTGGTAAGGTGGAGATCGATCCTCACTTTCAAACAATCTCACTTGGATTATATGAGCAAAATTTGTAAGAACTTGTAAATTTGCAACTCAAACTTTAAAAACTAAGAGTTTTTCTTGCAATACATTGAGATCGAAATTGGTGTGAAAGAGAGAAATAAGGTTGATAGTGGTCTGGAAATTCACTTGTCCACCTACAATGTGTGTAGTGAGTTGGCATTCCCAAATGGCGGTGCCCCATGTTCTCTTAGGAACTAGATTTATTGTAAACTTTACATCTAAAACGGAGTGGGTGATGATTGATGAACCCATGAGAATGAGAACTAGCGCATTATAGTCTGATCGAATATCCGATCTGAAAAGAAAATCCCAGTTCGACTCTGATTATTCACAACCCTACTTAATGTAAGTTTATATGAGGTACTATATTGAGCATTAAGAAACACCTAGACAAATTAAATCAACTTGTTACCCAAAATTTTGGCCGTGTTTAAGGTATTGTTGACTCGAAAGTTAAAATGATTCAACTTAAAAGTAATGTTGACATAAAATTGTACTCCTAATTGACCATTTTTCCATGTCTAATTGATAGAGATCATATAACTATCAGATTTATAATTAAAGATTATATTAGTAAGTTTGCAATGACAAACATAAAACTCCCTATATTTGAATAAGTGAATGTGATTACTCATACTCATTTTTAGTTGTCAAAAACATGAATTTGATATAATTTGCACTATAATATACGTAGTCAGCAGTCCTAAACTCCTAAATTCATAATCACTCGTAATTGATCAACCAAAATAACTACCAAAATAAGAAACTTTAAAAAAAAAAAAAAAAGAGAGTCGATTAAACAGAAATTAAGCAAAATCAAGGCCCCACAAAAGAGTCAAACAACCAATAGAATGAGTCAACCATAGCAGTGATTGAAAACCTTATCCATTCACGTTTAACCACGTGTCCACCGCAGTTGAAACCATACTTTCTTACAAGAATCCAATGAATTAAAACTCTCTTTATACAACGACACCATAACTCCCCTTATTTTACCACTCCATACTCTTCCTATATAAATAACCCGATTCGGGCGTTGTTTAGCAATTCACTATAAATACATCCCTTTCCTACTAATTTCTCCACAAACAAAAAATGGCGCAAAATTCTACATTTTCTCTCTTAATTATCCTCTCTCTTCTTTCTCTCTCTTCCCTATGTTATGCCCATAATTATATGGATGCTCTTAGAAAGAGCATTCTTTTCTTTGAAGGCCAACGCTCTGGTAAACTCCCCCTGATCAACGCCTTCATTGGCGCCGTGATTCCGCTCTTCGTGACGGTCACTCTATCGGTGTATGCTCCCGTCTTTTTTTTTTCAGTTATCGCATTACTAGTTTAAATTACACTATCAACGACACAAGTCATTTTGATCTCGTAGTAACATTGCATGTATTTTAAATTTATAATGTAGTTTATTTGACCTAGCTTTATGTGTTAAAATGTGGGTGGACATTACTAGTGATAATTGATAATTACAATTTTTTTTTGTTGATTTGGTAATTTTGTAGGCATTTCATTAAATAATATAGGTGATGACTGATGAGATTTTTTTTTTTTTTTTTTTTTTTTTTTTTGGACTCAATTTACTGAATTTAGTAAGTTTTTCTTCCTAGGATAGCTGCATTTTGGTTTTGATTTCACTACTTCAGAATGAACAATAAATAAAAATAAAGTAACCAACGTTGTTTTTTTTTTTTTTTTTTTTTTTTTTTTTTAATAATTGCTAATTTAAGACCAATAAAGCTTCTTTAAGACCAAAATCATTGATGTTAATCATAAATAGTGTAAGGGAAATGTAATTTACCTAAGGTGCTAAAAGTGAAAATATTTAGACAAATTAAACATTAATCACGCTTTCTATACTTGTGATTTTGTCTTGCATTTTTTTTATATATATTGTATGATAAAATAACATAAATACCTTATACTAGTAGTTTAAAAGAGTAACATTATGAAAATTTTAATGTTAGTATATTTTACTTTTAGTTATCTTATCCACGTCTAATTAATGAATTTTTTGTGTATATAATTTCAGAAAGATTTAACCGGAGGATATTATGATGCGGGGGACAACATAAAGTTTGGATTCCCAATGGCGTTTAGTGTCACACTCCTATCATGGAGTGTGATAGATTTTGGTAAAAATATGAGGAGTGAGCTCCCTAACGCGCTCAAAGCAGTGCGTTGGGGAACTGACTACCTCTTAAAGGCCACGGCCGAGGTACCAAACATTATGTACGTTCAAGTTGGTGACCCGTACTCGGACCATAATTGTTGGGAGAGACCCGAAGATATGGACACGTTAAGAAGTGTCTATGCCATTGATCGCAACCATCCCGGGTCCGACGTTGCTGGTGAGACTGCCGCGGCATTGGCTGCTGCCTCGATCGTGTTTCGGTCTCGTGATCGTGCCTATTCTCGTTTGCTCCTTAGTCGCGCCATCAAAGTAAGTATTATACAAGCGGTATTTTTAATGCTGATATGTAGTCATAAGGGTTATGTATAGCATATTCCTTAATTTATTTATTACGGAGTAATATTTTTTTTTTAAGTTATCACAATTTGTTATTGGTAATTAACTGAATCTAGACTATTAAATTATATTGCAATTGGGTTTAAATTAAATGTTATTCTGATTTCTGACATATGGTTGATTTGTTGTGGTACGCCACTCTGTAGGAATGGAGAATTATAAAATTCTCTGTTTTTAACTTTCTAATTTTGTTATATTGAAATATTATCTCTAAATAGTCTAATTTGATTTGATTATTAAATTCGAGTAGAGGATATAAATTATTGTGGAGTACTCCGTACTCTTTTTATAAGCATATACGGAGTAATGTTGTAGTGTAACACGTAAATAAACAAGAGTACAAGACGACATATAATGTAATCAATCAAAGCTAGCTAAGTACAGAGCAATTAGTGTCATAAATCAGGATCGGGGTGCAAATTTATAGTGTTTAATTAAAATTCTTGAATTCATGATAATTGTTTTTTCTTTTGAGTAAAGTTTACTTGATATTAACATAAAAGTAGAATTGCACAAAACTGACAAATTGGAAAAAAGGACAAAGTAAATTTATGTAGAGCCAAGAGAATATAATTTGCTTTGGCGCGTAATCAACGGCTCACTCTTTTGGTCATGCCCACTAATAGCGGGGAATAAAATTGACAAAATTATCTAACTACGAAGATTATACTGTACACCCGAGCACATAAATGTCATACTCTATATGTCCACGAATGCAATAACATGACTATATCTTTCTTTACGTATATCCGAGCTGAAAATTAAAATTGCTCGATAATAATGTTCGGGTTTGGTGCTATGTATAGGTGTTCAATTTCGCAAACAAACATCGAGGTGCATACAGTTCGAGTCTAAAAAGAGCAGTTTGCCCGTTTTACTGTGATAATAACGGCTACCAGGTAAGCTTCTTAATTTGCACTCGTATACTTGTACTTGTAGTGTACATGTCAAGTGTCAACTTTTATTCCCGTTTTTCTGTTTTTTTGGGCACTTCCAAGTCTTTTTCCCGTTATTATTATCCTTATTTATTACCTTTGTTACTTGTACGGAGTAATAAATAATTGTAAGTTGTATATATCGATAATTTAAAGATTAGTGTTACAATTTGTTGTGAATATCTATGATTTAATGTTTAAGGTTGTATCTATAACCTACAGTAAATTTTTTTGTTCGAAATTAGTTGTCATATTTATATAAAGTAGAATGTAATTAGAAGTCGTAATATGTAATGAGTAGTGTACTCGGGAATAATTAAATGAGGACGACGGTGATTAAAATGATATTGTATGTAATTTTTGGAAATGGGGGGATATGCAGGACGAGTTGCTATGGGGAGCAGCATGGTTGCACAAGGCCACAAGAAGGCGCAAATATAGAGAATACATAGTCAAGAACGAGGTCATATTAAGAGCTGGAGACACTATTAATGAATTTGGATGGGATAATAAGCATGCTGGGATCAATGTCCTCATTTCCAAGGTATTATTTTTTATTCTTAATTTTTTAAATTAAATTGCAAGGTGTCAATTCATCGGGTATAATACTCCGTACAATTAGTAGTTTTAGTACGGAGTATACCGATGTTAAAAACAGATCTAACTTGACTATAGTAGTCGACCTAATTCGATCTAGAATTGAATTTGCCTGGACTCAATGATTTAACATATTCTAACATAACTCGACCTAGTGACTTAAATCGACACCTCTTATCACTGTTAAAATGTAATATCTGTGATTGAATCTCGTCTATTGCATTGCCTCTATGCCACTCTTCTCCATGGCCATATCGCATTATTGCTTATACCAAGTAATTACTACGTAATTAAGTAGAATAATTGTTATAAACGGAACTGCGGGAACAAAAACAGTAAGAACAAAGTTACCGAAAAATAGACTGAGTCGCGGACTATGTCGCTTTCTTTAGAACATTCACGGCACTGCCCTGAAATGGTGCAAGCAGTTCGTACTAAACCGGATGTTCCCCAGGATAAAACAGCCTTTCTCTATTGAAATTATACCGGTGGAACTGCACAAAACCACCGGGCAACTAAACACCCAAAAAGAAAAGAAACTGCTCGAGGGTTTTGTTTTTGTGAGGAAAAATAGAGAGGAGAAGAAGATTGCTGTTCGTATTTTTTGTGTATCAAAAACAGGAAATCAACACGCCTTTTATAGGAAAAATTGCAACGTAACTGCTGCTGTTTAATTAGGCACTAATCACGCAATTAAAACGGTCATAAGTTGAACGTTCAAAACGGTTACAGAAGATTAATGCGTGGCAAAACGTTTAGCAAAAAATCAGGTAAAACGTTTGCATGATTAACGCTCCATTAATCAGTTTTGAATAAAAACGGTCAAATGCAATCAGTCAAAAACGTTTAGCAAAAATCAAGGAACTAATCACGCAATTAGCCTTGTCCAAAAAATAAGTTTATTTAATAAACCCGACCCGACCCAACCCAACCCGGCCCGGCCCGGCTCGGCTCGGTTCGGTTCGGCGCGCGTGTGTGTGATAGATGGTTTACCATATAGGTCCTCCCTCTCCACAAAATGTGGGTAGCCCAAGGGCCACACCCCTTTAGCCCACTCTCTATATTATAAAGAGAGTAAAACTCTCATTTCCCACCAATGTGGGACTTTGAGTTTTTTCACAAAATTCACACACTACACACTACACAGTTGTTGTTCCAACAATCCCCCACTTGAATTTTTTGAAAACATTTTCGAGCAGAATCCATACATATATAGGTTGCGCATAAACAGAAGTGTTTTTCAACTTGAACTTCGACGTAGTGAGTACGATTCAGATTCAACAAGGGTGACTCGAAGTTTTGAACCCTATCTCTGACAACGTACCCCACACAACCTACTCTTGGTGTTGTTCTAGACCCGTGCTATTTCGGCCATGCACGTCTATCCCAGTGTAGTGAATGCTCTAGAAATGCTGCCACACATTTCATAGGAAGCGGCCTAACTTCCACATTCACATAGGTGAATCTATCAAGAGTACTCCTGTAGCTTGGTACTCCACTCCAAATTGGAGTATAGATTTCATTAAGAGTTCCTATTAACTCATCCTTGATCGCTTCAGGAAATTATGTCTTTTGAACATATTCAACTCATAACACACCATAACTTGTTATTACCCTTTGAACCTATTTCTTGGGATCTCCAGTTCATAGGTTGGGTTACCATTATGTGTGGTTCATTTCAATGGCAATAGTCCCATTTTCTTAGAAGAAAAATGGACTTTCTCCCTAGCTAATCCTTTCGTCAAAGGATCAGCCAAGTTATTCTCAGTGCGTACGTGATCCACTCTAACAGCTCCGATAGAGAGATATTCTCTCACAGTGCTGTGCTTACGACGTATTTGTCGTCTCTTACCGTTGTAATAACGGTTCTGAACTTTTGCAATAGCCGCGGTACTATCGCAATGGATCAAGACAGCCGGTAATGGCTTTTCCCATAGGGGAACTTCACCTAGCAGGCCTCTTAACCAACCTGCTTCTTCACTAGCCGTAGCTAGTGCTATCATTTCTGACTCCATGGTGGACTGAGCCAAAATAGTCTGTTTCTTAGACTTCCAAGATACAGCTCCACCGGCTATAGAAAAAATATATCCACTAGTAGCCTTAGAGTCATCTGATAAGGTGTTCCAGTCAGCATCACTATAGCCTTCTAGTACAGCTGGAAACCTTTCATAATGCAACCCTAGGTTCATGGTCCTCTTAAGGTATCTCATGACCCTTTCAATAGCATGCCAATGCTCATTACCAGGACAACTAGTAAACCTGCCTAACAATCCCACGACATAGGCAATGTCGGGTCTAGTACAATCAGTGGCATACCGAAGGCTGCCAATGATGCTCGCATAATCCGATTGCCTTACGGCATCACCAGTGTTCTTAAATAATTTAACACTGGAATCATAAGGTGTACTAGCAGGTTTACAGTCAAAGTAACTATATTTCTTTAGGATCTTCTCAATGTAATGAGATTGATCCAAAGAAACTCCATTTTCTGTCCTAGTAATCTTAATTCCAAGGATTACATTAGCCTCTCCTAGGTCTTTCATATCAAACTCAGCATTCAACAATAGCTTTACATTATTCACAGCATGAATGTTCGAGCCAAAAATTAACAAGTCATCCACATATAGACAAATTATAGTGCATATGTCATTCTCAAATTTTACATATATGCATTTGTCACTACCATTTATCTTAAAACCATGTGAGATGACTAAGTTATCAAATTTTTCATGCCATTGTTTAGGTGCTTGTTTGAGACCATAAAGAGATTTATCTAGCTTACATACCAGATGCTCTTTTCCTTGAACAACGAATCCTTCCGGTTGATCCATGTAGATTTCTTCTTCCAATTCACCGTTCAAGAATGCAGTCTTCACATCCATTTGATGTACTACAAGATTAAAAACAGAAGCAAGAGATATTAATACTCTAATAGATGTTACTCTAGTTACAGGTGAATAGGTATCAAAGAAATCAACATTCTCCCTTTGTCTGTAGCCTTTAGCTACTAAACGGGCTTTGAACTTATCAATGGTCCCATCAACTTTCAGCTTTCTTTTTAGGACCCATTTGCAACCAATTGACTTGCAACCTGGTGGCAACTCAGTTAGATGCCAAGTTCGATTAGACTCAAGTGAGTCCATTTCGTCGTTCATGGCTTCTTGCCATAAATCTGCATCCACTGAGGTTAGAGCTTCTTGGAGGGTAGAAGGATCCTCCTCTACATTCAGAACTACAAAGTCTGGGCCGAAGTCTTTTGCTACTCTAGCCCGCTTGCTCTTTCTTAGTTCGGGTTCAGCATCCAAGTCTTGTGAGTTAGACCTGTCTTTAGGAATAATAGAGGAGGACGTGCCCCCACTATTTCTAGATTTAAAAGGAAACCTGTCCTCATAAAAATCAACATCATTAGATTCAATAATTACACGAGCATTTAAATCAAAGAATCTATATGCCTTACTGTTAATAGCATATCCAATGAATACGCATTCATAAGCTCTACTAGCTAATTTGACTCTTTTAGGATCAGGAATCCTAACATATGCTAGACAACCCCAAGTTCTGAAATAAGAAACGTTAGGTCGTTTATTACGAAGTATTTCATAGGGAGAAACCTTACTCTTAGTCTTTGGAATACGATTTAAGACATAACAAACAGTTAGTAGAATTTCACCCCACCAATGATCAGCAGCACCAGAATATAAGGAAATAGCAACTACTAATTCTGTAAAGGTCCTATTTTTCCTTTCAGCCTTTCCATTCATTTCTGGGGAATAAGGAGCTGTCCTTTCATGTATGATACCATGTGAATTATAAAATTCTACAAAAGCATCAGTACCATACTCAGTTCCACGATCACTTCGTAATCTTTTTATTTTCTTGTTAAACTGATTCTCAAATTCTGTTATAAACAACTTAAACATTTCAAAAGCATCACTCTTATTTTTCATCAAATAAATACAAGTATAATCAGAACAATCATCAATAAAGGTGATAAAGTATCGTTGTCCATTTCTGGTCAACGTCCCATTTAGTTCACAAATATCCGAATGAATTAAGTCTAATGGTTCTGAATTTCTAATCACTGATTTATGAGGAGTTTTTGTAATCTTAGCCTGACTACAAGAATCACATTTGTCAAAGTCATTGAGAGAGATATTTGGAATAAGGCCTAAATTGCTCATATTTTTTATGAGTCTTTTGTTCACATGACAAAGTCTAGTATGCCAAACATTAATAGTAGAACACAACATATAAGCAGAATTAGAAATTTTATTAACTTCAACATTCAGTTTGAACATGCCATCAGTAGCATATCCTTTTCCTACAAATATTCCATTCTTAGTTAAAGTAAACAAATCAGAACCTATGGTTTGTATAAAACCAGCCTTATTAAGCAAAAAACCAGAAACTAAATTCTTCCTCATTTCCGGAGTGTGTAACACATCTTTCAGAATGAGAGTCCTGCCAGAAGTAAACTTCAACTCAACATTTCCAACACCAGCAATGTTAGTGGAATGGGAATCACCCAACAGTACTTTCTTATCATCGGTCTTTTCAGTGTATGTTTTAAACATTCGACGATCATAACAGACATGGCGTGTGGCACCAGTGTCTATCCACCACCCATCTGATCCACCAGTAAGGTTGATCTCAGTAATCATAGCCACAAAAGGCTCTTCAATCATGCTAGCCTGCGCTGGCACAGGGTTAGGCATGTTCCTGCACTTTCGTGCCATATGGCCTGGTTTTCCACACCGATAGCACAGAAATTGACCAGTACCATTCTTAGGGGGTTGTGACTGTTGTCTTCCATTGTTCTTTTGAACATTCGGTTTATTGAAGTTATTCTTCCGGTTCTGAGGTTTGAAATTCTTACCAGCAGGTTTAAGTACTGCAGCAGATCGCCTAGGAGCATTATTAGCAGAGATTTGTAAAATCTCTTCCTTTAGATCCTGTTTTCTGGATTCTTCTTCTATACGTAGCCGAGTGATCAAACTCTCTAAGGAGAATTCCTTAGTCTTATGCCTGAGATTATTTTTGAAATCTTTCCAGGAAGGAGGCAACTTGTCAATAATAACAGCAATTTGAAATTGTTCATCAAGGGCCATACCTTCGGAAATTATCTCATGGGCAATTTTCTGAAGGTCGTGAGACTGCACTTCCACGGACTTATCATCAGTCATCTGGAATTTTAGGTACCTACTGACAGCATACTTTTTGGCACCTGCTTCTTCAGTATCATACTTTTTTTGTAGGGCATCCCACAAATCCTTAGCAGTGTTTTCCATATTATAATAGTCATAGAGGTTATCAGACAGACCATTAAGTATATAGTTTTTGCACACGAAGTCAGTTTCATTCCAGGTTTCGATTTCACTATTCAAGTAAGCTAATTCATCTTCAGGAGCATTATCAGGAATAAATGGCCGAGGGGCTGTTAAGGCAGAATTAACTTTTTTGACAGTTAAGAAAAATTGCATTTTTTGTTTCCATCTTTTAAAGTGAGCTCCTTCAAAACGGAAGGGCTTGTTAAGGTCAGCAGACATAGTAATATCTTCGGTAGACATATGGTTCTTACAGGCAGAAAAAGATTGTTCTAAAATTGTTATAAACGGAACTGCGGGAACAAAAACAGTAAGAACAAAGTTACCGAAAAATAGACTGAGTCGCGGACTATGTCGCTTTCTTTAGAACATTCACGGCACTGCCCTGAAATGGTGCAAGCAGTTCGTACTAAACCGGATGTTCCCCAGGATAAAACAGCCTTTCTCTATTGAAATTATACCGGTGGAACTGCACAAAACCACCGGGCAACTAAACACCCAAAAAGAAAAGAAACTGCTCGAGGGTTTTGTTTTTGTGAGGAAAAATAGAGAGGAGAAGAAGATTGCTGTTCGTATTTTTTGTGTATCAAAAACAGGAAATCAACACGCCTTTTATAGGAAAAAGTGCAACGTAACTGCTGCTGTTTAATTAGGCACTAATCACGCAATTAAAACGGTCATAAGTTGAACGTTCAAAACGGTTACAGAAGATTAATGCGTGGCAAAACGTTTAGCAAAAAATCAGGTAAAACGTTTGCATGATTAACGCTCCATTAATCAGTTTTGAATAAAAACGGTCAAATGCAATCAGTCAAAAACGTTTAGCAAAAATCAAGGAACTAATCACGCAATTAGCCTTGTCCAAAAAATAAGTTTATTTAATAAACCCGACCCGACCCGACCCAGCCCGGCCCGGCCCGGTTCGGCGCGCGTGTGTGTGATAGATGGTTTACCATATAGGTCCTCCCTCTCCACAAAATGTGGGTAGCCCAAGGGCCACACCCCTTTAGCCTACTCTCTATATTATAAAGAGAGTAAAACTCTCATTTCCCACCAATGTGGGACTTTGAGTTTTTTCACAAAATTCACACACTACACACTACACAGTTGTTGTTCCAACAATAATTATTTTAGTGGTAAATCCAAGCTGGACCTACGGAATTGTTGTCCTAATGTAATGAGACATTATTCTTCTTGTCCTGTGACTAATTTTAGGGTCTAGGGGAACTAAATTGCGAGGGACCCACTCTTGAGCCAATCACGTGCTTGTGGAATATCTATCTGATTATGGTTGGTTTCGGGTTTGGGTCTGAATTTTTCTACCCTATTTATGGGCTACAACTTGTGGGCCCAATCCATTTGTTATCCAATTACTTCTAATCTAAGATTTTTATAATCATGTAATTAACATTTAGGATTAAAAAATTAGTCAAAAGGTGAAGAATATAAATAATACGAGGAGAAGAATTTATGTAGATATGATATGATTGCACATGATATTAGTTGTGATATTGTGATTTTAGATCTTAGTGTAAAGTGTACAGCTTGGATTTTGAAGCATAAAATTATGTTTGTGTTTTCTTCTAATTTTAAATATTTGATTAGTAAAGTTTTTGATTCTTTAAACATGTGAAATACATAATTATTGGTTTTTTCCAACATGTAAAAGAATAACAATAATGTCACACTATGATATCTTATATTGCTTCCTACATAGTCTTTCATCAAAATTCTAAATTTCTAGTTTAATGTTATGTAGTTCTTACTCCGGAGTTAACGATCGATGCATCAATTAATAACACATGTTAGAGAAACTTGTTACACAACAGAATCTCAAATAACTATGTTTTCTCTTTACATATACTCGTATAAATCACTAATCGTGAATAATGTAAAAGTCATTATAGTATAAATCACTAATCGTGAATAGTGTAAAAGTCATTATAATTTTACATTTGTGGAACACATTATGCTCTTTAGGGCTCTAATCATGCCACTAATTTGGGCGCCTAAATTTTTTTGTCTATTTGATAAAAAACATGTTGAAATTAACAAGAAAAAAATGAAAAGAAGTGAAATGGACTGACCAACTGATTGAATCAATACATTGTTATATGTTGTGATATGGAGGACAGTGCATTTTACTGTAAATTTTTTTTACTATATTAATTCCTTGGTCTACCCAAAAGTTGATTTTCCCAATTGGTCTAAATTAAAAATTATTACCATATATTATATGAGTATTTATTTTTGTAATTATGTGGAAATATAGTGGAGAAATAATTGGCAGATGCATGTGGTATAAGGCTGAAAAATGCAGTAGAGAATGCAGAGCTTCCCATTCTGGCCATTAACTTCTGCTTCATATAATAGCTATGTTTGACTTATTTTAGTTTCCTTTATTTTTCTTTTTTTCACTTTATTAATTATCAATTGTCATTATTAAAAAAAAAAAAAAATTAAGGTGTAGGGTTTATGTTCATCATTATGTCATTCAATCATTCTTTAAAAACTAATTTGAAACGGAAGAAATATATAGATGTACCTTTAAAATGTTACCATAAACATGCTAAGTTTGACATCAATGTATCGGACTGTATATTGTTTGTTATAGGAAGTGTTGATGGGGAGAGCCGATGACTTGAAAAATTTCAAGAACAATGCCGATAACTTCATATGTTCAGTGATTCCCGGTGTTGCTCATCCACAAGTACAATACTCTCCAGGTAAACTACAAACACGCGTTAATTCAATTAATATGAATACTATATACGGAATAGTTTGTATCATTTACACATAACGCTACGTGTTACACAATTCACGAATATGAATTGTACTAAATTTGATAAGATAACACATGATCAATCGTTGCAATTGATGTTGTTGTAGGTGGGTTGATCTTCAAGACTGGAGGAAGTAACATGCAACATGTAACGTCTCTATCTTTCCTACTTCTAGCTTACTCTAATTATCTAAGCCACTCCAATCACCAAGTGCCATGTGGCGGAATTGTAGCTTCTTCTCCTCTCCTAAAACAGTTTGCCAAACGTCAGGTATGTATAATTATTCTTGGATTCTTTTAACGTTCAACTTCCTACATTATGGTGTACATATACCAACCATTACTTAGATAACATTATAACCTAAGCTTTGGGGACCAATATTATTAACCATACAATAAGTTTACCGTTACATTAATAAATGCATATGAATGTAGCTTTCACTTGAAATTATTTTCACATACCACTATTTATTCATGTAAGGATAGGAATAGAGTATGTAACTATATATGTACAGCCGGGTGACACTTTCATGCAACGTTAGTTTAAAGTTGAATTACTGAATCGTTATCACTCATCTTTTTTAGACATGATTTGGAAAATCAATTTGATTCCGGAGTCAAGTTAATGAGCTAGTTATGACACGAACTAATTAAACCTATTATCGCTTGTTTCACTTATCATGGTAAATTAATTACGGTTTGGTGTAACCCTAACTACCCAAGTCACAGTTAAATAGTTAAGGTAAAAAAAAGAGGACCACAAGAGAGAATAATTTTTGGACTGAAAATGGTAGGCAGTACATTAAATCCAATGATAATCCTACAAAGTCAAGGCATCTATCTATATCTATCTACTATCCAACTGTATAAAATTTGCTTATTCATTTTTAGGACACTTTATATCACATGACAACGGATTTATTTTTTGACTTTATTATATACTTCTCATGATCTATCATGTTCATGTTCATGCCCTTCATATTAGGTTTCTGATTTTATTTTGGAACTTTGCCATCACTTTGCTGTAACAGCACAATTTCATGTGACATGAAATGAAAACAACTTAATAATTGGATTGTTAATTCTTCACAAGAATTCCTTTGTCCGAAACTAACTGTCACACATTGTCCTAGTTGGTAATTCTTCACAAGAATTTTTTTACAAGGACTATTTTCACTTTCATCTCATTACTTTAACATCGACGTGCAATCACTGCACATACTATTACTGTTTTAGAAAATATGACGTTTTCTGTACGAACATTAATTGGCAGGTGGATTACATACTAGGGGATAATCCAATAAGGATGTCATACATGGTGGGCTACGGGCCGCGATATCCACAAAGGATACACCACAGGGGCAGTTCTCTTCCATCAGTCCATGTTCATCCGGCCCACATCGGCTGTAAAGCGGGCTCTCGGTACTTCCTCAGCCCAAACCCTAACCCAAATAAGCTTGTTGGAGCAGTTGTTGGTGGGCCCAATGTCACAGATGCCTTTCCAGATTCCAGGCCTTACTTTCAAGAGTCTGAGCCCACTACTTACATTAATGCTCCTCTTGTGGGCCTTCTTGCCTACTTTTCAGCCCATCCTTGATACCTAAATTATTAATTATTAAAGATTTTCTATGGAAAGTAGGGCAAGGTTATAGAGGTGAGCAAATTGCCACCCTATGGAAAATTGTAATGTATCACATTCTTGCTAAAATGTCAATGATGTTTCAATTTGTTAACATTGGTGTCACCGTACGTGTCATCCTAATTATTAATGATATTATTCTTATTCGAAAAAAAAAAACCAACGGTGTCAACATATTGATAGTTTTATTACCTTGCTTTTGCTAGTATCAATGTCTTAATAAATCTTATCAGCAATAATGTAAAATCGAACCTTTTGTTTTCGGAGTTAGAACTTTGAAGCAAACGAATACATCATAATGAATCAATTACAACAACAATCAAGAACAAAGGAAGCGAGTTCTAAGCATTAGTTTACAAAAGAGTTAGATTGCACTAATATACACTTTGCGCAGGACAAGATTAAAAGGATGACCCAAAAACAAGAAAAGGAATGAACAAAGAAAAAAAAAAGCAGCACCCCAACACCACCCCGACGAGCCACAAGACAGCCCACGAGCTTTTCTGCTTCTTGTTCTTAGCCCCTCTACCCCTCCTTTCTTTGGCTCAAACATTCAATACACAGTAAGCATTTATACAAGCACCAACTTCTCAGAAGGTTTTTGTACATGTTAAGATGCATGTTGAGCAGCTCAATCACTAATAGCCTCCAACGCGCTTAAATTGCCATACTGCGTCTCTTCTTCAGATTTCCTGCCTCAGGATTTCCTTTCCTCATCATAGCCACGAATTCATCGTAGTTTATTCTACCATCCTACCAAAAAAAAGTGTTTGTATGTTAGGCTAATTTATACATTCCAAACAAAACAAAATAGTTGATGAACTTTTTATTTTACTTACATTATCACTATCCACTTCAGAAACTATTTCCTTAATGTCCCTTCCATCATGCATGCCAAACTCTTGTAAAGCTTGTTCGAGTTCTTCCATTGTAATGTACCTGAGATAACATAAAAATTTAGAAGGAAATAATGTATCATTTCTTGTAAACATGATCAAATTTCCTTTCAATATGATCATGAATATATTAACTGCTAAGAACAAGGCCTAACAATGTCAAATGTTATATCATTACCCGCTGTTATCTTTGTCAAAGTACTGGAACGCGGTATACAAGTGCTCTTCTCTGTCCATTCTGTTCATGTGCATTGTCGCGGTGATAAACTCCTCATAGTCTATAGTTCCATTTCCATCTGCATCCGCCTGTTGATTCAATAAACATTAAGTCATTTCCTCATTTTTAAGAGAAAGTTAGTATATGCACGAGTTTAGAGCAAAACAATACTCACAGCTTCCATCAACTGCTTGACCTCATACTCGGATAGCTTAGTCCCTTGCTTTTGCATGCCTTGCTTTAGCTCTTCGAGAGTTATACTCCCGCTGTTGTCAGCATCCATGCTCTTAAACATCTCTTTAAGTCCCATGATTTCTTCCTCCGATAAACATCCAGCAATAACCTATATCATTACACATCTTTTTCAGTCCCTATAATTTCTCAAGAACTAGCTATGATAACATTTCCAATTGAAAATTTATCAGAACTAAACTTTTCTTCCTGGTATTTGGAAATTGACTATGGAAAACTGAAACTATGTTTTAGCAAAGTTTGGTTTTCACATTAAAATTTTCATCATGTAAAAAAAAAAAAATGTTCAGGAGAATGTACTGACCCTTAGAGCAACTTTCTTGAACTTGTTCATTGCTCTGAACTGTTTCAACCTATCAAGGACCGCGTTGTCAAGAGGAGTATCAGGAGCTTCTCCATCCTCCTTAATCCACGGATGATCTAACGAAGAAAACCCCATAATTTGTTAGGAAGAACTATGTAAAATCCTACATGAAACATAATAGTGCAAGGCAACTAATATATGAAGAGATCAATTTTGAGAAATTACAAAAGACTATTTCCTAGCAACTTACTGAGAACTTGATAAGCTGTAAGCCTTTGTTTTGGATCGGCGTTCAACATCCTCCTAACAAGATCTTTTGCTTGAGATGAAATTGATGGCCATGGATCAGTTGTGAAGTCGATATGAGCCCTTAAGATAGCATTGAATATACCATGTTCGGTTTCTAGTAAAAGCAGAACATTCACATTTCAATCCATTCTTCTAATGGCACATAAAAAAGGGGTAAAAAAGAAAATATATAGGTAAAATTACCAGCCCAAAAGGGAGGAACACCACATAATAAAATGTATAACATGACCCCAACACTCCATATATCAACTTCTGGTCCATATTTTCGCTTCAACACTTCTGGTGCAATGTAGTACGCGCTCCCCACAATGTCTTTGAATGTATCACCTGTCGAAAACACAACATAATGTAAGAAAAAAAATGTAGAAACATTTTTGTAGTCATTGTTATCTTTCTAGATAGAGCAAAGTCATGATCATCAAGATTCATTTACCTGACTTGTAAAAGACAGAAAGACCGAAATCTGTGGCCTTAAGAGGGGAATTCTCATCCTTATTCAAGAGGAGGAAATTCTCAGGTTTCAGATCACGATGAATGACACCCATAGAATGGCAAGTATGCACGATTTGAACGATGGTCCTAAGCAACGAAGCAGCAGCACGTTCAGTGAAGTGACCCTTGGCAATGATGCGATCAAACAACTCCCCACCGGCACAAAGCTCCATCACCAAATGCACCGAATGCTTGTCCTCATACACGCCTTTAAGCTCCACAATGTTAGGTTGACCTGTTAGGTGATGCATGATCTGAACTTCTCTCCTAACATCATCAATATCCTCCTTATTCACCAGCTTTCTCTTGGCAATGGTCTTACATGCAAATAGCTCACCCGTTTGCCTGTGGGTAATCAAATGGGTCACCCCAAATTGCCCTCGGCCTAGCTCCTTACCAAAGCTATACGTGGACTTGACATCCTCCATAGGCCGGCCTAAGACAGGCCCGACTTGGATAGGCTTGGAGTGCTTGTTGTAGGAAGATGTAGGAACAGACGGCTTAGTGGAAGCCTCCGTCTTATGGGGGCTATGGTTATTAGCAGCATTGTTATTATTGCCGGAGGTGGAGGTAACACCCTTTTGATTATCCAAGGGTTCGGTAGGGGCTGCGTTGCCTCGAGGGCAACAATTGCCCATGGAAGAAAGGCAGAGATAACAAAGGAATATCGGATGCTTAGGAATAAGATGGGGGGCTGCTTTTCTTTCTTAGTCTTTTCTTTGGGGGGGGCAGGGGGTAAGAGAATCAAAGGAAAACTGGGTTTTTTGAAGGGAGAAGTTGAAAGATTAGAGGATGAAAGAGGAGAGAGAAAGCGTGGCGAAAGAATAAGGGAAGATACAGGTTGGATTCAAGGAAATTTTGCAAGGAAGAAAGAAGGGGTTGATGCTGAGGAATTGTAGGAGAAAATAAGCAAATTTTTAATTTTTTCAGAAAAAAAGCCCCTTAAATTTTGGTTGAGGAGGATTTCGCGGGAATCTAACTGTTTTTTGCATGTATTTTTTTTTTCCCCTCCAGATATCAACATCTATGTAATCTTTAAGCTTTTATTTTACTCATTTAATTTCTTTTCTCTATTTTGGGACATACATAGTTTTGTACCCAGATAAATACTCTGTAATTAACAATTTACGTTACTACCGCAAATTATTGGACAGTTTAAAATCATTTCTCATAAAATAAATTATTCAAATAAGAATTCATTGACATTACAACTCCATCAAAATAAGAGTTCACAAATAAACTATGGCGCCTATTTTGGAAACTCTTGATGGTAAGGGGAAAAGGACATGGAAGTCCAAAACAAAATTCGCGGTTTCTTTGGTTGTGATACTGCTACCTCTTAGTTTCCTAATAGGTTGGAATTGAAGGATCCACATTCACAGCGTAAGAATGAATACCTCCAGCTACATTGAACACTCTCTTGAAACCCTGAACAAGAGATTATTCATATCAGCAAAGAATACATTAATTAAAACTTTTCTAAAGCTTACAATCAAAGATACAAACAGGAGTAAAAATGAAAAGATCCAGTAATCCTCATAACTACTTAAACTCAAGATCTCAATTAGATACAACTCCATAATCAATAGCAATAAGTATAAAGAAAAAGCCCAAAAAACCGTGACAAAACAAAAAAAAATGGTAGTTGAGAGTACAAGCACCAATTTCACTAAAACAAGTTAACAAGAGGAAAACAAGCATAGGCCGCAACATGCTTAAGGACTATAAAAATTAAACCGCAGCATCACTCGAGAATTACATAAAATTAGCCTATCATATATATCCATTAAAAAATGAGTGCCTTATAATGAGTTATTTTCATGGATTTGAAATTGCATTGGTATCAAAGTTTAAACAGATAAGTAATGAAACATTGATATAATAAGTGACAAATAATATAAAATTAAAATAATTGCTCCCGTAAAGTAGATAGAAGAGTCAAAATGAAGGGAGTAGCAAATAAAACTAATCAAAGAGAAATTTACCTGTGACTGCAGCCATCTGGCAACTTGCATTGATCGCATCCCATGGTGACACTGGATCCAATTAATAAGTGTTAGTGCATTAGGCGCAGATAAAATTAAAATTTAAGACTTGTACTTGTGACTGAAATAGACCACTGACCATAACATAAGTATCATTGTTAGGATCAAACTTGGTTGTAATCTCGGGTCCCCAAGTTCCAAATTGTTGAAGAGGAAGAACCTGAAAACTTGGTAAAGATGCTTTGGCACTGCACACATTATATCAAAGTTGTAGATGAATTTAAAAGTTCAAAGATCAGATCATTGTGCATACAAACACCCAATAGAAGCTTAAAGAGTGATTTTTAAAGGAACAAAGCCTACAAAGTTTTAGCACAAAGTATCAGTTTTTCAAGTAAATGGAAGAAAAGGATTTTAATTCTAAGATGTCAAAGTTACAAGTTGCAAGCAATGCTATCACCAGTTCTCATACTTCTCAAAACAGCAATTAACAGATAATTTAGAGCACTAAGCATTAATACTGCTCCGTGTTGACAATATATCTTCTCTTACCTTGAGTGACAATAAAATATAGTGGCATTCAGAAAGCTGCTTTGTCATGAGATCCTAAATGGCATAGACTAAGGATCCTGTTTATAAACTACAAGGTCTACAACCATCCCGATAGACAAAACCATTCCTAAAAACAGTTTTACTCTGTGACTAGATCTATTTTCTGAACTTACAAGCTCAATTCAAGATTCCCATTACCCAAACTCCTGAAAAGAAGTTTCAAACAATCAAACCACAAGCTCAACTTTTAAATTTCAACACACGACTGCCTCACATTTTTCAGAGACCAAGTATATATATGTTTGTGTGTCACCAACATCATAAACTCAGAATCGTATGAAACCAAAGCATTGTCTATGACGAAGTTTATTGGGTAAAATAAATATGGAAAAATAACTCAGGGACCAAGAGATATTGATCAGACTGTAATACATAAAACCATCAAAAAGTGCAGCAGAAAAAGACATACATTTCTTCTGGCTCTCGAACATCGATCAGCTGTACTGTTTCTGTGAAGTTGGGATCTTGCAATCTCTCATGCAACTCACTTGGTTGAACTTCACCAAGCAACGATCCTTCCCTAAAGTAATTGCATATAAAAAGGTACAGAATCAAGTAAATCAGTAACTTTTCAGAGCTCAAAAAGAGGTAATATCTTCAATGAACTTACCTCTCGGATACAACTTGCAGCAAGTGCCATCCAAACTTGGTTTTACACCGTACAACCTTGTTTAATGGTGCAGAAAATGCAGCCTCTTCAAATTCTGGTACCTAGTAAGAGGAGGATGATTCAAATCAGCTTTCATTCGGAAACATAAATACTTAAATAGCTTTCTCTTCACAAAAACATTCAGAAACATAAAAAGCTTTTTCCAAATAAATCATTTGCTAGGAATTAGCTCAGATCAGAGAGATTAGGAAGATGATCAAGCAGAAAAAAATAGCTAAGTACCAGATATTTGTATTGATGATCAGAGTGATAAAACAATACAATCACTCTTCATTCGAGAGGAAGAGCAGCTCCCCAAAACTAAGCAAAGCTTAACAATATTTTCAGCATGATCATTATTCCTCCTAATGAGGCCTATTTATAGAAAAAGTCTCATAACTAACTCTAACTTATTCCTCAAGACACTACTAATAGGCTCTGACTAATGTGCCCCTCCCTCAAATATTGATTCCTTGCATCATTTGGAAACATGATAAGTTTTCTGTATACAGAAAAGTATCAATTGCTTCCAAACAACATAGGGTATTAAGGGAGGTGAAGAACAGTTATAAACTGATAATATAGGGGTCAAATTTCTTAAGCAATATCCATAACAGCAACTTATCTGATAGCTTTGCAAGAAACAAGTGCCTAAACAATCAGCATACCATTTGTCCTTTTCTAACCCAACCAAGCACTCCACCCTCTTCTTTTGACGGACAAATAGAGTACTCCACAGCAAGATCACTTAAATCCTCCCCTAGCATTTGACAACAGAAATTAGCATAAACCCATCAATCATATCCACATACACAATCACTTGATAACAATTTCAGCAAAAGCATACCTCCTGCAACCCTTTTTTGAAGTTCCACTAAAAGGTTAAGGTCATTTTCTTTGACAAGCAAGTGCTGCACCAATAGTTCCCTATCACCACCAGAGCTACTTCCAGTTGTAAATGCTGTTAAATGCATTCAAAATCATCATCATCAAATCAATTCACATTACATCACATAAACTAGACTGTGTATCAAAAGCAGGATCCGATTAATAATATGTAACTCCATCACCAACATTCATCTTCATCATTACTTGTATCACCTCAAGTACTAATGTTGGATACTCTATAGTCAATACTCAGACATGGATATGAAGATGGACATTGACACAGAAAAGGGAAGTGGGGAAGATGATGAAAATGCGAAGGAAGGTAGATGATGATGATGAGAGTAAGATACCCTGCTCAACATTTCGTCTGCGTTTTCTGCTGCTCAAATTTTGATGGTTTTCTTCTTTTGTTGTCTTGCAATGCAATAGAGGAAGAGAAGGAGTAAAGGGATGTAATTATGCTAACTAGCCGAGGGGAGACTGAGCTAGGGTAGCTTGGGTTCGACTCGCAATACTTTATTTAAACTCGAGCTAAGTCTCATTTAAGACGGGGTTTGATGATTATGATATTTTGACTCGAGTATCATACACGTATTAGCTCTTAATCGTTGCAGTCAACAATGATCAAGTTGATATAAAGTATGTTTAAGTGAATTAAGGGTTATTGTAACTGTAAAACTAGAAGGACCATTCGAAAGATTGTTGTAGGTCTTAGTGGTTATTGTGGCATCTATCAATCTATCATCATTCATCATTCATCAATTGCCTTCTTTGGGTACATGTTTTTTAAAGTGGTCAAAACAGTCAAAAGTGGGAAGAAGAGAAATGCCTTGTTTAGATAAACAAAAATACATCATCTAAAGATTCAATTCTCACTTATGGTGCGAAATTGGGATATGCCATATGCATTTAAAATTAAAGACTAGTTACTTCATAACATAGAATACATCACAATGAAGTGAAAAAAAGAATTGTATAGCTCGCTCATTAGCATGGAAATTAACAGTGCTAGGAACAATACCATGTAACATACTCCGTACAATTTAGGAGTCCAATTCCAACAAGGAAATATCAACAAAGCTGCATCATCCTTCAGGCACAACTATGTTGAGAATTTTCGCTTATTTGCAACTGCATGCTTTAGTTGCATAATTCTCTGTGCCAAATGTTGCTTACCTTCTCTATTCAACCCAAAAAATACAGTCCGAAAATTAACAGTGCTAGGAACAATACCATCATCCAACATTTCAGATAACAACTGCATTGCGACTTCAGACTTTTCCATCTCACAATAACTCGTGATCAACATAGAGTATGCTTTGAAATCTGGAAGTGGTCCTTTTAGTCTCATACGAAGGAACAATTTTCGAGCATCTTCAAAATTTTGTGAGTTGATATACCCACTTAGCAATGCAGTATAGGTAACGACGGTAGGATAGCAGCCTTCTTGCCACATTGTCTTAAAAATATCCAATGCTCTTTCCATCTGCTTTTCCTTGCAGAAATGTACAATTAATGATGTATAAACATGAACGGTTGGATGAATGCCTACCTGTTTCATAGAATCTATTTTGGCCAATGCCTCATCTAATTGTCCGCTTTGTAAGAGACCATGAACTAGGCTCCCATAGATGTAACGGTCAAGTGTAGAGCGCTCTTCTTTGACATCATTTGCTAGAGCTAAAGCTTCTTCTACTTTCCCACACCGAAAAAGAGCCCTGATAAGCAAGGAATAGCTCAAAGGCTTAGTATAACCAACCTTCTGGATATATTCCATACACTTCTTCGCATCTTCCAATTTACCTGATTGACAAAAACAATTGAAGCAAACTTCAACCAATTCTTTATCTGGAACTAACCCTGTGTTAATCATCTCCTTGAACAGGTTTATGGCTTCGTCCAACTTCCTACCCTTTCTTCCACAGAGTGACAAAAGCAAGTACTTGTATGTACTTGCTGTTGGCTTCAAACCACTAGCTTTCATATCATTGAAGTTCATTAATGCAATATTAGTCAGGCCCACTCGACCATATAGCAATATCATGATTGTCCATGTATCAGGTGTTACCAAGCAACCGTTTCTTTGCATTTCAAAGAAGAGATCTCTCATGTGTTTAAAATCTTTTCCTTTACCAGCTATTTTCATTGCCACGTTGTAAGAATCTGTTGAGTGTCTGTAACCAGGCTGATTTCGAACCCATGAGAAAAATTGTAGGGCAGCATAACCATATTGACTGCAAATGCGTAGGATCTCAGTCACAAGATCTGGTGTATAACAAATTTGGAACTCCTCCAAAGCTTTTTGCATATCATACCAACCCTTTGGTGATGACAAAATGGCACAGATTTTATGCAGATCTTTGCTATTGAAAGATTGTGGTAAAGGCTCTAACAACAGAGAGTCTCCATTTTGCTCAATGTTGTTTGACTCCAGATTATGCACCTTCGTCTCAGAAAATTCAACAGTTTTAGATGGTTCAACTGCTTCATAGTAATCCCCCCAACATTTTAGCATCTTCTTCACCTCTTCTGCTTTCTTAGTTTCCCTTTTCCTCTCCAAATAAGATATGACGCAATGGGAAATTTCCTTACTAATCTTAATTTTATTATCCTGCATTTGATACAAAACATTGATCATTTCATCAGTCTTTGAATTCCTACAGAGCTCCTGGATGATTACTAAGTAACATTTTTGTGTGGCCTTAATTCCTTCCTCCTCCATACTTTCGAATAGTTTCCAAGCAGCAGAAATAGAGTCGTTGCGTACATGACCTGCAATTATCGCAGTGTAAGCCACAGAATCCAGCTTCACGCCTCTATCCAGCATCTCATTATAAAGAGCACATCCCTTCTCATATTCGTTCAAGCTAAAGAAATGCTGCATCAACATTGTGTAAGTTGAAGTCAAGGGTGTAATACCAGCATCCTTCAACCCCTGAAACATATCCAAAGCCCTAGCAAAATCATTTTTTCTCAAGTACCCATTAATCAAAGCTTCATAAACCACCTCATTAACAACATTTCTTTTCTTCATAATATCAACAATCTCCAAAGCATCATCCATCCTACGAGCCTTACAAAGTCCCTTCACCAAGATATCAAAATACTCAGAGCTTAACGTCAAATTCTTAGTCTTAAGATCACGAATCAACTCTAAAGCTTCTCTTATGCGTTCTGACATACAGAAGCTCTTTAAGACAAAGAAGTAGACATTCTGATCCGGAATCTGAGAGACATTAATCATGTCATTTGCAACTAAGTAAACCCCATCAATATCTCCACAACCAGCAAGACAATTGAGCAGCATTGTATACTGTCTAATATCAGGCCTATAATCCTTTTGGACCATCTCTTTGTAAAACTCCAACGCAATTTCACCTTTCCTAGATTGACAAAGTACGCGAATCAACCATCCGTAAGCTTCAGCATCAGGTTCAACACCCAATTTCTTCATTTTTTCAAAGATCAACAAGGCCTTCCCAATCAACTTTGCCTTTCCATAATGCATTAATTGGATGGTCCAAGTCCTAATGTCTTTCTCACAACCAAAACTCTCCATTTCCTCAACCAACCTCTCAACTAACTCGAACTCTTTAGCTTCCCCTGCTAGATACAACATAGTATTGTAACTTTCAGTTGTAAGCCAACTCCCATTCTTCAACTTCACCCAACTGAAAAACCTGTTAGCCAAATGTGGGACTTTAAAGCACCTCTTTAACACGTTTACAACAACATCGGAACTAAATTCACAGCCCGAATCATCCAACCGTTGTTCCATTGAAATCCCAACATTACCCTGCCTTACAATCTCTGTTATCTTCTGTACAACAAAACTGTTATCATCATTTCCAGTCAAGTTTCCTACTTTATCACTATTAACAAACACTTCTTCACTTTTACCCTCAATTTTCTCTTGGGCATTTTCACAAACACCTTGTGTGCAATCCCCATTTCCAGAAAAATCTACAGGAATTGCAACAGGGACAAAAACCCCAGATGGAATTTTACTAAGAGCAAGATTTCCAGTTCCCAATATCTCAGTAATTTCACTAAACAAAGAATCATGATCATCTTTTTTCATTAATGTTTGATTCTTATGTCTAGGTTTCTGGGTATTTGGAGATTTTGATTGGGTTTTTTCTCTTTGAAATTGTTGAAAATTGGAGGTATATTTGAGAGTTGCGTGATTGCGCTAATTTGTTGAATTGAGATACGCGGGTAATTGACATCTCTTCTTGATTAAAAACCAAAATTAAAAATCCAACCACTGTATATATAAAAACTAGTGTGAAGAAGAGTTTGAGATGTACTCAAAGGCTCAAAGCGCAAGCTAGTTAGCTACACAAGAGTTGGCCACAGATTGGCTAGGCCGAGTCGGGCTGGATAAGCTCACGTGCTGTGTCAGCAAATCTCATGCTCAATTGTGTTGTGCTAAAAAAAAAAAAATGACATGCTTAGCTCGTGTCAATTTATCATAAGTGTGAAACTCATGCACGAACAATCTGCTAATGAGATATCCTAATCTTGTACGATGTCGATTATGTACATTTAAGTTATTAGGGTAGAAAAAATTTGTAATGTACGCATGATAATGAAATATGTCGTACCATATATATAAAAAGCCAAAAAAGCTTAGTTAGAATTTCTTCTCTTTATTTGTTCCATTTAATAAAGAGAAAATTTGACCATGATTAATCGTTTATATACATAGTATATAAGAAAAATATATACCAAGGATATATAATATATATATACTTGTGTAATAATCAATGGTTGTACATAATTAAAGATATAATTAATAGAATATATGCATTAAAACGATGTAAATAAAAATTAAATAAGACAACATTAAGGAACAACAGGGTAAATTCCTACAATTTTGGGGACAGAAACAACAATAGAAAAGATCAAAAACGGAAAAAATTTATATTCCCGCTTGTCAAGCAAACACACAGATCAACATCACCAAATTTAGACAGAAAGATTTCTAATATCATTGATGACATGAAACCAATGTACAAATTCTTCTTCTTCTTCGCGCTTTGCCATGGAAGGCCGTGGTAAAGTAAGTAAATTCCATCAACAAATGTACAAATACCAACATGTTTTTCATCATTCTTCCTCTTCCTTGCGTTCCTTCCATTTAATTCTTCAAGTTTCATGATCTTCGTGTACTATGTTTATGAAACTGTTTGATTGTCTATTCCTGTGATGTCTTGCAACTCTTATTATAGCTGATGAATGGTTGAATATGTCATGTATAGCTAATTATGTGTCGGGTTGTAGAATCGAGTATGCATATGCCCTGCCTATTTCAGAGTAGAAAATGTTAACCCGAACCAACCAAAATCAGAATGATTTACTCAGGCTGTACACCCGGCTGACATAATGAAAACTCAAATCAGGTGTAAATCTGCCCGGTCAGGTTGCGCCATACATAATCATCTTGAATGGGAAATCATCCATCTCTAATATGCATGAATAAGCTTATGCTTCATATGACATGTCGTCATGATATAAGAAATAGATACCTGTTCTGTTTATAACAGCTAATCTGAATTTCATGGTTTTAGAATGTATTAAGTATTAACCATTACAAAGTCCCACTTTACTAGTTAATGAACATATTTTACAAGATGAATTATGATGCATTACAAATTTACAATACACTTAATAACATTACCTTAAAAAAAATTTCCCCACTAACTAAACAAATGAAACATGCAGGAAAAGGAGTGGAAATCAGTCCCTCAGTTCGGAGCCTGGGATCAAAAAGGAGAAATAAGTCCTAACTATTCCATGGTCTTTGGCCAAGCACGAGCTCACCGAAAACAAGCCAAGATGGATGTTAAGCATGTTGGCCTAAAAAATGAACCGATCTTTAAAGCTCCACCGAATCCTCATGTCCATCACCACCACGATCACCAACATACACACCAAGATGATTCTACATCCATGGTAACTCTCTCATCCAAACATATAAATTGTGCAAGGTTTCACAGAAATTTTATTGCTGCAGCAGCAGTAACATTACTGACATAGGATTGGCTGGTTGGGTAGTAAGCTGATCAAGTAAGCTCAGCCAAGCCTGATTTTACAGGGCTTGGCCACTGTTTTCAAGCTCAAATTCTGGCTGGGCTCAAAAACCAGCTGGCCGTTTAGGAGCCTGTCCTGACCCGACTCATGATCAACTATTAGAGGAAATAGATTTGTACTTGATTTTGATATTGATCAATAGTGTCCTTAGATCAATACAAAAATCAAGTATGATCATGAAGTGTAAATTGCATTTCCCAATCTGATACTTGGAATACTATTTTTTTGCAGAAGAAAAACAAAATTATGGCGTACTGTTGCATAATGCCTTACTAAGAAGAAGAATCACTGCTGCAATTATTGTCAAATTCATGTAAAATCATAGCTACTATAAGGTGATTAAAAGCAAGACATCTGTTATATGAATCAGTAAATAATATTTTTATGCAACTGAAAATCAAGGCTTGGTCAATTTTTGTCTAACTAAATTTTGTTTATTTAGAAAAGTTCAGAAAAACTAAAATGCATATGAGGTTTGTGTAACACCACAGGAACCTTTTTTTTTTCCATGTATGATCCAAAAATTTTAACAATGATGTGCATTGTTCATACTTAATTCAGTTCAAGTAACTGATGCAAGTGAAATAAAGGCGAAACTTTCTGTACAAAGTATTTACAGTTTTAAGTTGAAGATCTGGATCGTTTTACCGGAGCTTGGAGAGAAGAGAGGTAATTGCTATCTGCTTTTTCAATACCGTCAAAAACATAACTGAAAGGAGGCATCTCTACATATTTTCCAGAACCTGGGAAGGCTTTCAGCTCCCCATTCTTCCAGACAATCTTTCCTCCCGCAATAGTCACTTCAACCTTTCCCTAAAAAAAAGGCAAACACGACAGGAAAAGGCTCAGAAAATACAAGGTTTTTATACATAACACTTATTCCATCCCTATATAATAGTCCATATTTCAATGAGTTTAACTTTTACATCACTATACCAATGTAGTCTTTGTTTAAAATTTTGAGATGTGCATCATTTAGTGTAGTATGGGAAGTTCAAATTTTAACTCACTAGATCCAGATGATAGACTTTTGAATTGGGGCAGACAAATAAAATAGTGGTAAACAGAGGGACAGCCGAAGCAATATAAAGATAAATTGTTTCTGATTGTGAATTGGTTCTCAATATCCGTACAATAGTATAGAAAACATAAAAATAAAGATAGAAAAATTAGCAGCAGATTTACCTTGCCTGTTACCCCCTCATAGACATTTGTGTCAGTCCTATACTGATGTAGTTTTGCTGAAATTGTGAAACTTGCATTAGGATTGAGTATTATTATGTCTGCATCAGATCCTGGGAGTATTGCTCCTTTTCTCGGGTATATGTTAAAGATTTTTGCACTGCACAAAGAAACTTATCAAGAAGGACGGACAGATTAGGAACCGTAAGTTTTAAGTGTCAAAAAAATACCATTCTGTGCTTGTTATCCTAACATAATCACTGGCTGATATCTGCCCAGATTCCTGAATAAAGAAAGGCACAATCACACAAATTGAAACCTTTGAGCTTTTCTTAAGCAAAATTATATTCATGGAGGCTACAATCTTTGGCAACTTACCACCATCGTATCCCAGACTAGATGCATCCTCTCCTCAAGCCCTAAGGATGAGATAATAGCAAGAATTCACATTTGAATTATTCAATCAAATATGATTGCTGTTGGAAAAATAGATAGTATCAATATTACGCTTACCATTAACACCATTTGGAATTTTTCGGAAATCATCAATTCCGAAAGCCTTTTGTGTTGAACTAAATGTACAGTGATCGGTTCCAACTAGCTGCAACATGGTAAATTACAATGTTCATCATCTTATGTTTATACATGAATGTCTAGAATGAAAAGATGTCTTCAGCTTAACTAGGATGAGAATCATCCAAACTATAGAACAACCAACAAAATAGTCTAGATGCTAAATTGGATTTTTTTTTTTTTTTTTTGTGAAATTTCGAGTCAACATGTTCCTAAATGGCAGTTTCTTTTTTTTTTTTTTTTTCGGAATCAACATAAAATTTTCTCTTGCAATGGATGAAACCTGAAGGACTCCAGATGAAAGAGCACCCTGAAGCGCCTTAGCATGACCAGCTGCCCTAATAGGAGGACTCATGACATATCTGATCCCCATCAAAAAAAACACAGAACAAAAAATAAGTGAAAAAAAACTGGTAGTTTGATGGAACGAAAATAAAGCAGATAACAAGAGGTACGTGCTTCGATGCAATGGAGAAGTCAGGATCCCAGAGCACAGAATCATTCAGGATTAATCCAGAAACCACAGGCTCGCCGATGACTCTTTGCCCTGTAACCAAGAAGAAAGACAATAAGTAATCAGAATAAGAGGATTGTAACAATTGACAAGACCTGATCCTCAAAATAACCCTAAGCTGTGAACCTGATTTTCGTGCTTTGGCTACTTCTTCCATGGCATCAATGCTCATCACATGAACCACATATAGAGGTGTGTTTACAAAACGTGCTAGTCGAATAGCTCGAGCTGTTGCCTCTCCTTCAAGCTGAATGACCGTGAAAATTATGACAAATTAAAAAAAAAAAAAAAAAAAAAAAAAAAAAAAAAAAACTTCATTTTACTTCAGAAAAAGAATCCCAAAGATATTTGCAACCACTAGCTATAATGTGCTGGTTATACTCTCTATTCACAAATATATTAACCCATGCCTCATGGTGAAGTAGATAATGTTCTAGGAATGATGAGCTCCTAGCTTTCATAAAGATCTAAACAATATAACTTGACTCATCAGAAATAGAAAGTTGATGCACAGAATAAATCCAGGAAGGTAGATGATCAGTGAATAAGAAACAGGTGAAAGAAGTAGGTTAAAATTTGCAATTACTCAAATACAGAAATATAAACAGAAATTTGAAGTCCAAGAAACTCTTCAACTATTGAGAAAGCATTCAACAGTATGTAAATACTGAACAGATGCTAAGATGTTACCAGAGGAGGTCTTGAAAGAGCATGTCCCTCAGGACCGGTGATGCCAAGTTCTATCATTCGCTTCTGTCCTTCAAAAACAGCATCACCATTTTCTGCATGAACCATAGGCAAGGCACCCAAAGACTTGCACTTCTTGAACCCCTCAATCAAAAGCTCATCGTTTATCATGAAAGACCCCTTGTACAACATGAAGAATTTGAAAGAATTTATACCTGAAATATGCAAAGCAATTTTTATACCTAATTTTTAACTGTGAAGGATATGAACCTGAGAAACAGAAGCACTAACCTTCCTCCTTTACCATCAAATCCATCTCTTTTGAAACAACTTCATCCCATTTTGTAATTGCCATATGAAAACCATAATCCATACATGATTTTTGAGCCTTTTGTTTGTACAACTTCAAACCGGCAGTCAAGCTTCCATCAACAGGTATGACAAAGTCAATATGCATTGTCGTACCACCAGCTAATGCAGCAGCTTGACCACTAAAGAAGTCATCGATAGTCTGAGTACCCATGAACTCCATATCCAGGTGAGTGTGAGGATCAATGCCTCCTGTTAAGTGTTTAATACATGAAGTAAGCTAATGGTACACATTATTTCCTATATCATAATACAGTTTACACTACCTCCGACCCAAAATGGTAAGCCACTTTAGTTCTTAAAATAACAGGTCACATTATAAATTTAGCAAAACAAAGTTTAAACCATATTATACTTAAACCTTAAAAGAATTCCAAAGAGAAAACAGATTGGTATGGTGGAGATGTAAGAAAATAATTAGTAAAGAAAAGTTGTAGTATTTTTAGCTCATTTAAATGATCTCATATGTGGCTTATTATGTAAAAATAGGAGTGATAAGTTTGAAGTACCTGGCATGACATACTTTCCAGTTGCATCAAGCACAATGACATCATCACCCACCTGTTTGCAGAATTAAAATTTGATTTCATAGTTCAGTTTTAGATAAAGAGTACTTCAATACAGGACAACTTAAGACCAATTCTGTCACGTGGAGAGGCCTTTCCTAGCTCGTGTATTTTTTATTTTTTTTACTAGGAACTCCCCTAACACAGTGGAGAGGCATCTCATAGTTCCCACAGAGTTTCTGCACTGGTTTACTTGACACAATTGAGAGGCCATGCCTACAGATCTACGACTGTGCTTTTTTGCATGTTGTATGACGTAGCTTCTTCTTGTCTGTCAGATTGTATTAGTACTTTCGAGTGGATTTTTCCACCTCCACACTTTTGTGTCTTCTCCTCCACTTTCAAATTTCTCAATTGTTGTTCTTTGCTTGTTCTTTCAAATTACTTAAATTTACACCAATTGCTCTAACTTCTCCCTTGTGAGAATTATATGATAATCATGGATACCACGTAAGTTTCGTAACACTCTCTAGCTATGATCACTGCACTCTCTACCCCTCACTCATTACAAATGAGGATACCATGACTCATGAGACATCAACCACGGTCCATCACTACTTCTTGATATATGACAACTTTTTCCGAACATCTCAACATAGTACTATATGTAAATAAAATTTCTCAATGTAGTAATGACAGGCCAACAGACTGAACATCATGATCACTGGAAAAATTAGCACCCAATGTCCCACACTCCCACAATAAGATTGGCACACAACAAAAACAATCACAAGAACATCATTTAGGACACTAATTGGTGATTATTACAATATAATACTCCATAAATTGATAACTTTTTCTAATAAAGGGTAAAAAATGGGTTGATGATAATTACCTTAATATTGGGTTGGACAGCAATAATTAAACCATCTTCCACATAAACATCAGCAACTTCTTGATGATGAGAATTAACAACTGTTCCTCCTTTAATCAATATCTTTGATGATGACGATGAAATTTGACACCCACTTTCTCCATAATCAATTCCAGCCTCACAAAACTACCCAGAAATTAAAACCCATCAAAATTTCATATTGTAAAACATGATAATTATCTGCTAAATCATAGATTATATGAAAGTTGACAAAATTCATGAAAATTATCAAAACCCCAGGATGAATTAACAATTTTATTAGCAGAAAAATGAGGAACTTACCTGATTGGTGGCTGTTGCAGGTAGAAGAGAGAAAGTTGCAAAGAGATTCACCAAGATTAGCAACTGAGTGATCATCCTAATTTTGTTCTTGAGAAAAATTGGAATTTCTTTTAGTTATTTTGTTGAATTCATTTGATTTGATTTCAATTGAAAATGAGTAATTGACGTTGAGTGTTGAGACTTTGGTGAAAGGATTTTTGATGCTTTGTTGACGTTTTCTTTCTGGGGTTAATGAGCCAATCATATCATTGATTCCTGGAATTTGCTCCTAATTTTTTATCTATGATTTTTTTAAGTAAAAGATGGCGTTCTAGTTGATTAATTTATGAACCTGGGTTATTTATTAAATGACAAATTTGTAAATAAATAGTCAAAAATTTGCGTGGTTTATGATAGAATCGCTAACACCATTAACGATTTTACCATAATATATGCAGAGTTCATGGTCGGACCTTAAGATCTATATTAAAACGAGCAAAAATTAATTAAACACAAATATTATTTTTGCGTATATAATTCTAACTTTAGATGTGCTTAAGCGTATAAAAGATTTTGCTTTGGAGAATAGGTCATACGGAGTAGTGTCATAAGAGACATTTAACATTTTAATTCCTCATGGAATATTGGAATCAAATGGTGACAATTAACATTGAAATTAGGTTCATTGGGGTTGAAATTATTGCTGTAGTATATCCAAACTGTAATTTAAATAGTGACAATCCCTCATTTGATGAGAGTTGTTTCTTTTCATTTTTTGCTCAATTATGATTTGCAAAAATCCGAACACAAAATACTCGAATAATGTATGGTACAAAGACACAAGGCAAACAAGCAAAGTCGCAAACACCAATACTTACCCTTGAGTGCATGGCAGAACCATGCCGCCAACAAAATATGCCTGCATTTTGCAAAATGCAAGTTTCAAGATCATCAACAATTTGTAGAGGATTAGAGGTAAAGGATGCACATAAATAGATGCTATCTCATATATCAAATTATTTAGAATAAAACTGAAATTCATGTTAATTTGCATTATCTCTGCACATTGTCCTGTATAAGCCCATTGTCCCTTTACTAACGAAGGCGTTTAACATAATCTAACAAGCAGAGGCTACGGTATCAAATTCATTACAGTCAGGACCCATGAATTCACACATGAGATGATGACACTAAACTTTCTCCTCGTACCAGCAAGCTGAACATGATTTCAGTTTATCCCCAGGGCACATTGACTTTAGGCAGGCTTAGCAGAATCAGAAGCAGAAACCCACTTGAAAAACTGACAAGCAGGTCCCTTGTTAGCAGTCCAGTTGCCACAACCGAAGAAGAAACAACCATGATTAGGTCCAGGGTTATTGTTCATCCGCTTCATACTTGTTGCCCCGCAATAGCAGTAAACATAAGGCTCTTTCCAAGGATTGCCGGCTTGGATCGGTTGAAAAGGAAAGACAGTAAACCAAGGGGAAGTATTGTACATTTGGGCTTGATAAGTTAGATAGCTTTCAGAAGCAGGGATCTGCTGGTACTGGGGAACAGCATTAGATTCATCAGCAACTTGCCACCAAATATAATTTGTTATCGATAATTTCAGTCCCAGATGCATAAGGTGAGCCAGCAGGCGAGCAGTGTTTTTAGCATCATCCAGTCCACAATGGGCACGACCTTCCCAAGTGAGCCCAGCAAGCTCCACAGCTTCTTTCAAGTTACGTTTAGCAGATCCAAACATACTGTTAAAGGGGATTTTCAAATTAATCCACCTGAGAAAATTCAAACCAAAATGTCATTACAAAGGAGAATTCTATCCAAGTCCAAACATCAAACTAATAATTACATCTTTTTATACAGCTTCCATAGTATTCATAAATGTAACAGACTGTCCAACAAGTTTATTTATAGAAGATTGACTTGCTCAGTTTCAGAATACTTGGCATGCTCATGATGTAAATTGAAACATCTCCAAGAATCCACACCCAGTTATGATACATTACAAGTACCTGACATGGGTTCTTCAATTCACTTAAAAACTCAAGTTTATGGTGATGGTATATACTGATAACTACATTGACTCATTAAGTAACAACCATTGTTAGCAAGACACTTGACGAAATTAAATAGGTTCAAGGTAGAAAAACACAGTAAGAGGATGAATGATTATTAATGCCAAGTCACTGTCTTCATATTAAGCCTGTAATCAGTTAAGTATTTTTGTGCAACCCACTAGTTAAGCACATCAAGACTTGGAAGAGCATGCTAGTAGAATAGAGACTTAGAAAGTGACTCCCCCAAAGCAGGTTCATCTTACCTAAATAAGGCTTTTCAATCAGATAGATAGTGTCTTCAGCAAATTCAATGGGATCTGTCACCAACAATCTAAAAGAAAACTTATTTACAAAAAGATGGTTTAGCTAAAAATTTGTATATGGCTGTAATCAGTGTTATAGAGGTCCTAGTTGCTCATTAACTCATTCCAAGACTAGAATTTTATTGATGTCACAGACTCCCCCCCCCCCCCAAAAAAAAAAAAAAAAAAAAAGAAATCTAATTTTCTCCGATACTCTCTAATTCCCAAATTTGTATCATTATCCTTTATTTTATATACTTTCTTCTTTAGCCAGCTCATACTTAAGCGGTTGACCCATAATTTGAAGTTTGCAGCTTATGATGATGATTTCAGCTAGAAAGTCAAAGAGAGATGTATCCATGCAGGGCTCTACACAAAGAACAAACTAAAAACTATAACATAAAATTCTGTTTCATCTATTAAAAGCCTGAGATTTAAATAAAACAAAATGAATGTAATCGATAAATTTTCTTTTCTTACCGATTAAAATATAGTGGCTTTTCTATCTTCTTGAATCGGCACTCTGATTCCAACATCACTCGACAATCCCAGCTGGACCAAGTAACTACAGCAAAGTTTGTGTTCTTGATGCCCTTGTCTTCAAGCCATTTGTCATGCATGAGCAATGCTTCACTCAAAGTAACACCTTTGTCCACCTGAAATCAGTTTATAAAATTCAGTCACACAACTGATACAAGCAATTCAAACCAGTGCATCATTTAAAATCATCATGGCATGCTAATGAATAAATAATAATCATTATAATCCTAAATTAAAAAACTGCAATATTCAAAATAGGCCAAAAGGCAATCCTTTGACAAATTTGAAATTCTTATAAAAATTGGTGCACACGCTAAGCTACTCCTGTTCTTCAATTCACCTCAAATACCCATGTCGGATTGCACATTGTTGTCCCACGACCCACTTATATACTTCGTTCCAGTTCCAGACCAAAATCATTCAGAAATATTATATAATGGTATGTTTAGTCTAACACTTGTACATATATCTGGGTCCAACACTTACACTTCCAGCCGAGGCTCAGTAACATTAATGATAACATAAAGGAGCTTGTCTTAGGAACAAAATGCAATCATTTTACACTTTTGGTAAGATTAAAAATCCAATGTAAATATTTTCTTTTATGCAATAAAATTAGAAGATTAATAACTAATATTCTTAGAAATTTATTGTAATTTGTGCACAGTAAGTTATTTTTCAAAACTAAAAGGAGATATTTCAGCTTAAGTTTGCTTAGGTCTTTTTCACGAACAAACAAGGGGGAATATTTCATGAATCATGCAGAGATTTAAGCCCAGAGTTAATAAAGTGTGAGAACTGCTTGCTTAAAACAATAATGAACCATGTAAATCTCTTAATTCCAAGTGTTCTAACTTTCCTTAGACAGCTAAAGAAGTTGGTAAACAGTTTACTATGATAAACCCCCTTTAGAAATTTCATCTGTGATGCTCTTCCATACAAATCCTTGGTGATGCAACTCCTTTTGTTTGGCCTAAGACACATCAATTGGTCTTGCAACAATACAGTTCTAAAAGCTGTTTGTAAGTTGCTTCACCAATTGATGTTCTCATCATGTGGTGTATAGATGAGAGGATGTCCGAAGGTGCGTGATATTTTACACTAGTTTATTCCACATAATAGGTCTAAATTTACAGAAATTGCCATCAGGCATTTGTTAAATGCAGCTACATCCACAAATCATCAATGCATCTTTGCTTCTAAAACATGCAAGGTTTTTTTTTTTTTTTTTTTAGGTTGTTGGTAGATAAGGAGAAGGGCCAGAGAAAAGGAAAGTGGTATGGCCAAAATGACTATTCAGTTTCCACTGAAAGTTGATGGGACAGCAAAAATCTACACATACACTTTCATCAGCATTAATGTTAAAATCATACAGAAAAAAGATGTTCATTGCCAAAACCAGTACCAAGATGAGAACAGCATCAAGCTATCACTTTTGCTGACATACAAAAAGACACCAACTAGAAGACTTGATTTCAAGATCAATCAAAATTCACATAAATACAAATCATATACAGAGTATTCAAGTGATGAGAACTGATATTGTATAAACATAGTAACAAGAGGTGTTATTAAGCAAACCTGAGACTGGTGAATGCCAGTAAGATCTTTACAGAAGTTAGATAGAAGCTGATTATGAGTAGGACGCACATAAATCTGAAAACAGTCCTCCAGTTGTCCAGTTCTACTGTTCACCAGCACAGATGGGAACTCAATTATTTCCTGCGGATGAGGGTTTCTTTCTTTATCACAAGTAGCCTCAAAATCGATGACCACAAAATACTCAAAATCTTGGAGCATATAATCAGGTGAGTAGCTCTGTGGAAACATCTGAAAAGGGATCTGGGGAAACCAGTGAGCTTGGAAGTAGTGCGCATAATTTGCTGGGTAAAAGCAGCCATCAAATGGATGGGACTGGCCATGCACATCCTTCAGAATAGTAGGTGACATTGCTGGCCAAACATAATGATCTTCCTGTCTCACTGGTCTACCACATCTATCACTCGGGACTGTTAATTTATTATGACTCAAGGCTCCATAATCGGAGACAGCATTTGCTTGCTTTCCACCATAAGTATAATTGAACTCCATAGTCTGTCCACTGAAACTCCTCGGAAAAGTAGGGCCATACAAAAAGCTTTTAGCTTGGACGCATCCAAGGGATGCTTCAAGGCCCTTCTGCATAGCGTCTGCAGGGAAACACAAAAGTCAGCCATGGAACAAATACAAAGAAGACAATAAGTATCATGCCTTTGTTGAACCTTATTTGAAAGAGTTTAAGGCAAGATATAATACTTAGCCAAGCTATTATTTAATACAGGAAAGAACTAAGCCAATAAACAAGCAGGTATCGTCTAAACTAGGAACTTTTAAAATTTCTTTACTTCCTTTTATATCAATAAACTCAGATCTAATTAATTGTGTTGAGAAAGGGAAAATCCGATAACAGGAGGTAGGCATCAGAAGTAGAATCAAAGAATTGGTGCAAAGATTCAGGGGATAGCCAACATCAATCAATGAATAGAGCGACAGAGAGAACAACCAACAAGAAAAAGTCTTGAACAACCAACAATACTTCTTAGACAACCATAGATACCCTGATGGTATGTTGGGCTATCAAATGAAAGGCAATAACTTCAATCAAGGTTACACATAACAGGGGAAAAAAAAAAAAAAAAAAGCCATCAATCGATAAAGAGGCTAACAGATCATGCAGAAATGTCAATTAAATTAAACCCTAATAACATTGAAAGCGACACAGATCATTTGGAATTTTAATAAAATTCTGTTTATGGGATTCAAACATCAAGGAATAAGTATGTCCTTTGACGATCAAAGAAAATAACATAAATAGGTGTAAAAAGGCTAACAGATCATGCAGAAATGTCAATTAAATTAAACCCTAATAACATTGAAAGCGATACAGGTCATTTGGAATTTAAACAAAATTCTGTTTATGGGATTCAAACATCAAGGAATAAGTATGTCCTTTGACGATCAAAGAAGATAACGTAAATAGGTGTAAAAGAGAAGGGGGGGGGGGGGAGGGGGGGGGAGGGGGGGAGGAGACAGAAAAATCAACAGAAACAATCGATACACCTGAAGTTTCACCAGGAAAGCGATCAACAAACTTAAGCTTAAAGTCATCTTGGAGTTTAAAGCGCTGCGGAATTGAGGATTGAGAATTCTTCATCTTCAACAGATCTATCACTTACACAAATTGTTATAGATCTTGAGAGAAAGAGGGTAATGTAAAGGATGAAGTGGTGCGGGGCGGATATTAGGTCTATATAAGACAGGGTGAATGCTCAACGGAAAAAAGTTGAAACGTCAAAATTCAGTTTGGCAATTGATGCACAAGGAAGTAATTTAATGCTAAAAAATATACTACCTCCGATTTTTTTTTTAGTTGCAACTTTGGGGTATTTTTTGAGAGATAATTCAAAGTTGCAACTAAAAAAAATCGAAGGTAGTATATATAAACAACTACGGATACACAAAACAAGTCTATTTTTTTCCAAAAGATCAAGTAAACAAATAAGAGTAGAATAGCCTTCAACCAAGGCCAAACACTATGAATCTAATATTTCTAATAAATAAAATTTAATGGTATACAATAGCCACTTATCAATGCTGATTCTGCCCATAAAACCTGAGACTAGATATGAATTTTGAACAAAAATGACAAACACGAGATATAACAAAGATGCATGAAAGACTGTCCAAACCAAACCAATTAAAGCTTCCATCATGACAGATGGGCACTCCAAAACACGGAAAAAAAAATGAGATTCCTGGACTAATTATTGTAGATTTATTTCCTATTGAGATTTTGGATAGAAATGTTGGATCTCATCCTATTTCAATAGATATAAGATAATGTTGAAGGATATACAAGTGAATTAATATCATGTTTGTAGCTTATTTGCTGCATACTTCCTCCATTCTTTTTTAGTTGGCACATTTCATTTATCATATTTACCAATGCACAAATTCACAATCAATATATTTAATTATTAATGTTGAAAAATTATACATAGTTGATATTATGAATATATACATTGAGATGTTTTTAACAAGATCACACATGATTGTATTACATCATAAAAGTCAATCACAAAAGCTAATTAAATTAGAGTACCAAGTTACTATATTTTGTTGTTGTTTTGGCTGATAAGATATTGTTTAAGAAAATAAAAAATTTACCTGAACCATATAGAACCCCCAAAAAAAAAATTCAAGAATTTTAAAAAAAAATACATCAAATGGTTTTGGCATTATGGTAGAGTTGGTGATTTCAAACTCAAAATAAAGAAATAGAGAAGGGGGTAATTACAAATGCTTGTAAGTTCAGACACTACCCAACCATGGTTCCAAAGCGCATTCAACAAGTGGTTTGATCCTTTTTCCGTTTTGATTTAGATAGGGCAAAGGGAGGAAGGAAAAAGATTGAGTTAAATTAAAAAAGAGCTGCTCACCCCATTTTATACCAATACTCCAGTGCTTCCGATGAAGCTCTTCACTCTTGCCTAGGTTGTGGTGGATTTAACAGCTTTTCACTAAATCTAAAAGATTTAGGTTGTCAATTCGTCACAGTAAAGTGAATGATGATAAACTCAGCCCATATTTCAGCTTCCTAGCGCTTCTTTCCCTTCATCATCAAACATAGCCAACAAATTGTGACAGTACATTAGCAATCTGTCTACTGCAGCTTATTTCTGGTATTTAAGTACTGAGCAATCTGATAACTTTGACACTTTGCTCATAACTATAATTATAAAATGAAGCTCTAACATTCTTGTTTCTCTATTGGTGATACAAAGATCTTAGTGTTATACAGAACAACTGGTCGGATCCAAATCAGTCATCAGCTGCACTATTTCGTTGCTGCAATTACCAAAAACCTCTACCCAAAAAACAGCCCTCTCGCTCACACAGAATTTGTGAAGGTCTAGCTAGCGGGTCTTGTCATCAATGTCAAATACAAAAGCTTCACAAAAAATATTGTGTAAGAAAAGCATAACTAACCCCTATAAATATAAACTATCCATGTGAATTGTCTGCAACTCCACATACTGAACCTGCGTCGTCTGAATACTTTGTACCCAAATCATCCAAAAGAAAAAGGTTAAGTTTCTAATGCATTGAACAGGAAGTGGACTGCAATGCATTTCCAAGGTGCCCTGATTCCAATTATGAACGTTGAAGAATAGACAGCTCTTGGGACACCCCAAAAAACTATGAAAAATAAATTTTAAAAAAAAAAAGGGATAGAAGGGCTAAGAGGCTAACACAAAACAGCCTACATTCGGGAAACTTTTCTTCATAAGCATATGTTGATGTGAGGATATAGGTACATCCGTACATCAAGATAGAAAGCTGTATAATAACTTATCTACACCTGCTACAATTTCTTCAGTGAGCAAAATGCTCAGCAACCCCAAAAATAATTAATGGCTTGAATCTATAAACGATGAGTCAATGATGAACAAAGTTCAGCTATCCTTTACAATACCTATAAGGTATACAAATAGCCAGCAACATATGCCAAACAAGACATCATTCATCCAGAACACAACACAAGCTCACAAATTAACAAATGCTAATCAAATCCAAGTCTACTTATGTCAGCTACACACTCATCTTTTTAACTTACCACTTACAGGCAAAGGATATAATCTTCATCACATAGCTAACCTTCAATGTCGACCCTATAAAATGCGCAAAACTAAATTATATACAGCCACCTGTAGCCTCCGCCATAAACTCATGACTCCTTCAACTAACACTAAAGCATCAAATTCCATCCTTGCAGTAAGCATTCATAACCCCAAAAAAATCAAATCAAATTACTTCTAATAACTCATTCAACAACCTCGAACCCCAAGAGAAGGTAATTCACTTCCAAGAGAATGAGACATAGATATGCAATTCTTTTAAACTCCAAAGATAAGAAAGGGAATTTTTTCTTTGAGTAGTGCCCAATGTCACTTAACCCAAACACAAATAAAAGCTATATAACTCAGTTGAATCATGTAAAACACGGGAAAGTGTCCAAGCGTCTAACTCGACTATATTATGAAAAGATAGGTCCAATTTGAAGTGTCTAAAGTGTCCACATCCATGTCCGCGTGTCAAAGATCTAACACATAGGTAATTGAGGTGACATCCAAGTAAACATAAAATAGAAACTTGATCAGTGAGAAACCCAGATAGTAATTCCAACTCCAACCCCAGAAAAATCAAAAACCCATGTAATTAGAAACTACAAACACTGACATTGTCACAAACATAACTGTAAAAAGATCCCAACTTTCAATAAATTCCAAAAAAATTGAAAAAAAAAAACACAATTGCTAATTTTAATAATAAATAAGAAAAATATAAGAATTTCTAACCTCGATTATCAAGGGCCATCATGATCTTGTGAGTCAAAAAGGTTAATTAGCGCGAACATCAGATCTCCCACCAAAAATATTTCTAAACCTGTAAAATTACCAACAATTTAACAAAAACCCTTTTTCTAAAATCACCCACTAAAATATCAACCAAATTACACCAGAAAATCACATTCGTATTTACATTGATTTCTTAATATTGTGTTAAAATCTAATGGAAATACAAAGAAAATTAGTAAATTGGGTGAAATTTTGCTCACCAGTTACGATTGTGGGGAGAGAAGGCCACAGAGAAGGAAGAAGAAAGCTTTGTTGTGACATGAGATTTTTGGATTTATACCCCATTATATATAAAAATAAATTATAAATAAATAAATTTATATTTATTATTTTTATTGTCATTTATTGGGATTTAATTTATTTTTAAGATTTTGAAGAAAAGAATCAGGAAGATGTAGAATAGGAAACAAAGAAAGAGTAGACCCCACGAAACTTGGGTTTTTATTTTATTTTATTAAAAAAAAATCTTTTTTTGAGGGTTTTTTTATTTTTTAAAAAAATAATCAATTAATTTTGCGTGTAAATTAAAGGGTATTCATTGTTTGGAGTTACTTTCGCTTCACTCTTCTTGCAAGGATGTATGTACTTGCCTTTATTTTTCTTTTTGGAAACTTGCCTAAAATTATTGACCAACACTTTTGATCTTCATAAATCGTAGTAATGGAAATTAAATTCTTAATTTTATAAAGTTATGCTTTTTATCTCTATTTAATTTGTACATTAGTAAAGGAGGTGAATTATATTATCGCAACTATGAAGTAATATGATAAACTTATGGTTTACACTAAATTATAATATTAATAAGAGATATAGCAATCGAAAAAGAGTATTAAGTTCTCATTTTATTAAAAGATTGAATACACAAAAAAGATATAATTTCATCTAAATTTTGATTATTGTCCCCTACATATGCTTTTTTTATCTATGTCATGATGAAAAGAAGATTTTTGTTTACACGAAAAAGAAAGGAGGTGAATGCTAGAATTGTCCAAATCTATATATTTGATTAATTGAATATTTACTTATCTCGGGTAGTTGAATAACGGCCCATGGACTGACCCAACAATCCAACATAGCCTACTACTCGGTTTTCAAGTACTTGTTTACGCCACGTCGGACAAATATAAACTTGAGTTACGAGGTTTATGACACAAACACTAACATAATTCACCCATTGTTCTATTCAAGCAGAAACTTTTTTTTTTTTTTTGGTTGGTGTTCCACCCTTTGGGCTAATCTGGATTCAGGGATTAATTATGGGTGGTTAGGTTTCAGTTCCCTCCTAATTGTTGTTGCGGGGGATCAAACACAGGTCCTCTCTACCAAGTGTAATCCCAATCACCACTACACCAACATCCAATTGGTAGCGGAAGCTTGTTATCTATGAATGTAGAGAACTTTGTTGAAGATGTTGCATCATAATCCCCAAATCGATGTTGTCTCTATAATGAACTAGGAAAGATAATAGGCTACCACAATAGTGTATGTTTTTTTAATAAGTGGTTATTGAGTAGTGAAATCAACTGGTACATATACAAAGTTACAAACAAACTACCTAAAAAAAATTGTGGTATGGGTTGCACACTTGCACTGTTGCGTATTACCTAAAAAAAATTTCGTTAGTCTACAAAGATTAGACTTTTTTTTTTTCTAAATGGCAGATTCGAACTTATGATATTGTGAACTAAATTGGAAAAATTGTATCACCTATAACAATAAAATTAGATAGTATAACTAGTCAAAATTGGAATACTAGCACAATTGCATCATGAACACAATACACAACCAAAAAGCTTTGCTCAGTCTTCCGAAAACAATCTTAGTTTGAATTTATTCTAAAACAATCCCGCATTTGACATTAATACCCTTTTAACAATCCTTTTGACTAATAACTCGATTGGAGAATCAGCACAAGTCAAACTGTTGAGGATGGCAACTCCAATTCCCTTCAGAGGTCGCACTCTCGCTCACTCGTCAAGCTATGTTCTAACCATATTTTGGGATAATTTAGCCCTAAAATTGGGTTATTACACTAATTAAGCATTTTAATTGCACAATGTCATACCAATTAGGTCAATATTGAAGCTAACTAAACAATCCCTAAAATTGACACTTCATAATCCAATTTTAGCTCCTAAAACATGAAAATTGAAACGCAATTTGATTATAGCAAGAATAAAAATGCAAAAAATAGAAGTTGAAGAGAGAGAGTGCCTTGGAAGAAGGAAGAGTTTTGGAGAAGAAGCAAGGAAGACCGCCGCGAGACTGGTTGGAGTGATAGGAGAAAGTTCGGAATACAACAATGGTGGTTTTCGGGGTGGTGGTTATTAGAGCTAGAACTTGTAATTTTTTTTAGAAGAATTTGAATTTAATTTATACTATAGGTTTGTAAATTGTATAATGGGGATAAATTTGAAACTAGTTTCAATTCATAAACCAATTTGTGATGTCTAACATTATCAGATGAAAAACAAACATAATTACAACAAAAAAAAAAAAATTGATTTAGAAAGAATAAAGTTTATGTCTGGTGTGACAATCTCCTCGCATACAATTGTACCTAGTGATTTTCACTTGAACCCCTCAAAATATAAATTACGAGTATCAAACAAGTATATCTCGCAATTTTATACAGTAGTAATAACGAGATAGTATTATAGACTTATTCTACTCCAATTCCTTGTAAATACTATATACGGAGTAATTTGAAGCTAATTTTAATTTCCAAACACTTTTATGTGATTACATATCACGCATCAATTTAACTTACGACATCATCTCGGACACACATTAGTTTGGAGCTTTAAAAGGCAAATAGGTGGAGTCTGTGGAGAGAGTCGAGGGGTACTTTGGGAAAACAACATTAACAAACTAACAATCCCCTTTTTTATGGGAAGTACAGTGCCTGACAACTTCAAAGTCAGTACAAGTTACAAAAGGTCAAAAGCAACAGTAGTAGTACAAACTGAAAGATAACATGAGTACAAGTTTCCAAAGCTAGTACCATATCATCAGCAGCAGTACAAACTCAAAGATGAATATGTTGTACAACTCCCTAAACTAAGTACCATATTATATCATGCAGTACACTGGACTAATGGAGTACACATGTACTAGATTTCCTAGTTGCACTATAAATTCCAACACACAAATCCTCAGCTATAATCACCAGCAACCATTCATCACACTATCACAAGATTAATTAAGAGGTTCGAGTTACAGGTGGCGAAGTCCTACAGGAGCGATATGAGAACACATGAATGAGGCATTCTGCTGCCCCTTCCCAAACCAGATCACCAATATATGGGTGATTTGGATTCACGTTTCTTGGGGAGGTTGCTATCCTGTACTGCTCATGTGTTCTCAGGTCGCCCCTGCCGGCCTTCTTCCACCAGACGATTTAATACAGCTATCGGCGTTCAAGATCCACGTCACTTGACATTGGCCGAGAGGTACTGGCTGTTCATAAAACTGCAATAACTGGTACAATTTCTTCAGAGGTACATGTCATTAAGGTAATCTTAAAGACGAGCATGCATAACAACAAATAATTTATCATTGGAAAAAACTGTGGTAGCAAATAACCCAACGCAAAACCAAAACTAAACTCTAAAATGTGATTAACTTACAACAAAATTCGGATACGAGTAGTCCATTAGTCAACTCATCTCATATTCACTAAAATGCTGATGCGGGATTTGATGTCTTGAAGCTCTTGGTATCCCACCTTTTGCCAATCCCCACCAATCAAAAGTAGACCTTTTATCCCATCAGATGTTGCAATAGAATTTGAATTATCTGACTTGCAGAAATCGGAATTCTGAATCTCTCTCATCATCTCCTTGCTCGAGTCATTTATTGTCTCAGTATCACCGCTATGTTTCCTTTTACTGCAACTCTTTAATTCGAGATGTTTCTCGGAATCCGTTGAGTTCAAAGGCCCCTTATTTTCACAATCAACAGCATGGTCAAGGACAGGTGGACATCCCGACGAACCTACATCACGAGGCAACATTCCTATAGGGCATGGTTTCCATGATTTAGCAATGACCCAAATATTTGAATCTTCCACAATGTCATCTTGACTGCTACGGATACCTGCATTGTTAATCTTACGACGTTTAATCAATTCCAATTTCTCAGCAGCTTCATGAATATACTTGTCTTGACGTATAAGATCATTGGGGTTCACATCTGAAGCACCATCTTCAGCAAGTCTTGGATAAAGTTTAATGAGGGAAGACAATTTGCCAAGCTTCTCACTCAGATAGCTATCTCGAACCATTTCTGCCAGCAGCATGGCTGAATCCAGAAGGTCCCGGTTATCAGGGTCTGCGATGTGAAAGCATCTCCTCACAAGCTCAATCAACGATATCTTAGGAAGATAACCCACGTCATCTGTTACTTCGTGTTGAAATAATTTAAGACCTTTGAGAACTAGCACCAGGCACTTAAATAGCGAAGATAGAACTCCAATTCTTTGCATCTCTGGATCATACTGCAGTAGGCTGATATGTTCACTGCCTAAAGATGCATAAAGTGATGTTTAGATAATCAACATAAAAAAAAATAAAAAAATAAAGAAAAAAAAAGAAAAAAGAAAAAAAAAATGGAAGATCAAATTGATAATGTATTTATATCAACGGATAACTATCATATATACACTGAATTATACTAAAATTGAGTTAAACACTTAAACAGTCTAATCTTGTTGCCCCGTTCATTGCTAATTAACCGTATAACAGCAAAAAAAAAAAAAAAAAAGACAATAGTTTAGTCTTAAATTACTTGAGTAAGGCTGCTTTTAAATTGATCTGCCCAGCAAATGTTGTTAAATTAACAGAATATGGCAATACGCTTGTAATAAAAAGTTAAAAAAAAAAATAATAATAATAATAAAATAAAAAATCAAATCAGAGGAAAAGAAGAGTACTAACATCAGAGAAGGCATCTAATTAATCCCATCTACTAGATAACCTTGATTACAAAGAGACATAATTGCATAAAAACACTTGTATGTGACAACAGATCACAATAATGCAGTATTGGAGTACCAAGATTAAAATTAGGCGGTCAAACAATTTGCTGCCAAGAAAAATAATAACAATGAAGAGGTGGTGTCAAGCTAAATGCAATAAGGATGTTTCAGCTGAAAAGGATCAGAATGGCCCTTACCAAAATGGTATAAATCTAACTTTGGTTTTAACAGAAGCAAAAAAAGTTGCTGATATCTCTTATTATCTCTACACAGAAAAGGACATCAGATCAAAACAACAAAATTAAACGAAAGGCTTAGTAATTACCAAAATCATCTCTAATGAGTTTTCGAGACTCAATCATGTCAAGAACTGCTTTTAAGAGACTCAGAAGTAGCTCTGGTTCCTTTTTGGAGACCTTACTTATCACAGGTTTCCATTCATCAAATACAGCCTCAGCAACATCTAAGCTCAACTTAATCTGAATTTCTTCTGGAGCTTTCACCAAGTCTATTGAGTTTGATGCATTAAGTAAGAACTCCAGCAACACTGCGACCACATCTGATGAAAAGAAAGAATATAATCTAACAAGGCTTTTTAAAGCCCTCTTTATCTGCTTCTTAGATCCTGAAAACATCAAGAAAACAAGTGTCATACTATGCTAAGGTGTAGTAGTTTATCATTGTTATAGCATTTGACAAATGCAATCAAAATCCAAAATACCTATTGAAAAAGAGTACCAATTCTAACTGAAAAAAGCTAATTAACCAACCAAATCAGTAATAAGATTGTGTATACACCATTAACAAAAGAATTTCATAGTTGGAAGGTGATGAGTTTCGGGGAAATTTTAGGTCTTACAGGTTCAACTACAAAACAAATTAATAGACCCTAGGAATTTAACATTGTGTGCATTTGCGTATGAGTGTGTTGGGGGGAGCAGTTGGGAATTTCTCTTTCATTTTGTTTCTGGCATATCACCTGTTTAAGAATGTATACATGACAAGATATAATTTCATTTTATTAAATTATAATATACACAAAATTGTTAACAGTTGATAAAATTCACAAAAAGGTGACACAAGTTGGGACATTAGATGGTATGTATGGTTTCTGATCTCCAATTCGGCAAGAACCAGTGCAAAAAAAAAAAAAAAAAAAGATGACAATAACAGTAGAGGGTTCTGAATTTTGCCAGGGGCGAAATTGAAAATTAAAATGTGTGCAATAGAAGTCAGAAAATACTTTCAGATGATGAGAGAATCAAATAATATCAACAGCACAGAATCACATACTTGCATACACATAACATTGTTTTGTCATGTCATTGCAATATAATGTTCAAAAAGGTGAGGGGCTGCATACAGTACATTAGTACAAAGCAATCCAAAAATGACTTACCTACATATTTAGAGGATTGGACTTTCTTAGCCACAACGGACAAAAATTTATTGCGTCTGTGAAAAGCACCAACTATTTGTTCACGATGTTTAAAACCTATATGAGAGAGGCTATATCATATCAAGCCCTAGCCGCTATACGAAAGTATGTAAGCAAATTGAGACATTATAAAGCATATACAGCAATGCAGATGCGCTCCTTATCTAATACAAACTACACAAATTGCATACCAAACACAGGATCGAGAAGAGGCATACTAAAAGGGCTGTGTTCATGGCTTTCTGAAGATAGAGGCATGAAGATTACCTAAGATGGAAGTAAGATATACCAGCAGGCCCATCATGTCACATAAAAGAGCTATTCACTAGTACAGATCAGCAAAAAGCTAATTAATTAGCTATAAGTTAAATTACAAGGGAAAATACCTGTATATCCTATGTGCTTGTTTAGATGCAAGCAAATATAGGGGGGACTGTGAGTTCCTAAGTGCATATATGAGATGTTGTTTGGTTGGCATAAAATGGTTGAAATGGGGAAGTGGAGCATCCTTGAGAGGTTGGAATTCCCATGGGACATGGGAAGTGGCTTACCTACCCTCCTTTTGGTAATTCACAATCCCCATGTCAATTCCCATGAACTACAATATCTACAAATGCCTAAGTGTCAACCATACTACCAAAAGATCAGTGAAAAAACTTACTCCAAGTACATAACTATGCAGTCTGATAATAATGAAGCAATGTTTAACTATGAAGGTGTGTAAGGGTTCTATCAGCTGCAATGTCTGAAACTTTAACTTTTGCACCCTCCTCCTTCATTTACACAGATAATTGACATGCCTATGGGATAACATAAAAAAGACCACAACAATTAGATAGAAACAACCCCAATATACAATCATTAGCTCTTCCATTAGAGCTTAAAAGTTAGAACCTTAGACCAAAAGAAGTATCCTGACCTCTCATGTCTGCAAAAGTGCAAATCAAAAACATTTCCTTTCAAATGCCATCTAAGACCCAGTAAGAAAATCCAAAACTATTAAACTTAATAAGTCTGTTCCTCTCCCCTGGCCCCTAGGTGCCTAGTTTTTTTAGCGCTCCCGTATGACCGTACCTATAAATTGAACTGCTCATGGAGTACTTTCTTATGCAATCAATCAATAGACCTCAAATACCTAACAATGGTAACAATCTCCAAGTTTCGGCAAAAAAGTTAAAGTGAATCTAGCTAAGCTATGATTTAAGAAAAGACATGGTGAGCACCTCAGGTCCTATAAGACAAAGGTTTTCAAGATAAGCAAGGCAATACGGCAATCACAAGATACAAAGTTGGCAACAATATGATAAATTATCCTGACATCATACAAAACCAAAGAAAAAAAAAAGTGGAGCAATGGTACACAAGAATTCTCCAGAAGGTTACAAGGTTGATGACATACGGTTCTCCTTTACTTGTGAAGAATTTGATCCAGAGCTGTGCTTGACTTTCAAACTGACGGCTAGATCACGTAGCTTGGACCTGATTTCCTTCCTGACATCAATACTTTTCCCACTCAGGTATGGAATAGCATTCTTTTGAGAATCCCAATAGAAGGATTTCAACCAATTGAGTGCCTGGATATGTTAATACAGGCAAGACATTAAAACAACTACTCAGTAAATATTAAAAAATGATTATGCTATAACACATATCCAAATATCATGAATAAGCATCTGACAACAAAGACAGCTTATCAATACTATAAATAATGTGCTGGGTTATCATATCTTGTAAGCTTTAACAGAAGCTTCCATAAAATGTGAATCCTACACTATGAAGTGCAATGTAGCTTTTGAAATGTCAGAAGGCTGACAATGAGCACAAAGAGGTCAGAAACTCACTACGCAAATGCAGATCCAGGAACAAATAAGCTCATGGTGTACAGCCAAATTCATCCTTACTAAATACTTTGTATAAGTTTTTTTATCGTCAACCAACCAAAGAAAAGTGCATCTTAAGCTTTCAAACAATAAGTTCCTCATTCAGGCATGCAATAGGTAGAAGGAAGGTCATACCTTAGTAGAAGCTAAACGAAGTATCCGAAGGGAAGGAAGCTCCCGGTGTGAACCCTCTACATAAGGCGGAAAAACCAACTAATATAAGTCAGATTTCATAGGCATTACAAGAAACAGAAAAACAGCACAAGCCCAACAACCAATGGGACACAACCTACCAATCTAGCCTAGAAGACAACCCATAATTAGTTTTATAGAATAAGTCAAAAAACATATGGGTAATCGCATACTTACTACAGATTACATATTAACTTGACAACAGAAGAAATGAAATAGTGAATTATAGCCAAATTGCATTTCTCACAGGAATTTTACCATGACGAACATCGACCAGCATGCGTGGCATGCCGATTTCTACAGCTCCATCAGCTATTGACATATCAGGTTTGCTACGTGTCTTCTCAATAACTCCATTCACAAGCCTTATAATAGCAAAGTAAAGTAGGTAAGCCAACCATTACACTGGATATCCACTGCAAATAATTTGCAAGTACAATTAAAAAAAATGAGCCAAAGAAAAAATCATGAATTCCAATATTCCATGTACCATCGAATAGCATAGACATATGCCAAGACAGTTGGAAACAGCAGAAAATTAGCATATGGTTGTATAATTGTGCTTAATTCTCTTTTAAAGCCAAACCATGAAGAATTGTGTAAATTACATAAATTTCCTGTGTTTTATACTTGAATAAAAACAGTGGAAATTTGGTACTCCTCCCCAGTCCCTCCATGGCTCCATCCCAAATTAAGGTCCCATTTGACCCAAAAATCTTTTCTTTAAATAAAATTCACATTTTCTCTACTATGTACAGTCTTTTTTTTATTCACCTTCACTAATTTGATCAACCAAACTCCATTGTCTTCTTTATTATTCACCTTAGATCATGTCTTCTTTATTATATCCATTATTAAATTCATTCATAATCAACCAGACCCCACTATCTTCTTTTCGTATTCACCTCTTTAAAAAAATAAAAATGTGTGCACAAGACAAGCAGAGGGAATACTTAATTATACTTCCTTTGTCGGCAAAACTTTGGAAATTGATAGTTAGTTAACTGAGGATTTGCACTTCGATTTCCTCTTAATTAACCAAACCATGCAGAATTGTATAAATCACTTTTCTTTTTCTATAGTCCATGACATAGAAAAACTAAGCAAGATAAACCAGTAATTTTGACACTATCCTAGAGTTTTCCACAACTCTACTTTTCCATAGATTTTCACATAAAAGTGTTCTCAACAAATGACATTCAAGAGGCTAAGCAATCACAAAAATGTAAAATGACACTAATGTTCGGAGTATATAATTCCAATTAATCGTCCTGTCAAGCTCACCTCATAATAGCCATGGTATAAAGCATGGCCAGTATATCCTCTGAATCCGAAGCTCCATTACTTAACTCCTCCCTGCAATCCAATTAACAAAGAGCAATTAATGAAACAACCGCCAATAAGATACATAATCACAAATTCAAATGCAATAATAACTTATTGTTGTCAATTTACAATGTTACATTCCGGTTTCGATTCAAACACTCCTAACAAACTTTACATCGCGCCCATAGTACAACCGGTTATACCACGCACACGGACACACGGTACAACCTCACTCGATTTTATATTGCTCATTCTCTTATTTAGGAGCTTCCCAAATAAACACAGCTAGTTAGCCTAATTATACAATGGAAATCAAACTAAATTTCAAAATTAGAAACACATAATCACCTAAAATAAGGATCTTTTTGCTGAACTTCGACAATCGAAGCCGTAAATTCAATCACAATTGGTAAACATCCTCTGCATCGCCAAGCCGCAATCTGCTCCTCCCCAAAAAAAAAAAAAAAAAAACACAATTAAATCAATTTATGCTGAAATTGGAGACTATAATTGTTAATTTGAAATTGATAAAAAGAGGAATTAGGGTTTTTCATACTCTACGAAGAGCTTTGGCAATGGAATCGGGAGAAGAAGAGAAGAGAGAAAGTCTGACGAAATCCCATTCTTCCCAATTTAACCATGGAACCAATTTGTGATTTTCGTCGAGGTTATAGTTCGTCTCTTGTAACCCTAGCACTGACTCCATTGACGAAGTTCTTCAAGAGAAGCTTTCAAGCTTCAATTTGGTTGATTTACTGAATTTCTTAAACCCTAAACCCTTCTTTACCTAAACTATCAACTCTAATCTTAATATTTTTTTTATTTTTTTTTTATTATTATTAGGGAATTTTGTGTAAAACTACGTCATTTGTGAACAACTACCATTTTTTTTAATTTATTTAGAACTACCCACAAGTTTGGAAAAGTTTGGGTAGCACTACCCACTAACGTTTTTCATTCCATTAAAACGTTATTTTAGCCCATTTTTTTACTTTTTTCAATTACAATGGTCAATTAATGCTAAAATAAGCAAAAACCCCAATTCAATTAAATCCCCAAACCTTAGAAATTAAATCCCCAAATAATACTACACTCATGAACCCTAATATAAATTATGATTAAAACCTTAATTAGGTTAATTAAGGTAAATTAAAACCTTTATACAAATTGGGAGAGTTAATTGGGTGACAAAAGTGGAAAAAGTGATCTCCGATAACGTCTTAATTGGACGAAAAATATTAATGGGTAGTGCTATCCAAATGTTTTCAAACTTGTGGGTAATTCTACACAAATAAAAAAAATTAAAAAAAAAAGGGTAGTTATTCACAAATGACTCTATCTTTAGGGTAGTTCTACACAAAATTTCCTTATTATTATTATTATTATTATTAACATATACTACGTACTACGTATAAGAAAAACTATCCTATCGAAATCACTCTTACAGACTTACATTGTCTCACTATTTAGTACTCCGTATTTACTACTCCGTAGTCAATTGAATTCAATGGACAAGACACTTTGAGAGTGGGTTCGGCTCGAGATTTTAACAAATTTAATTTCTAGCACCCTTATTCACAAACTCACAATGTCCATGCACCACGTTGAGTTGTTAGGTGAACTTATAACTACTTAGCTCAAAACAACATACTCCCTTTGTCTTTATTTGTTTGCCCTATTTTTCATAAAAAAGTGTCTCTCAAATTTTGTTCCATATCATATCATAAATATATATAGGGCCATAATTTTACTCGCACAAAATTACTCTAGATTCCACCACTTTTTTCTCTTATCAATTTCACTCAAAACTTTAAAAAGCGACATAGGGACATAGAACAAAGTATTAAGAACACATGGACTATACACTAAAATCTCCCTCCGTCCCATAATATTAGGTAAGCAAATAGAATCTGAAGTACCTACCTTTGTTTACAAACGAGCACTCGACTCGTAAATGGGAAATTCATTGTACCAACAATTGTACATACAAGGTTAATTTTTGTCTATAATGTAAGGTATAGTCACATAGGCTAATAAGTACTCTTCGACTCTTTGTTGTACCAAGCAAAAAGTGTAGATCGATCTTGTAACGATATTCTAGTATATAAAGTCAAATTAGTTTCAGAAAATGATATAACAAAAGATAAAGTCGTTGCTATATATCAAATTAGTTAGTGATGGAGGCTGATAGTTTGTATGTCACTACAACACTAAAAACATAGATTATATAGAGTTCATATTAAGGCGCGTGTCATGAAATGTTTTCATTTTGTGTTTTTTTGAATTAATTTATGGAATATAGCAATTTTGCTTGTATTATGACTTGCTTTTACACTTTTATTACCCAAATACATTATTATACTAGAATTTGCTAAGGGAGTGCTCTAAGGGCCTGTTCTCATACGTTGAAATTCAGTTCAGTTCAGCTCAACTCAGTTCAGTTCAACTCCTAATTTCCTTCTCTTATAAAATATTCATTTCAGTTCAGTTCAGTTCAGCTTAGCTCAGTTTAGTTCAGCTCCTAATTTCCTTCTCTTATAAAATATTCATTTCATTTCAGTTCAATCAATGAGAACATGACCTAAATGTGTTTGAAGATGAATTAGGCAACAAACTTTTATCATGTTGTCATTATAGAAAAGTATATAATGAATTAAGTACTTAGGATTTGAATATTGGGGTTTTGGAGGATTGTGGTGAAATGTTACGAGATACTCCCTCCATTTCAGAATACTTGAAACGCAGGGTGGACACATAATTTAAGGAAACTATAAACGAGTCCATTTAAAATATTTGTTTATTATAAAATGATTTTCTTTTGTATTTTTATATTATAAGAAAACAAAAAGTGAAAGAGGTGGGGGTAGCGAGGTAAGAGAAAAAGTAAGATTTAGGCTCTGTTCACTTCACCTTAAAATTTTTTTAATAAAAATAATTCAGTTCAGTAAAAATAAGTAGATTTGAAGAAGAAATATAATAGAAAATCAAAGTAAATAATTTTAGTTCTGTAAAAATAATTTTGATTCAGTAAAATTAATTTCAATTCAACAAAAATAATTTGTGAAATGAACAATTTTGTAATTTAGGACGCCCGATAATGAAAACCGTGTCAAATATTTTAATACGAAAGGAATATAAAATTAGATTTCTTACCCCTAGTGGTATCCTTTCGAACTCAATTGCGCGCCACTATAGTGTCGAACTGATGCGAAGATAGAATCTGGGTTTCTCACCGTCTCCATCAAAAGGCGATCATTCTTCCTGATTTCGGCGACGAATTATCGGTTTCACACTCAAAACTACTAAATTCCTTTGCTACTTTATTATGTTGATTTATACATTGCAATTATTTTCAATTTTAGGTTAAATTTGAAAACATGCCTTTGATTATGACTACATAAATTACGGTTTCATTGGATAACGTTTTGAGAATCTCATGTGGTTTTTTCTTGGAATTTTGATTTCACTAAATATAATCTAAGATTTGTTTATACATGTATATGATTGTTATTTTTTCAGTGGAACATTTAGGTTTTTGTTAAGCATTTGGTGTTATTTTGAATTTGTGGAATTATGCTACATCAAGCTTAAATAGATAGTGATTAGATGATTAATACAATTGAGATAATTGTTGGAGTTGTTGTAATGTCTTGCCCTAATTGCTTCTTCTGAAATTGAATAATAATAGGCATAGTACATAGTACTTCGGCATTGTATTATTTGTTTGTAAAATTATGCATAATTATGCTTTGAATGAGCTGTGGAAGCTTTTATAGCTGTTGTTATGTGCTCGTTGCGAGGAATTACGTCTCTGGAGTACGTAAAGTTGTTTATGGTTTGTCCGGTGAAGACATTTTGATTGTTACAGTAATTTATTCTTGGCTGTTGAGTTGAGTTTGTTGTAATTTCTTACACTAATTGCTTCTTTCAAATTTGAATAATACGGAGTATAGTACTTCAGCATTATGTTTATTTGTGTGTAAAATTATGCATAATTATGCTGCTGTGGGAGCATGTATAGCCGTTGTTATGTGCTTGTTTGGAATTATGTCTATAGAGCATGTAGAGGTATATGTGGTTTGTTCAGTAGCAACATCTTTGATAGGTAATTTACACTTTGTCTGTTGAGTTGAGTTTGAGACCTTTAGAGTTATATTGTCTGGTTGTGTCTTGTTAAATCAATAGATGCGGAATTTACATTCTTGGTTTGCAATTTGGTCTATGTGTGTGTACATGAACTTCAATCTTGAATAATGAATTACTACATCTGTTTCTGTGAAGCCCATCAGCATGCTAAAATAAATTATGTTGTTCCTTCTTTCGAAATTCCAATGGCTTGCATAATGTGTGTGGTTGCTTGGTGGTTAATGCCTAGTATTTGAGTGATGTGTATTACAAATTAACTATTGCTAGTTGGCTGGTTCACTTGAGAAAGATTCTATATTTTGTCATTCTTTGGAAACCTATATTGAGCCGTTTTGTTTTACGTCTCATTTTGTGCCATTTAGTCTGGCAATCTGTTAAATCAAGTCACCTGATGTTTTAGCAGGCTTATCTGGGTTTCCTGTTTTCTGATGATCAGAGAAACAGTGATTGAATTGAATTACTCCATTATTGGAAATTTAAATAGCATGCCTAGATCGAACAGTGATGTCCAAAATTAATCCGTCATCAACTTTCTTTGTTAGTTGATTTCTCTTGAATTACAAAATATAATTAGGCAATGCAGTTTATGTTAAATGCTGAAAGCCTGAAACAAAACAATGATGTTCATCAACACTTTCACTTTGCCCCTTTTTTGAGGACTCCCTATATCTATTCTTTTGGTTATGTCTTGTGCTTCCTTAAACATCGTGCTGCCAGGTTTAGCCATTTAATAGGAAAGATCTGGTTCTTGATTTCGTCGAACAAAGATACACCTCTATATGTGCTTTGGCACCATAATGTCTACTTGCACGACCTTTGACCACACTTTTTGTTTTGTAAACTGTTACTTGTTCCTAGGATGTTGAACATTTGGATTCATCATAGCTAGATGCTCAATTGTTTTTTTTTTTTTTTTTTTTTTTTTTTTTTATCATCAAATTGTGTTTTGCATTTACCAGGAATGTCTCAAATTTTGCCTGTTCTTTTTACGTGTTACTGCTGTAAGCCTGCATCTAATAGTACTTGTTTATGGTCTTCTCCATAGAAAGTTATCCAAGGTTTATTCTATGGCATGTTATGCTTATTTATTCTTTACCTGTCCATTAAACTGACATTAGGAACATTAGCTGGTAATGTCTCTGTCTTTCTCATGTTAATTGCTTGTTCAGAGTTGAGAATGAGTAATCTGCAGTGGTTTTGGGGTAAGTAATTGACATTGGTCGTAAAGTATTGATGGGGCCTAAACTACAAATCATTATTGCTCTTAGTTAGCAATTTGGAACGTCTGTTTTGAGATAAATCAGGTATCGATCTACTTTTCCCACCCTTATCAATTGTTGGTAATCTTACATTGCAATCTTATCTCAGTGTTAAATAAGGGATCATTGGGTTTCTGTCATCATCATCAAATGGATCAAATGGATTAGCATTGGCCTAAGAGCTTGGAGATAAAGACAATTATGTGAAAAAATAGATGTTTCCTGTCCTTTTGCTGCAGCTTATTGAGACTAGATGCCTGAAACTATCATTTTGCATGCATCATCTTTTTTTTATAACTTGCATATGTTGTGCTAAGATTAGCTGCATTGCTGCTGTTCAATACATGTCTATTTTAACAAGAATTATAAAGAACATGTACCAAACAAGAGATATCTTAATTTCTCGATGAGTAAAGTGTGGCTCTACCATTATCTCTTTTCAGTGCTACATTATGCTCTAATTTCCATGTGTACCGCGTATTATAAAAGACAAATTATTATAGAGAGGTCTAATACTCGCATATTAGGTAACTCTACTCCTTCCTATTATTGTAAGATAGTTTTTCATCTTTCTCGATGTATTATGGGCTCTTTTGTTCCCCATAAACTGCTTTTTCTATCTTAATGATTTTTAGGAATAGTTAATAAGGTTTTAAGTTAGGTGTCAGCTATATACAAAAGAAGGGCTTTTTGAAGAACTGTCTTGGTGTCTTGTTGAGGATGGTGACTCGTTTCTCAAAGTATGGTTTTGTTTTAAGGGTCACCTCTTTTGTTTTCTTAGCTTGCTTGGATGATTGGTCTTTTTGCCTTGATAATGTAGAATTACATTTTTATATATGATGCTAGTTAACAACGATGACAGAAGAATCATTTGTATATGATTTATTTCTGTATTAGGATTAAAAAACCCTGGACCAATCAAAAGAGTGGGCATTTGGTCTAGTGGTATGATTCTCGCTTTGGGTGCGAGAGGTCCCGAGTTCGATTCTCGGAATGCCCCAAGCTCATATTTTGGGGAATTTTCATTCAGTCACACTCTGTATGCCTTGAAAATCTGGCAGTTTTGTTTTAGTGTGAACTAGTTGAAACTTCCATTTTCTAACGTTATAGGACTGGGCTACTTTATCTATAAGGGCCCACAGAAGGCATTCCTCCTTCTGGAATTTCTCCATGGTCGTCTGGAGCTATATTGCTTAACATGTTATGGGGTATTGTGGTCCTTAGGTGATGACTTTTGTTTGAATCAGACCGCTGAATAGCAGTGTCTTCTATAGTTCACCTCACTTAATCTATAAGGGCCCATGCTGCGTTAATTCAAAGTATTTATTTGTTAAATACTCCGTATAAGATTTGAAAATCTTCATTCTTGGTTCATTGTGTAGAATTGCAAGTATGCTACTACGTTTATCTGAATTCTATTATGGTCCAACTCCATCTTCTCCTTGTCTGTATTCTCCTCTCAGTAAATGGTAGAAGACATGTTATAGTGTGGTACCACATCTTAGTCTGCCTAGGCCTAACAAATCATGTTTCATGTGAAGGACCCTTTTCTTGGCAGTTTGAATATTGAATTGCTTATCATTTTTAGGCTTGTTTGGACTTTAGCAGTTAGTAAATGCAGAATAGAATAGATAGCTGATAGATTATTGGCAGGTAGAATTAGCAAATACTCCATAGCAGATTGATCCGCAAATTTCTGTAGTAGAGCGTGTGCAAATTAGTACTTTGTAGTTTCAAATTATTAGCTATTTATTTGAATATTAGGAGCTATACACAAGGAGATTAGTATATTTTACTTTGATCAGTGATTAAGGAACAATTAAATTATGATGGCTAATTGGGTAATTTAATCTTCTCTTATAATTGACTTATAAGGAGATTAGTAATATTAACTATCTGCTCCTTTTCCCGCATCTGATTATCATCAAACACCCTTATAGAAGAAGTCATATGGACCAAAGGTGAGGGTTTGTAGAATTGGTTTTATGTTTACTTTAGCTTTGGTGTGGTATCTATTGTTAAGGCTGCCTAAATCGTTGCAAAGGGGATTTTCTGGCTCACCTAGTGCAAACATGGACTTGTAGTCCCACCACTCAGTTTCTGTCAAGTCTCAGTCATATTTTTCTTAAACAATACTGTAATTTTTACTTTGTATTTCCTAACTTTTCTTCAATTATTAGGTGCATTTTGAAAGTGAATACTTTTGTGTGAATAACATTGCTGACATGGAATTATCTTAGAATCAGATTTGTATTCCAATTTCGCTAATCTATTCTAGCATTTTTTGATTAGGGAAGTTCGGATAGCTATCTGGGTCGTCATTCTGGTGGGTTTGAAACAAGTGATGGCTGTGATGATGGTTTGGATCAGTTGAACATGGACAAGGCTGTCAAGATATATGAGACATGGGTATGTTAATTTTTGCTTCCTGTTATAGTAATTAACAAATTTAACCCTGATATAATAACCAGTATAGTTAATGTTGTTATTTTTCTCTGTCACTCTGATGTGTTTGATTTCCTCCTTGATAATCACATCTATTGAACTATATGTAGTGCTATATACTAGTTTAGTCGATTGATGTGGCTAGTGTACTATTCAAGATGAATTAGAAACTCACCAAACCTGTCGTTTTATGTAATAATGTGCTGAATTTTGTTTTACCCATGGCCTTTTCTAGTGGGTTGATCCATGGAGTAACAAACAACCATGTCATGACACCCCTTCTCTTATGTCTATATCTTGTCTTCACCCAACATTTTAAATTTAGTATACCATGACACCCCTTAGCTTCTTCCATGTCTATATCTTGTCTTCACTCCACAACGTTCAACCTAGTGAGATTATATTCCTCTTTATATATAAAAGAAGTTACCACAGTTACGATAATTTACCCCAAGTTTAGACATTGTAACTTCATGGGAAGTTGAATAGCGTAAAGTTGTTGGGTTGACAAAAACTCTAGCTAAAACAAGTGGAACTTCAATTCTCACATGAATTTAACTTCAATTCCATCCGTTAATCATGCTGTTTTCTACATTTCTTAAGATATGAATCCCATTTTTTTTTTTTTTTTTTTTATTATTATCTGGAAATGTAACCTCCTACATTATCCGATTATTCTATATAATAAGATTCTAATTCTTATCCTAAAATAATAAAAAAGAGGAGAGTAACTCAGTGACATTCTTACCGTAGTAGCTAAAAGATGGGAATTAACACTACACCCTATTAAAAACATACCATCATCCCTAGATGCTTTCCAAAGTGAATGAAATTGCTTGCACGTGCTAGCCTGTATTAGTAGTTAGTATAATAAACATGCATACAAAAACAAAAACTGAAGGCTGCCACTGCTTATATCCACAGATCTCTAGAAGAAGTGGGGAAAAAGGAGGGGTTGAAGAAGAAGAAAATCATATGAAAATTTCTCTTTCTATCTCTTTTCCGGAGTACACAACAATCCATGAATTTTTCTAATGCCTTGTTAGGAGCTACTGACTGACCCATATGCTTTGTCTTTCCTACGAGTGAAAAAGAAGAAATGTTCTTCTCTAAAGCATATTTTGTTTGTCTTTGAAACTCGCATCCACCACAAGAGTATCTTTTTTTATCTTCTTCCTTTGAAAACTATATAATATACGAGTAATTTATTAAAGGTGTATAAGTGTAAAGAAAATTATATGAATATAATATGTCATATAGTCTGTTTCTTTCTTCTGACCTTCTCTTTGATATTCTCAACTCAAGCATCTCTATGCTCACTTTCAGAAGCGGGGAAAAGACTAAAGATATCTTTGAATATACTAACAGCTAAATTTAGTGGGCCTCACAAATCCACACTTGTTAGAAAGATTGTTTTTTACTATTAGTATAATTTTAGTCTTTCGTCCCATTATTCTAGATTTGAAGAGTATGATATGGACATTGATTATGATATGTACTATTTTAAAAGTTAGGCTTAACCAGATCCTTAGCATGTGAGATTTTATAATTATTCTGGCATGAACGTTTGTTAATTTGTATACATGGAGCCTTCACTGTTAAACCTTATTTATTAAACTAGGGCACCCTTTAAGAGCTAATAGGTTGATCTCGGGAATTGGCAAAGTTTTGTTGTTCTTGAACCACTTACAAGCCTCTAAAGTACCATTTGATCCTTTTGAAATATCACTACAACCATCCAAAACACCACCACAATTATGTATCGCCACTAATCTCAGGAGTAGCTTCCTACAAATCTAACGTACCTCTGAAAATAAGGGTTTGAGTTTTTTTATTTTTATTGATCCCTAAAATCAACTAGGAGCTGTTGGGCTTACTGTTATGCAAGAAAGTTGCTGTTAGAGATATTTAATTTGCACTCTTATTGATAGTCTTGACTACTAACTTATAAAAGGACAAAGGAAAATTGTATAATGGGTTGAATCTCTGATCAATATCTTTCCCTTCAGGAACTTAAATAATTTTGTCTTGTATTTCTGTGTTTTATTGTCTGATTACATCTTTGTTCTGTTCTTAGACCACAATATTGGGTTAAATTAAACACTTTTGATGTTTGCTGTAATTTGTCCTTTTGACTCTTTTTGATCGTACTCCTTATGTTTAAATAGTCTTGTACAGCTATCCATTTTGATTCTTAGGAATGGTAAAAAAATGAAAAAATACCAGCATATGCACCATATTAATCATCTATGTGCATTTTCTACCGTGTTTGGCATCTAAGTCTAGCTTGCTCGCCAGCATATATGTTAGTGACTCAATTTGTGGCTGGCTTAAAGCATATTGTTGAATCGTTATTGTGTTGTAGAAGCACTTTTTATGTTACTCTATGATGACAACCTTTCAAAGTATGGGATTTGTATCTGAAACAAATACTTCCATGGATTTTAAAACACCCTAGTTACCGAGTACATAGTGCGTATTCATATGGCTGCCAGCCAGCCACTAAATTGCTTAGGCTGCATTCCTTTCACCTTATCTAAACGTATAATCGTTGCATATTGAACTTGGGTAGCCCTATATGTAAATTTTGGCCTTAGTTTGACTTATTGTCCAACACAATTACACAAACACAAAGTTCGTCTCAAAAAGTATCTTGCTTTATGATGTTGGTTCATATGCAGATATATTCCCTCCCCCTGAGTATTCTCACCCTTTTATTCTGCATATTGAATTGGTAATTAATTTGAACAACTAGTCTTACAAGAATAAGGAGATTTCTAATTATAGGTATGCTTCTTTTGTTCCACTGACTTAAATAACATAAGATTTATATTGACTTATAGTTCGTGTAATGCATACAGGTTTAAGATAGTAGTGACAGTGACCAGCAATAATTGTGGAGAAAATGCTATGAACGTAAAGCAACAAACAGAAAAGGAAACCCAAACCCAAAAAAAAAAAAGAAAAGAAAAAGGTATGCACTGAGGTCCACGTCCGTGTCCAAATCCATGCACATATTGAGGTAACTCTTTCTCTCTTCTGACCCCACACTCTGGTAAATGAGTGTGTGTATGTTTGTCTGTGGTATATGGAAGTAGTGCAGTTTATCACATGGAGAGAGATTGGTCATGTGATGTAATGCATAATTTAACCCTGTATTCTCTGAGCCTACAATGAATCAGTCAAATCCAGAATAGAATCTTCCTTATTTTTCTAGCTCACTCTTAACATTACATACAAGATGTGAAGTTTTTTTAGACAAGATGAAAGAAAACAAAATCATTCTCAACGGGAAAAATTAGGATTTGAGGATACATAATATCTAGGATGTTCTTTACTTGTGTTGAATTTTTTTGAGCTAATAAATAGTCTAGTGATATGATCGTTCGGAGAATTGAAGAAAGTGACAAAAGCGATTGTTTTGATATATACTTATACATGTTATAATAAGGTGGTAGATAGAACCTAGTAATAAGTTTATGGGGAAGGAAGGAAGGATGGTGTGGCCGAGTGACGACATTGACATTATTAGTTGTGCTAGATATGGCCTTGTTGGGAGATTGAGTCTAGGATAAGGTGACCAAGGAACATTGACAGCTAGTGATGGGCTTTTGATTCAGACAAGTTAATGTGTATGTATGCTCGTAGTATATGCTATGAATGTTAAAAATGACTTGGTTAACTACTTGTGGAACAATATACCTTGTGTAAGTTATAGTTAACTTCGATTTTTTTATTCATTAAGATCTTACATTGTTATCTCTATTGAGGGATGATACATCCATCTTAGAGAATGGCCTGGAAGATATGATCCAATTCCAGTGACATTGTTACTAACATAGGTGGTTGGATGGTGCATTTTAAGGTACTTGAATGATTTTGCCTTTCTCTGAGATGAAGTTTTCACAAGTTAATCCCCATCTACCAGTGCTTTATTGAACTATCATGTTGTAATTCCACTCACTTGAAGTGTGGTTTAGCTTCTTTAGCTTACTTTTGAGTATGTGCATAGAACAATATGTTAAAATTTAACCCTTATGAAGATAGTAAACTTTATTTGTTTATTTATTTATTTTATATATTAGGAAACAATAGAAAACTAATCGCATGTGATGTAATCAGTTGTTTCTGTATCTTCTTTGGTTTTTTGGGAGTTTGTTTATTGATTAACAAGAATAGGGGGTAAAGGAAATCGGTAAGTATAGCCTACCATTTCCATCAAATGATGATGTTAATAACTAGGTAATTCATCATGCTGTATTTTTTTTCTTCACTACTTTTTCTGAATTCATTATTATTTCTGTATCAAATTCATAAAAAGCTGATAAATAGTACAAATCACTAAATTACTTGTAGTCTTGATCAATTACAACACAACATATTGAATACTTGAGTTCTTATGTCATGACTAATTTTCTTTTCATCTACCAATCGATTATATATTTATAACATACTACGGACTTATGGAGTACTAAATACTCGTATCAACTTTTATTTGAATGGGGATTATAATTAAGGATGCTTTGTTGGTTTTTGAAGTAATTTTCATATTTAAAATAGTAATATGGACCCTACTTAGGAGAATCTAGATGAGTTCATTTGTTACAGTAGAACTGTTTAACTCCCCACATAGGGAAGCAGCTGTTAGGACATAGTCCCACGCCCCACTAGAGTTGTGGCCGAAAGAGAGAAGATGAAAAGTGATTTTTTAAGGCAAAGGGTTGAGAGAAGGAACACGTTCCAACCCTTTCTCTTTCTCTTTGTAGAGTCACGGGTGTACCTTGAACAACGAAAAAACAAATGAATTAATAATAAGATTGGGATATCTACTTACTGTATACTAAACTCATATCATATGGTAGGAGATAGGAATGTTCCTTATTATAACTTTTTTCATATAAAAATGAATTTTGAGCTACTATATGTTATAATAGTTTAATAGAACTTGGAATAATATTGTCCCTTTCTCTCTCATCCATTGTCCTTTGCTTCTATTTTGAATATAGGATGACCCAAAGAATATTGCAGAATGTACCTTGTTTTCTTAATTATAATGCTGGTTTGTTATTCCTAGTGTATATATGTAGATTCCAATGATTCATTTTACCTCCAATGTTATGTGAAAAATGTGTTGGAGTTTTTTTCTTTAGTGGAAGAAGAAAGGAGAATAGAAAGATACAAACTTTGAAAAATGGTGATGGTAAAAGTATAAAAGGGTGAATTATAAAGTAAGATACAGACCCCTATTACTCTAGTAAATTAGTATCTTTAAAAATATAAAATGTGTTTTCCTTTATTATTACCGCGAGGTAAAATTTGTGTACTCACCATTTAAGATTAGGGGATAATTCTTTTATATGTAAATTAATAACTACAGTATTAGTTACGGACCTACAGGAGGATCAGAAATTTGTGAGCATGTCTTTATGTGCTTAAATTTAATTAAGTTTATGGTTGGTAAGGATTGAGCCCAAATCTCATTTAAGCCAGTGTAACACGAATAAGTTGAGTTGAGGTCCCCATTCCTTTAGTTTTCAAAGGGAGGTGTAATTTCTATACTATTTTTGCTTAACAGTAAAACAAATTCTCCTATATATTTACAGCTTCCAAGGGGGACAATCAATAGCTTAATAACTTTGATTGGATCTCATAATAGCCAAATTAAAAATACCCTAGACTTTTCTGACATGGTCATATGCTTCTTAAAGTTAGAAAGCCAGTGAGAAAGAAAAATAGAGAAGGGAAAGGAGAGTAAGAGAGAGAGAAAGAGAGAGAGAGAGAATCACTGCTTTTATTTTAGTGATTTTGTCATATGTTTCTGCTTCTTAAAGTTAGAAATTTATGATGAGAGAGAGAGAATAGGAGTATGTAAATAGCACTAGCTAGGCAGCAGTAATAGTAGTGAGTGCAATAGCTGAGCAACAAGTAGAGCAGCTGGAGAGCATATCATATAATCCCCTCTTCATTCTCATTTCCATCATACTATATATTATATCATCATCATCATCTTTATATCATAGTACATGCCCTAAGTTCTTATCATCTTACATTATTTCAAAGAATTTATCACTGACTACAATGGCATTTTTAGTAGAAAGGAGTGATCCTCTTCTTCACCATCATCATCATCACAGCATACATCAACATCATCTTAATCAAGAACAACACCAGGAAATGGTGTTCTCAGTGTCAGAGTCTCAGAAATCAGTTCCTGCTCCTTTCTTAACTAAGACTTACCAACTTGTTGATGATCCTCGTACCGACCACATTGTATCTTGGGGTGAAGATGAGACCACTTTCGTTGTTTGGCGCCCTCCTGAGTTTGCTAGAGATCTCCTTCCTAACTACTTCAAGCACAACAACTTCTCTAGCTTTGTCAGACAGCTTAACACCTATGTATGTTAACTACTATGCTCAACATTCATTTCTTAACACAAATATTTGCATGCATTGATGCTGATACTAGGTTACTCGAATTCGAGTTCGTTGATGATGTGTTAGAGACGGGCACATGTCGTAGTGTCCGACTTGGCTATATTATAAAAAATATCAATGTTTTTGGTCCAAATTTAAGTGTCGAGTAATGCTCATATCCATGTTAGAGTTGATATGGGTATTTGAGACGAAATGAAGATACTGAGTAATATAGCATGAATGTATGCACAACATGAGTTCAAGCCTATGTTATGAGATTATTGATTTAATCACTTTTGATTCATTTGTTAAAAAGCATTCCTAAGTCATGCAGTGTTTCAAGAGAAACCAAAAATGCTGTGAATAACCATGTTTCTTGAACTTTGATGGAATCTTTGAAACATATATCAAAGCATTTGAAAGGTTTAGATTCAGTTACTTTTAGGGATTTTGTCTGTATATCTGTGTCTAACTTGGAGTCTCCATTTGTCTTGTTGTATCCTAAATACTGTATTAAGATAAACCAATGTGATACAAAGAGTCTGAGTAATAACCGAGAAAAAGATCAATAAAACTAGTTTAAATGTGGTGGAATCTGAACCAGATTATTTCATCCTCAAATCTTTAACTTAAATAAGTTTTGCATATTTTTTTATACTTTTATTTAGAGCCTTAAGAAAAGTTTATTTTAAATTGGTGATCTGATCATAGTTTGAATAACCTTAAATTTAAAAATGTTGCATTATTTTTGTTAGATTTATGAACCCAAGTTGTACATACTTAGCTTGGTTTATTTTTCATTTTTATTTCCCAAGGGAATAATTGTTTGATGATTTTGTTTGAATCGATGTAGACTTTTGGTTCTCTAGGTATTTGGTAAGAAATGTCTGTTATATACATATAGATTTGTGCTACTAATTACTAATGAGTTTTTTAGTGTTAATATATTCATTTTTATTTGAAATACCATGTGAACTGTTAGTGAGATCTCAAGATTCTCTTGCTTCTTTGTCTTGATTACTGTCCCTTATGCATCTGTATCTTATCCTACTAAATATTATTCTACGTACAACTTTCTGTTATTAGTATATGCACATTTCTATTCTTTATGTTTCTCTTGACTCTTTAATATATCCATGTTTCACTTTTAAACACCAAAATGTGGTGGAGGTTGCTATGTGGGAGCACTCTTCCGGCGGGTTTGTTACCTACACAGCTAGTCAGCTACATTCGTCGCTGGTATCTCTGAGATGTAGCGGGATTGTATACATACGTACGAAGTACTCCGTATTAAATAGTTATGACAAAAAAGAAATGTGTAGTACAATAATTCATTTGAATAAAGCCATCAAATCTAACTATAACCATTGGATCTACAGTACATGTATTTCTTGTCTGCAAGTCCCAAGTGACACAATTATGCACTGCTTCCATTTAGATTCCGTTGTCACATTTGTAAATTATCATCATGATATAATTATTTTTGGACAAAAGGGATATTGAAAAAGTACTATTTGAGAAACAATTTGCATTCATGTATTTTCTTCATAATTAGTGTATTGCATAACTATTATTGAGATTTGATTACTGCTAATATAGTAATATCCCATTAGATTGAGTAATATTAACACCCTTTTTCTTGTTTTTTTTAGGGTTTCAAGAAGGTAGTTGCAGATAGGTGGGAGTTTGCAAATGAGTACTTCAAGAAAGGGGAGAAACACCTATTATGTGAAATTCATAGAAGGAAAACTCCACAACACCACCACCAAATTCACTACCAAGACCAAGTATTACTTCCACCACAGTATCTTCCTTCACCGCCCGAGGAACATGGATCTTGGATAAACATTGATCAGTCTTCTCCGTTACCTTCTCCGAAGCCAAGTGGCGGGCCTAACAACGATATCTTAACGGCGTTAACGGAAGACAACCAAAGGCTAAGGAAGAGGAACTTCATGCTCTTATCTGAGCTCAACCACATGAAAACCCTTTACAATGACATTATCTATTTCATTCAAAACCATGTTAAACCAGCTGTGCCTAACAATGGAAATGACCAAAATCGCCCTCCTAATTATAATGCAATGGCAGCAGCACCCCCTAAGCTCATAGAATTGGATGATCAAGATAATCAAGGCGACGCGAGCAAGAGAGAGACCATCAAGCTGTTTGGAGTCCCTCTTCAGAGCAAGAAAAGAATGCACCTAGCAGAAGGAAACCTTTGATATGATGATCAAGACGACGAATATTAATTAGTACTAGTATTATGTTAAGCACTGTTATTAGCTAGATGGCTAGGTTTTAACTAGTAGAGTTTTCATTTTTACTTTGTAAGATCATCAGATGTGAAGTTTTGATTAATTACATAAAGAAAGTGCTTAATTAATTAATTTCATCATTTTCATGGATTATTGCATGAAATTTAATTCGGAGTATGTATTATGTGATAAAGTATGCCATTAGTGGCATGCATGTGTCTGAAAACTTAGGAACTAATTCACTAATTATGTTGTTGGAAAATAATTATATATTTGTAACAGGAATGAAGGTCCTTTTTTTGAATGTTCTATGACTTTAATCATCAATGACTTTGGTGTATAAATGTAAGTAAGTATATCTTGTTGTTGGTCCAAAAATATTCTATTGCATCTTCTTTCTTTCAATTGGGATTTACAAAATTTGTGCATGGCAATAATTACAAGGTATGTTAAAATTGATACTATTGTATATGCCATGATTCCCTCCTCAAAAGCAGGGGCCACTTATAAAGATCTTTAATGGCCCAGTATCTGGAAAAGTTTTCAAGGGTGAAAGCTGATTTTATAATTTTATTTTTTAAAAAGAAAAAAAAAATGTTAGGGTCAAAATGTGTTAAGAAAGCTTTAGTTGATTTTATTCCTGCTTTATAAATAAATCCAAAAGAAAGCTCATTGAATTTTATCCATATATCATGGCAATAAAGTTGCTTTGGCAAAAACTTTAAAAAAAGGGATGTTTTTATCTTCTTTTTGCAATTCTTTTGCTCTTGATTTGAAGTTTCTTTGTTGGCTGACTATCAAATTAAAAGTGCATTATGAGTTGCAAATAAACGTACCAATATCTGGTTGTGAATCATTTGCTTTTTCTTAAAATTCTATCTGAAACTCCATGCAACCCCTTTGCTTTTATCAGCCTATATGATTTCATGACTCTCTACGATATATTCACTTCCTGGCCCCGTATCTCTACTTCCTGCTCTTATATTATTCGGCACACGCTACACTTTGGTTGTTTGGACTCCTACAATATTATTTGCAAACACAACCTCCATGTAGAATAGTGTAATTCTCATTTGTGACACAAAGGTCACGAGCTCAAATCTCATCCGCCCCTCTTTCAAAGTAGAATTAATTTGCACCAGGTATGGGTGGGCCTGTGTTGCATCCACATTTCAAGCCCAAAGGGCCTTTCATGTGAGGGGAAGTGATAGAGTATAAAATATATTCGTGGGCGTCAACCATAAGTTTAAGCTTTTGGTTGAGTTGGTCCTCTAACACTTCGCACTTACGTACTAAATGATGATGTTAGTTAGCACCTTAGAGGGTGTTGAAAACGCTAAGTATGGGATTCGGCCAAGGCATGAAGCCTAAGTGTTGGGGTATTGGATGGTGCATCCCAGCAATGAGTTAAGGCACGACGACCATGTTAACGGCAGGCGTAAAAATACATCATCCTTAAAAAAAACACTTATTTTTGACAAAGTAAAGACTATATGCAAGGCTAAAACAATTTTAAAAGGCCAGTAGCATGCAAAGCAAGACAAGCAAAGGCATTTTAATTAAGACATGATGATTAAGGGTGCATCAAGACATGAATGAGATGATTTTAGGCACCAAGTAGGACTCCTAGGGCCATTTGGAAACCCCACAAAGCACCTTAATGCATAATAATCTTATCGAGTAAAAGAAAAAATCTTAAAGCCAAAATTGTAGATGTATAATACAATTTCGGATGTTTGGGGACTCGAGGTAGGAAACCTAGGGAATTGTAGGGGATACATACCTAGATCACATAATGGTGTTTTGAACCATATACATACAACCATTAATCAAACACATAAAGACTCGTAGTGGCCTAATAGCCAATTAAAGGTAGTATATATAAAGTCGTCATATTGATTGTTTAAAGACAAAGTGGACAATTTCAACCACTCAAAATAACCTCCTGGAATGTTATGGAGTACAGAAAAACACCTTGACCTCTTTTCATTTTGGATCAAGAAAAATCCAAATTTGTCTAAATTTAAGGGATTTGTTAAACATCGCCCACAAATTACTACATAAAGCCCACAAATTTCACTTGGTTTGACAATAATGCCCTTGACCTAAAAAAAAAACACTCACACTCTCATCGCTCATCTTCTTTCAACCTCTCTAAAAAAAAAATCAAACAACGGCAATGTCGAGGTGGCAAGGCAAGGAATTGGCGGCGGCGGCGGAGGGAAGGAGGTCCCAAGGAGGCAAGGTACAATTTGTAAAAAAAAAATAAAAAAAAAAAGGAAAAACCGCCGTGACGGAGGTGGGGCGCCCTGGCTGGACGCCCAGCAAGCGGTGGTGGCGCCAGCTGCAGACGCCGCCACCAGTAGGCTGGCGCCTGGGCTGGACGCCACAGCCACGGTTGTGGCGTTTATTCAAGGCGCCGCAGCCGTGGCTGTGGCGTCCAGCCCAGGCGCCATCCCACTGGTGGCGGCGTCTGCAGCTAGCGCCACCACCGCTGGCTGGGCGTCCAGCCAAGGCGCCCCCCCCCCCCCTTTTTTTTATATATTTGTTTTAAAATATTGTTTTTTTTTTTTTTTGGTGTAATATATTTTTGAATTGTTTTTATATTTTGTTGTTTATTTTTATAAATTTTTTCAATTTTGTTGTATTTTTTCTATGTTTATATTTTGTTTACAATTATTTGTATGTTTTTAGTTTATTTGATTTGGGTAGTGGTAGCTATTTTTCGTATAAATTTTTGTATGTTTATATATTTTAAAATTTTGTGTAGAATTCACTGGGTCGTCATGGTGCGGGGAAGAATGTAGAGCTTCTTAGTAGAAGCTATTCAGTGGAGAGGTCGGGGCAAAGACATGTCAGATCCCGTGGTATTTCGGCCTCAGCTCGTAGAGCACGGATCCACCGTCGGGATAAGGATGACGATGACGATGATGATGCTGAGGAGGGTGACCAGGAGGAGGAGCAGGAGGAGGGCGCAGATGAGGATGAGGATGTGGACGATGGCAGTGGACCGTATGATGATTACGGTCCATTCAGTCAGAGGGTTGATGACATGTACGAGACACATATGGTGGAGGTGCGTAAGGGTAGGGGTGGTAGGTTTGTTAGTAGATCTGGCACATCATCTGCGTCCACTGTATCTGGGGCAAGCAGGAAACGGTCGAGGGCCGGTAATGATTCTTGGGTTGTTAGGAGTGAGGTGCCCGGTGGGCCTGTTGACGGGAGTGTGATTCCTAGCTTTCTAGGACACATAGCTGCCCGTATTTGGGAGGACCAGGAGAGGCCTTCAGTTACGGGGTTGTTGAAATGTCATACCCGGGAAAAGACTTGTAGCTTTTTGCGTACATGGGCTGAGACTTGGCCGGCGGAGAGCGAGATGTTCGAGCGACTGGAGGGCACTAGGGTGAATCACGTTCCTGCCACCATGCACGATAAGATTGACATTACGCTGATCACGGCTTTCATTGAGCGATGGCAGCCGGATACAAACTCTTTCCACCTTCCGTTCGGTGAGATGACGATCATGTTACATGACGTCGAGGCCATTCTGGGGATTCGTGTTGAGGGTAAACGACTTTGTGCTGTGGCTGATGCGGATCAGGCAGATTTGCTGGCGGAGTTGTTGGCGGTGGACAGGGCTGCACTGTACACCGAGGCGCTAGGTGTTTGGGAACACGGAGGTGTGAAGATCGCATCCGTGTTGCAGCGGTGTTTGTACCCCAGTGCACGTAGGACGCACGACGCACAGCTGAGTGCTTATGTTTTTCTACTCCTCGGATGTACCTTGTTTCCGGATAAGAGCGGCGGAAACAAGCTCAGGCCACGCGACATAGTGGAGGCGTGTGACCCCGACAGTGTAGGCCAGTTTTCCTGGGGATCGGCTACGTTGGCGTATTTGTATCGCCAACTAGGATTTGCGAGTCGGGCTGACGCGACAGGTATCACTGGGTGTCTGACTCTATTGCAGACCTGGATATACGAGTACTTTCCTGCATTGCGACCACATCGTGACCCAGTTCCTATTGATGAGGGGATGCCGCGTGCTTGTGCGTGGAGTCCGCGCTCGGAGAAGAAGTCCGTTGACCGCCTCCGATCGATACGGTTATTGCTGGACAGGGTGTCCCCCTTAGAGGTAAAGTTTATAAATTGTTTCTACATTTTATTATTTGCACATATTATATTCATGTTATTAAATTTTAAAACTATGTGCAGGTGAACTAGATGCCTTTCGGCCCGAACCCTAGTGTTAGGGTACCCAGGACCCTGTACACGGGACTCATTCAGTATCGTGAGATCGTCGAGGCGTACATGCCCCAGCGTTGTCTTCGCCAGCTTGGATTTGTCCAAGTTGTCCCTCCTCCCCCGGCATGCCCGATGAAGGCGGTCCGACCTGCATCGTCGAGGGACTACGTCGTGCAATGGCCGGATATCATGACCGGGACGTGGGACCAGTTTCCGATGGTGGCCCGCTTATGGACTGCGGAGTTGCAGCGGCCGCCCTCTGGGGTTACTCCCATGTGTGACCATTACTACATGGAATGGTTCAACCGGTATTCGCACCCGAGGTTGATCGCAGATCTCGACCACAGCGATGATGATTATGTGCCACCGCCTACTGCCATGGAAGCGGTATGTCTTATATTATATTTATCGTTGTGTTTTAATTAAGTTTTATATGTTGTTATTGTATTTCATCTTTTGTTTTTTGTTGTATGCAGTGGATGGGAAAGATAATGCAGGACGTACATAAACTCTCTCTTGAGAAGGACAACATGAGTGCAACAGGGAAAGCTGTTGTTGATAGTCTGGAACAGACCCTTGCGCAGTGGGAGTCGTCGTCGAGGAGGGATTACTGATGGTTTTGTCATTTTATTTATAGAGCACTTTAAATATCATCGTTTTAATTTATTAAATTGGACATTATGTTGTAAGTTTGTAACATTTTAGATTGTTCTTTTAGCTTCCAACTTAAACATATTATCATTGCTGTTTTTAAATTTTGATATAACCGTTCGTGGATCCGCGCAACTTACCCATGCAACATATAGAATGCAGTAAGCAATACAATATAAAAGATTAATGTTCTCATTAACAGAGTAACGTACAAATAAGATTACAAATAAATAATGTAAACATGAAAAACTAAAATGCAGCTAGGGTGTTCCATTCGTGGATCCGGTCATGATATAGCGCATCCCAACCCTCTACGCTCGCTGTGCGAATGTTGTACCACCGAGGTATAATCGGTGGCACTGGAAAATCGGATGACATGTCTAGTCGGATGAAATGTCTGTATGACGA